AATCGATTTGAGAAGGCCTGCCGAAAGCTGAGTTCGGAATTCCGCTCAAGCATCTCTAAGACAGCAGTAAAGGTATCAACATATTCTACATGATAGGTGAAGTACCTTGAGAGTAAAGCTAAGACAGCGGAGGGTGTGTATTATCAAATAAATCCCTTTGAGGGGTCCCGCAGGTCATGGGAAATGCGTACATCAACCACGGTCCTGTAAGGAAAAGCCTCCTCCTTAACAGATCAATTTCCTGGAACGTCCATCCACGAAATTTCCAGTTCGGGCTACTTAAGGGACTCGGGCCATATAAATCCGTCTCGGCATCTTATCCTTATATTCTCTCACCCAGCTTATAAATCACGACTAAATCTGGTAGCTCAAACGACAACCCGTACCCGTCGGTACCCCGAGTTTCGACCAACTCACTAGCTCACTCGCCCTGCGACAGAAAATGACCCGTCTTTTTTTTTTCGGAACTCTTTGGCTGGCCAATATAAGCACTCTCTTCTCTTTGACATAATTTCGAACACCAGTATTCGCAACCCAGGAGCACTACAATCGACCACCTAGCACTTCCCACACATGCCCTGGTGGAACAAGTAAAATGCTCATCAATTCGAAGTTAGATAATGGAAATTGCGCGCTGAGCTGTCGTAGGCTTGTAAATTAATAAAAATAAAAATAAACCCAGACCAAGCTTTGTGTTTTCAGCGATCTTAATTGCCCGAGGCCACAGGACTATGTATGGTATTCTAAGAGATGCAAGCACATACTGGGTTCTTTCTGGTAGTGTTGTTAAAGTTGGCGTCTTGTCCAGACATCCAGTTCCGTCCGTTTTCCTTTTGCAGCAAAGTAGCCAAGGTCGGCTGAGCTTGAGGGGACTCTAATAGTCCACGTATGGACGCAGACAACGTTTTACAAATATCGACCGTCGTTAATTACATTTTCATAGTGCAACAGAGACTGAATATATACTTGGTAGCAATTGTTGAGCTTTAGTAATTTTCTTTTTCGCATTATTCTTTCTGACAATATCAATAGTAGTCTGTGAGTGCCCAGCGTATCAAAATATATCATTGATGTAGTAATCAGGTATAGTGTACAGCAACTCGAGTTGCAATGGTAGATTGATCACAAAAAGTGGAAGAGTGGGAGAGATGTCTCCTTCAACAAGCCTTGATATATCATGGTACCTTTTTAGGACACTGGTAGTGTATGTTGCGCATCCATGAGTGCTATGACTTGCATGCCTTGGGCCATGGTGTTCTCCGTTTATTGCCTGGTATAACCGCCTTCCTTGTTGAAATATTTTGTCAGGTATAAACTTCCAAAATGCATACCTACGCCTTTGTAGTTAATATGCCAGCTAATCTGCATCAGTAACTAGCATCTAGCTCCTATCTAGGAGCTATAAACTAATGCGTAGATAGACATGTGTAAGGTTCAAGCAGTGAATCTGGTAGGGTTAATTAAAGCGGTATGGAGGGCGGTCAAGTAGACAGTGTCAAATTTCGACATACCACTGTAGGAAGACAAAGGAGGGGCAGTATTGATAAGATAGTGAGTCATGCTGAGGGCGGTGAAGCTGGTGAAGGAATTGCCCGCTCCACGTGGGCCAGTAACATCTGACCGCCTTCTCTTTACAGTAATGGGGCAACGGCGCGACCGGACAATCAATGTTCCGGATCAACCCCTCGTCCGACTGGCCGATATCGCCATCGCCATCGCAGTCACAAACTTTCCAGCACAGAAATCTATTAGCAGGGAGGAATTCTAAGCGCAAGAATTGCGATATCAAAGCAATCAATATGACAAGTACAGCTCCGACAGAATCCCAAAAATTCCTCTCCACCAGGGGTGGTGACTATGGCGTGCGTCTTCTAAACATGAGTCATACGTTGACGGTTTACTGATTTTCCCTAAGCTCTCGTTCGAGACCGTTGTCTTGAAGGGACTCGCTGCGGATGGCGGTCTTTTCTTGCCTCACGAAATCCCAATCGCGAACGACTGGGTATGTTTACTCAATGCCACATGAATACTTCATTCCGGAATCTTCATTTCGAGCCTTCGAAGCGGTTCACCGGGATCCGAGGCTAATAATAGATCGCAGCAAAGTTGGAAGGATCTCTCCTACGCCGAACTAGCCTTCAAGATCGTTAGCTTGTATATCTCTCCCTCCGAGATCCCGCCGGAGGACCTGAAAGGCATCATTGAACGGAGCTACTCGACATTCCGTGCAGACGATGTTGTCCCCTTGACGCATCTGCAGGATGACAACTTGTATCTTCTCGAACTATTCCATGGCCCAAGCTACTCCTTTAAAGACTGTATGTTCCCTGAGGTTATCCTGGTGTCATTGTGCTGAGACAATATTAGGTGCCTTGCAGTTTCTGGGAAACCTTTTCGAATACCTCCTCGTGCGGAAGAACCAAGGAAAGTTTGGAAAAGGTGCGCGCTTGAAAGCCCCTGGCCTGTGGCGATATAGTGGAGCTGACCAACCAGCAGACAGGCATCATTTGACAGTCGTCGGCGCGACAAGCGGTGATGTAAGTTTTATTGGTGTGCCCTTCGTCTGGCAACGGCGTTAACCGTGGATATAGACTGGATCTGCCGCAATTTACGGTCTTAGGGGCAAGAAGGACGTGTCGGTAGTCATCTTACATCCCAAGGGCCGCGTCAGCCCTATCCAAGAGGCGCAGATGACCACCTGCACAGACAGGAATGTCCACAACCTTGCCGTGACGGGAACATTCGACGATTGCCAGGTAGGTTTTGAGCATGTTGGATTCGCGGAACAACAAGACTGACAGGGCAACAGGATATTGTCAAGGCTATGTTTAACGACCCCGATAGCAACGAGGCTTTGAAGCTCGGTGCCGTCAACTCGATCAACTTCTCGAGAATCCTCGCCCAGATCGTATTCTACTTCTACGCTTACTTCTCGCTTGCTAGAAAGTCCCCGACGTTCAAGGTGGGTGACAAGGTCAGATTTGTGACTCCCACTGGAAACTTCGGCAACATCCTTGCGGGTTACTTCGCAACAAAGATGGGTCTCCCCGCCGAGAAGCTGGTTGTGGCAACAAATGAGAATGATATCCTGCACCGCTTCTGGACGACTGGCCGTTACGAGAAGAACCCCGTTCGGGAACAGCAGGCCGATGGCACCGTGAAAGCCGAGGCTTGCAAGGAGACACCAAGCCCTGCAATGGACATTCTGGTCTCCAGCAACTTCGAGAGACTCATGTGGTTCCTCGCCAAAGGTATACCCCACGTTATATTCGTTTTTGGTTCGCATGCTGACTGATCATAGAACAAGCAGCGGCAGCCGGCATGGACGACGTGTCCAGCAAGAAGAAGGCAGGTGAAGAGGTTTTGGCCTGGTACCAATCATTGAAGGCAACAGGCGGCTTCGGGCCTGTAGATAAGGACTTGTTAGAAAACGGACGGTCGACCTTTGAGAGCGACCGTGTGAGCAACCCTGAGACGGTCGAGACTATCAAGTCTTGCTACCAGGAGACCAAATACGTTCTCGATCCCCATTCGGCCGTTGGAGTTACTGTTGCGAAGAGATCGCTTGCTAAGACTAGCTCTAACGTCCATCACATCTCGCTCTCCACTGCTCACCCCGCCAAATTCTCCGAGGTCGTCGAATCGGCGCTGAAGGGCGAGGCCGGCTTCAACTTCGATGAACAGGTGCTTCCTGACGAGTTCAAGGCTTTCGCACAAAAGGAAACTAGGGTCACAACAGTTGAGAATTCGTGGGAGAAGGTCCGGGAGATCGTGAAACGCCAAGCGGAAGAAGACATCAAGACCGAAAGCAGCGCTTGAATCAAAGCTTTATGAGAGACGAATTGTATAGGCCCCAGTGCCTGACATTAATAGACATTTTCTTTCCTCTTATCTTCCAAAAAATACCTGGTTTCGTTGGGCAATGCACTGTATGGTATTGTTCTGCGAGCATTGGAGCACCATCCTAGTGAAGCTCTCACATCCTAGAACTAAAATAGAGACCATAAAATATCATGCCAACTTTAAACACTATGAAAGTATGTCCCCTGATATATAAGCTTAATAACAGCTGTTACAATGCAGTCAGTTGCAAGATGAAATGGCCACGATAGAATTCTAACCTCAAATTGTGGTAAGTCCATCTTCAGATGACGAGGGGTTTGGTCTTTCAATCAAGTAGGGGGCTGGACAATGTTCAAGTCGGTGAAAGATGGCTTGTTTACTTAGTAGTTGATCTGTTGAGATGTATGACACTGGTCGAGTCATTGTCATGCACATGAGCAATTGAACCCTAATTGATAATGCATGCGGATGGGGCTGGAAGAACAAAGATCTTTGGGAGATTAGATTTACCTTTCCTTCTGGGTGTTTATTCTGAGAGTTATTGTACCTCGTACTGAGACATGATCTGACCTCTATGAAGCGGCAATATATAAGGAACCCGTCTTCTATGCTTCACAGAAAGAACAGTTACCTAGGCGCTCGCCGGATACATGTGTATTCAATGAACAGTAGAATAACCATAACCACCAGACGACAGTCAGGAAAAAAAAAAAAAAAAAAACCTGAAACGTAAATGCCATTTGTTATAAACCATGGGGTGACAGTACTCCCGATATTTCTATCAAGTGTCGGAAAGGAAAGCAAATAATAAACTAGCCTCGAGATTTGCAACTTGGAGTGTTGGATTCTATTCAATTCTCGCTAGGGCCATCACATGCCACCTATTGACCAAGCCCAATGAGTTGTTTTACAACTCATAAGATCCTTACACACGGGTTAGAGTGATGGCCATAGTTCGTTCAAGGGTTGGTACATGGTTAGTTGAGAGGCCGTCACACCGTCCTTTGTGTATCCAATAGGTGAGTGCTTTGCATCTGCTATGCCTATCACATAAACTTAGGCATTCATTGAGCCCTTTCGTCCTGCCGAAATTAATCCCACCAGTATTGACTACCTGGGCAAGTGCTATTTAAGGTTGAAACGGTCTTCAGCCACTTTCAGGGAAACCCAATAGTATGGAACTTACCTCTCCTGCACCAGGCCCTATAGGGTTTGCGACTCCTGCTTATGTAGATGGAGGGGTTCATCCCTCGACCGCCTGCAGAAGAAAAGGTAAGCGGTTGCAACAGTATAGAACGAAAGCTTTTTGGTGGTGCTTACAATTCACAAGATCTGCATCTTTCTCATCCAGCTGCTGCTGCATGGATGTTGTCATCATCTCGCAGTCCTCATCAGCAACTGTTTGACACTCTGCCCAGGCTTCGTCCACCTCATCCTGGCAATCGGGGAGTGGGTGGGGAGTAGACTGGTCACCAGCAACTGGGGCTGTTCGATCTGTCCGGATCAGGAGCAACCACTCTCCATTTCGATCAGGCTTTTCTACAAAACCTCCCATAGCTAGAAAGCAAATCCCCCCTTGGTGACTGCTAGCCTTTGGCTTCCACGATGCGGCATGACATAATCCCGCCTCCTCGGAACACTTCTTGGCACATTGATAGGCATTCAAGACCTCGTAATAAACCACGTTAGTGGCTATGGCGTAGTGATTGCAGACATATTCGTAGATAACTCCATCGACAGACTCCTCTTGTCGACCAGTTCCTGGGCAGCAGGCGGCTTTATTAGAAGGGCCACCGTAACTAGTTGGAGAAAGACACGTTGGAGCTTGCAGGCTCCAGATAGGTGTGAATAGGAAACCCAGAAGAACAAGCCCTAATCTGGTGGTCATCGTAGAATGGTGGATAAGTGATATATATATTCAGCTAGAGATGAATACCATGTAATTCGAATAATGGAGCATTTTCTATCCACGAGGGTATGTACAGAGGATGCACATAAATTAAAGCCAGCAAGAACAAGGACCCCCTCAATGATGTAATAAAGTTTATATCTTAGGTTTGTAATCCAGTACAAGGCTTATTGCTGGAAGATCCACAGAATATAACTATGGTACATACTACTGAGTTTAGTCTTTTGAAATACCTATAAGTACCTCTGCAAGTAGAAAACTGGCACATACGACCACAGGGTGTGGAGAACAGGGCTTCCCGTCCGCTCAGCCGTACTTAAGCCACACGCCGGGAGGTTAGTAGTTGGGTGGGTGACCACCAGCGAATCCCTCCTGTTGTATGTAACTTATCTTTTTCTATTTTGCTGAAAAGATAGCTCTGTTTTGTGCTTTTGAGTGTGCAATCTGCAGGCTGGCTGAACTGTAGTTGAAGATATAGTACCCAGGCTGGTTGACTGGGGTTATACGCCCAGGGTCCCCCATTTCGAACTCGGTATAAATGAATAGTCTATTTTTATATTTCCTAACTTCCTAAATCCAAACTCTGATTGTGGGTCTTATAGAGATCTCTAGAGCTCTGCTCTTGATAAGCGGATGTCTGCTGAGAGAGGTATCTGGAGAAGCGACTCCATATGGTGGTTGTTGAACACAATAATTCGATAATCGACGATAGCTCAATCATTAAATAAATACTTAAGTTGTCTGTGTGTAAAGACTAGAAAGTCTTTCTGAGGTCCGGGGCATTTGGTATCTTGAGGAGGCTGCAAGTTGGTGGCGCGAATGAATTCCGCCGAGCTGTAAGGCTGAGTCCCCTCAGCTGATGTACAAACCCTGCACTAAAATCCACAAGGCATCCAGAATATGCACTCAGGGATTCCTGTTAAATAAATTACTATCAACTGGTGCTGACCCGATGGACTCTATTTTATTAACTTCCTTCCATTCTGACTAGGGATGGAATGTCAAGGTACTATGTTACTCCAGCCACCTTCCAGATATGAGCTCTATGAAAAGAGGAAAAGAATTTTCCTTTGTGTTGGAGCTGGAAGAAGATCTTGAAAATGAGATACAGTACTTCTCCAAGCTCAGCCGGACAGGCAACTACGCCAAAGTCTGAAAACTTTTCAACTATGCTCCGATAAAACACACTGGTTTTTTCCCTGTAGCTGTGGAGTATGCGGATATGCTTCATGAGTAAGGCTACTATAGACAGCTATCGAATTTCCTAGAAGAGTGTATTGGCGCAATGTGCGATGAATGGGCAGAGGATAAGATACAGCTTCTTCGAGTGATGAAGACCTTGGCCGATATGTACTACCGAGGAATGCTCGAGATAGGTCTCGATGAAACTACTAGAGTATGGTATTTTCTAGTGTCAAGATAGCAAGCACGGGGGTTTCTGCAATAGGGCTTACAAAGACCACACCGACGATTTTCCCGGTGATGTCGATGTAAGCGATATAATGCGACTGTCGCTTTGGGGTAATTGCTACCTAGGGGTCAGATGTATATCTTTGAGATCTATATGAGCATTGTTTTGTTTGCTGTCGAAAGGGGATTGAGGGTGGATGGGATTTGGACCAGCTGCCTATTCTTTTTTCTAGTGGTACGAGACTTGTCAGGGTGTTTTATGTGGTACGAGGTATTGGAAGCTGGGGGCCTCTTATGACAAGCGTCCAGAATTCTGCGAAAACTTCTTCCTTTGCTTCCCTTTTGTCCCCAGGAGATCCGCAGGATAGGTATTATTAGTCCAGATAACCCGGAGACACTTTGTGAGTTGAGAGGCGTGAAATACTTAGGCCTTAACATGTGGGTTTTATTGAAACTCACGTTCTGCAGGCTGAATATCTGCTGAATGTGACAATCTTTACGAATGCTGCGGGAGCTGGCGATGATGATACAACCCGAGAAGTGTATGAAAGTGGCAGAAATCAGCTCGAAACCGCCGAAAGGATCTGGAGAGGACTCCCGCAAGTTGGGGACTTGTTGGCATTGAATTCACGGCTGTCTATGGAACAGATTTGTTACGAAACTGCGTAAGTCCTTATCTTTCTAGACTCAAATGTCAAAATTGCTGAACGGTCTTCAGCCGTTTCGAAAGCCCTATCAAAAGCAGAATTGTTTTGTGATTTCCGTACTCAGATCTGGTGTGATCATCCATTCTTCTTGGCCAGAACTTCAGGAGTGGAAGAGATAGAAGGTGCCGGTCGCCGTCTATTCTACACCTCAAACTACAGGAAAATGATGAACATGAGGAGTACTACGATAGTGATGATGTTGATAACGATGTCGAGGATGTTGATGTATATATGCATGAGGATGCTTGACGTTAGGGTTTCTATGCTTCATATGTAACTTGCACCGGCTCTTTTGGTCATACCTTGTGACGCAGTTTGCTGGAAATATGCGTATACTAGGGTTGATAGTGGTAATATTATCCAAAGCCATCCGATATGTCCTTTTATTTCCGTGATGCGAAGTTGACTGTGCCCGATGGACTCATGGCTTATCCAATTCTATATACCGCCAACATCGAAGCATCGTAACATTTCGAGTAGTAAGTTTACCACTAAGAAGGAATATCTGTATGTGAATAGACACTCCTTTAGAAACGATGAAATTCTTCATGGCAAAAGCTGCAGATATCTTTCACAACCAGCGAAACAGAGAAGCAGGTACAAACGAGTCAACGATATGAGAAGGCGAAAAAAAAAAAAAAAAAAGCACATTACTACAACTTAGACCTGCTGCCATGAATGCACCAAAACAGGGACGAGATCGAAACAAAGTTGTGATATATCAACCAAACTCAAAGCACACTTCAAACGCTTTCCTGACCGAGATCTTGCGGCTGCTAAAGCTAATCATAGCCTCGAAAAAACCACTAGGAATCTCCTACTCCTACTTCACAACATTCTTAAAGCTTATATCTTTGCGAGTAATTTCGAACTTGACAATTTGTCTATGACCAGCCTTGATATGGACCTTCTCGAAGCCTCGAAGCATCTTAACCGGGGTTCTATCTGGGGTTGTGTCTTGCGGGAAGCCTACGTAGAGTTGAGGAACTGTTGCACCCGCGAGCTTCCCTATGTTGGTTACCTTGAACTGCACGGTAGCGAGAACTTCGTGGAGGTCCGGATGTCTACCTGGTTCGATAGCCTTCTTCTTGTCTGGTAGAGAAGCAGCGCCCTTCTTGTTTAACTTTAATAACATTCCCCAAATGGAAAACGTTGGGTAGGATAGCCCGTACCCGAATTCGTATCTCGGATTGACTCCCAGATCGCCCTCAAGATAATAGTAACACGTTTGTTTTGACAATCAATAATACATTTTTTATACCGTACATGACTGATCTCAGAATACTAATTATCTAAATCTTCCAATAGCGATCTTTTCTGGACCCCAGATGGAGAACAGATCGCCAAATAGCCACGAACTGCAATACTCCTCCTAGCTGGACTTCATACGACGTAACGTCCTACCACCAAGACGTGGTAAATTCAGTCCCTGGACGTGATACGGCCCAGTCCTCGACAGTCCTCAAAACGACACGCACCAACCGCTCAGTGACCAGGGTGAACTCCCATGAAGACACGCGATGGATTTCGCAAATCCATTGTCCACGGGTACAAGGACTTGTGACACGCATATCACCTAGCGCTTGTGGGCATCCAGACTCCTCAATCTCTATGACCTTGGCGACTATCTTCACCGCTAACATTCCCTCACAGATTCCCTCCCGGCGAGGATACCGCTGCAACAGATCCAACGCCCGACGGCGGATAATAGGCTCACGACATTTGGCCCCGACCCAGAATAAAGGCTCGACGATTCCATTCTCTAAACTGAAGTTTACGGATGTTGCCTGCTCGGCATGTTCGTATCGTCGCAACGCTTGATACTGTGAATCCTCAAGAATCCGGGTAATGGCTTCAACCATGTCTATACAATCGTTAAGGAAAGCGTCCGGAGCCAGCTCGCTTTGAGTTGGGTCTGCGCATAACAGAAGCTTGGTAAACTTGCGTCGAGCTGAAAGGAGATCCAAAGCTCGACCATCGTCTGATTGGGGGGTAGTCCTTAACAGGTTGGCTAGTCTGGTGTCCCAATCATGCAGGAGTCGTATATACATCTCCTTTTCCACGGCCTTGGAATGTGCACACGGGTCCTGCGTGTCTTGTCCGAGGAAGAACCGCATGATGCGATTGAACAAGGCTTCCAATGACACGTACGCCTCGAGTAAATTGGTGAATGGGTCGGTCGTGGGTGGTGGAGCTATTTGATTATTGTTCCAACCAAGAGAGGCGGTTTGGCCCACTAAGTATGGACGCACCTGTGAGTCGAGCCGGATGAAAGCCAGTAAAAGCATATCAGCTCCCTGCCACACTTCTGGCTGACTGCGAAGTTTCTGGCCCACCGCCCACTGATGAAAAAGCTTTAACCCGTTGTTGATATGTATGAAGGCCTGGTACTGACGGCCCTGCAGGGTACATATGCAGGTGTAAAGAATGCAGGTGGCTAGCACGACCATTTTATCCTCGTTACCTAGCACAGGCTCCGACAGCAGCTTCCGAAGGGATTGAATGGATTTGTTCGTCTGCTTCAAAGCAAACTCCATATTTCGGCTCTCGCCTATACGTGGCTGAGTGGACGGAGTGCTATCGGTCGCATACTCGCGGTGGATGCATGCCAGTGCGGCCATGCCATGCCGGAGAGCCGGATAATGATGAGAGACCTGCAATAGCCGACGAGACCAAAAGCCGCTGTCGAAGAATCCAGCCAAAGTGAAAGTAGTGACCGAACGGAAAAAGAAGAAGTTCTCGTTCTCTCCTACATCTTGTGAAAGAAAGTCCCAGGTAGATGGCGCCTGTGACACAGCGTAGGCAGCCAGCTCGTCGTGTGAATTCTTTATATCCTCATAGCCATCGCAAAGGCGCCCTGTTGACAGGCACTTTTGGCAACTACTCATCGTGGTCAGTAAGGGACTGACACAAGAACGACCCCACGCTCCGCGGCCATCCCGCCATCTTGTCACTCACCTTGGTCTGCCCTCGTCACACTTTGTCTTCCGAATTCTTGTCATTGTTAACGCTACATTACCAATCATGATATAGACTCATACTTGCAAGTTATGCAACCTGTTCTCACATGAGGGGCCCATCGCCTCTGCCGCGGCCGTTGCGTCTGGAGCGTGCGCCGTTTTGTTGTCGATGACGGCATAATGAACGGTTGAATGTAATGAAACTTGGCCAACTGATCGTTCTAATTCCACAGCGTATGGAGGTACAGTAGGCAGTATACAAAGGCATGCAAGCACGATACTAATGCCCAGAGTTCCGCGAGGCTCACAGTAAGCTGGCGTCAGCCCATTAGCCCTGTTTCTATCACCTCCCACACGTCTGCTGATTGGCCCGTTCGCGTGTGCTTACTATCCTTCTCCGAAACAGGGAAAGTCTGACCCGTGCCGTCGGACACTAGACCTATTCGAGAATGGCTGCACTAAACCCGTGACGTGACAGGTGATTATTTCCATTGAAGGTTGGAACCACACTCCCACTATCTCCTCATGCGATAGTTAAGGACACAAAAATAGTCCGAATTGCCGCGGTCCAGCGCGGCTAAATAGAAAGAATCCCGCAACATCTGACCTTCACAATTAATCTGACACCCCCCGAGCCAAAGATTCCTCCAGGGATGTCCACCCTGGCCTGTGGTAGAAGGCTTGGATGAGTTTCTCGGCTCGCTTCGAAGGTACAACCTCAAAGGGGCGAATATTCTTTTCCTCCTGAATATCAGGTATTGCTGAACAATCTGGTCGGAGTTTTCGCATAATGTTCAAGACCTGGGTCCAAGTATACGGACCAGCGCAGGCAAACAGACGCTCCGACTGAACATCTGGATCTAAAAGTCCAATCACATGAAGTCGTGCGGTGTCTTCAACATCCACATACCATTCTAACCGGAACTGTTAGCGCCTATGATTTTTCAAGACTATGGGAACTCAGGATTCTTCATCTTACGTGCGGGCATGATCTTTGTGGCCACATCGTTCCCATCGAGCAGTAAGCGTGTCACCGCCATCGAAGTACCTTGCTTGCCGGGGAACAGGATCTTGCCGAACTAAAGTGCCGCAACATTAGATGTTGGCGAAAAAAATTCAAGGAGGGCTTTTTTCTTACGTTCACATTGGGGAGTACAGTGTTCAAAACGAAAGGTGGGTTGTGCTCCGCGATCCATTTCCAAGCCCCACGCTCGGCTTCGACCTTTGCTGCCGTATACACCACACCGGGCTTCATGTGGTCCGGAGTCGTTGGATCCCAGGCAGCGGCACCGGCCGCATCATTCCATTTGTCTACAAACATGTTAGAATGCGCCATGGATGTTTCAAGCAGAGGGGCAGCGACTGACTCTCATTCACAGTATAGTCCGTGATCTCCCCTGTGCCGGGGCACCGAGAACGAGCCGTAACCACAGAAGATGTCAGCACCACCCGCTGGACGGATCTCACTCGCGCAGCAGCAGAGAGAACATTTAAGGTTGCTGTGACCACCTCGGGAATGAGACTTTGGGGATCGGCACTCCACGACATATTGCATGCCTAAACGTAGCGGTCAGATGTTTTCCTTTGTAGTCACTTTGTCAATGGATGCAATCACGCACCACATGCACCACCCCGCCCACATCTGCCAAGCACCCATCTAGCGCGCCGTCTTCCTCCAGCTTTGGCACGATTACTGTCTCGAAGTTGGCTGGGCCATATTTACCCTTGAAGTATTCGTCCACCCATGGCTTCTCGGAACGCACCGTGCCTCGGACTTTGTAGCCTTGGACCAAGAAGGCCTCGATAACATGGGTAGCGATGAAGCCGTTGGCACCGGTCACCAGGACCCATAAGTCGGACGAAATGCTATAGTTTGTAGTAGACATGGTGAATACTGTCAAGACTAATGCTCGTGATGGATAAGCAAGACACGCTTTTGAATTGAGTAGGATGGATAGATTCATGAGGGTGGGGGGTCCTTGGACTGGATATAAATACTTGAGATGCAGCGCCAGAGGATATCTAGCGGCTACTTGGAATTGTCAAAATAGTGGGTACGGAAGTAAGCCTATGCGAACGAACCAATAAAGAGACCAAAGGTCTCCCACACATCAGGGACACCCGGACAGGTAGCCATGAAGATCGTTGCTGTTCCGGTGATTGTCATTGTCTCTAACACCCCCCTTTAGGTATCCATGAATCATGATAGGTGGAAGCCAACGAGTTCCATGGCTGCTTTACGAATATCCTTCAACCCTGTAGGTCAAAGCGCCGACACCCTTTCATAGAAAGGTCTCATACTATGCACATTGCTAATTCCTGTTTCCAAATAAGTTGGGGCACACACGAGGGTTGATCACCTATTGTCCACGTATTGCGAATGTTCTCGTCTCTATGGGATGTTTCTTGAGAGCAAGAGCAATGAGACTGACCCTCTAAGCGCTTCAAATCATGGATCCTGTCTTCTTAATGGGTATAGTTCTCGAGGAACAGACCTAGTGTTGTAGCCAAGCTACCAGAATGAACAAAAGGACTCGGCAAACCACCCGAGGTTCGGAGTCCATAGTGGTAGTCAAAGAATATATTTCACCTCCAAGTAGAGTGTTAATCAATCACTTAACATTGTTCCTCGGACCTCATTCGGTACAGTAGTAGAGCCCTAAGCCAATATATATTTTCTAACGCACTTACCAGGATAAGACAAATCATGATCGAGTCTGAATCTCCGCTGACTGGGAGTGTTGAGAGCCAATGGAGGCTGAATCTGACAACTATATCAGATCCGTTAAACCGGACATCCCTAAGTATATGTTGCTGGTATCCTTTGTATTTGGGAGCGTTCATGCGTCTATAATTTTTCAAACCATCACAAGTCCAGGCAGATGACTAATACATATGCCTGATGGAACTACAATTTAATCAAATTACCCCTCCTTCGCGTATATGACTCGAAGCACATTCCTTGGCTTTTGTATTCAATTACTAGTGTATTAAGGTTGATTTAACATCATTCAACCGTGATATCCATTACTGAGTGCGTAGAAAAGAAAACCAGATTGGTTCTCAAAATGGACTCTGCAGTGAAAGCTCCAACATCAACTGCAACCACTGACCCGAGATTCGGATGGATCGGTAAGTGCAGCATTTCCGAACTACTACCAGCCTTACACTAACGCCACAGGTCTTGGGTCGATGGGGCTGGCCATGGCATTGAATCTCCACAGCCATCTATCGCATATCGGTGCCCCTCCACTTTGCTTCTATAACCGTACAGAAGCTCGGGGCCAGCCGATCCTCGACAAAGGAGGAGTCCAGAGCGCCAGTGTCCAAGACCTGATTGCCCAGGTTGACATCTGCTTTATTGCCGTCAGCGACGGCACAGTCGTTACCTCGATCGTCAATTCAATCATAGAAGCTTCAACAACTGAACAGCTTCATGGCAAGATCATTGTCGACACGTCGACCATTCATCCCGATGTCTCCTCCTGGGCGCAGCGAAAGCTTGTGGAACAGGGTGCTAGTTTTGTCGCAGCCCCCGTGTTCGGGGCAAGCCCTGTAGCACGGGAAGGTCGGCTTTTGATAGTAACAGCAGGCGCTGACGAGGCTGTCAAAGCGATTGAGCCGTTCTTGGTTGGTGTATTGGCGAGAAAGACGTTGCACATGGGAACGGACGCGGCGCAAGCGAGTTTGATGAAGACGGCAGGGTAGGTTTTGCGGCTTTTATTCCAGAGTACCTGGCTGATGGAACGGATGGTAGAAACTTCTTGACGGCTGGGATGATGGAGCTTGTGGCTGAAGCACACGTCTTTGCCGAGAAGACTGGTATTGGAAGCGAGGCACTGGAGTCCTTGATTGAAGAGCAGTACGGCGCACTTCCGCTCGCGATGTCGAGACGGATGACTGAAGGGTTTTACCTTCCGAAACAGGGGGAACGGCCTTGGTCGGACCTTAAACTGGCTGTGAAAGATGTTGGATTAGGGGTTTCGTGTGCGGAGAACGCCGAAGCGAGTTTGCCCGTTGCAGATGTCATTCTCAAGCATTATGACGAGGCTTGCCAATATGGAGAGAGGAATGAAAGGGCATTGGACTCCTCGTCCATGTATGGAGTACTCCGGACGCATGCCGGGCTTGATTTTGAATCGGACCGTGTGAAGGAGAGGCGATGATGAACCTGATGTGGACACATCAGTGCCATGACTATTTGTGAGCTCAATGAAATCACCTTATAGGCGTGTACTATCAATCAATATCCTGTTACACCGCAAGCATCCACTGTTGATGTCACTATGTTGAATATCTCTCTTCGGTCATGAAGAGCTGACATGCCACTGGATATTTACTAGCATAGTCTCATGGGTGCATGGTCCCTTTAATGCGGTTCGTTGTGATTGACCGACTCTTCACTTATTGGTAATCGAAACCGTGCTTATCACTGCTGCCAAAACACTTGATTAAAGAAGTGTGGGTATTGTTTGACAATTAAATCGTCCCCCTAGCGGCCCAACGTCACCAATTGAGATTGACCGTGAACTTGCTGAGACAAGGCTAAAATTTACTAAACCACCTCATGCAACGGTTTCTGCCAAACAACTCTCATCAGCTTTACTGGCGGTGACTTTCCCTGAGTACAAAGTTGCCGAAACCGCTCAATCAGCTCTTCCCCCTTCTTTGACGCTGCTTGTTCATCTGGCACTTGGGCTGATCGCAGTAGAAGATTTGTATACAATGTTCCTATAATGGCAACGAATCTTTGTTCGGTGCCGGGATGGAGGCCAGCATCCCGGTGTGAACTATACTCGACCCGCACCACATCTCGGAACCCGACTAACTGGCTTTCATGGTAAACCTTCGCAGACGCCTGAAAATATTTGCCTTCCGCCTTGAAACGGAGACTGAAACACCGCCGGATCTCTTGTAATACTGGATTGCCGGCAATGTACGTTTCAGCTAATAGGAGAGGGCATACTCAGAAGCTGGTAAATATTTGGCGACGGCGGTTCTGTAGTCGGGTTCGGCGAGAGCGGCAACCAATAGCCGTACATGGACGAGGTCATAGCGGTTCCAATGCTCCTCAGGGAAGGGGACCGTTATGTTATGGACTGAGAATCTGATACTATCATCTGCGGGCGGAAATTGTGCGGACGAGATGCCAAACCCATGGTAGTACCGCAGGACTCCAGGTACTTCCGACAATGATCGCGAGAGGTCCCTCAGCCAGATCCTGTCCACATTTAACCCCGTAGTGGCGCCATCGCGAATCAGAAGACAAACAAGCCTACCAAGTACCAGTGCCTATATCCGCAATAGAAACAGCCTTTCCTGTAGAGATTGACGGATGAATGAGGGTGTTTCTAGAAACCTTCACCAGCAAGTCATATTGGACATCCAGCCTGAGAACCATCCATTAGCTGAAGTTCCACCTTGTGGCTGGTTTCGAGGCGTTACCTCTTCGATTCCTGTTTATCTCTCCCAAAAATATATTTGTCCGTGGTATTCAGCGTGTTTGCGATGCTCTAGGTGCAGGATTGTCCCCGAGATCGGAGAAATCTCTTCTGCTTTTATGCCCACATGCCCCTCATTTAGCCCGAGAAGCTCTAGGCTCTCACTTGAAACCACATTCTCGCGCTTGGAACTAGCTGGTCAGCGGAACGTGGTGGAGTACCTTGATCTGAGGAACGCCGAGGAAGGTCTTCCAATGAGCCCTATCGGCTATTACTTCCTACTCTTGTTCCATTTGCCATCGACAGTAGTTCTTCGATGTCGAACGCTCGAACCTGCGGTTGCTTAACTGACGGTCGTGTCTGCATCAACGGCCAAGCCAATATCTTGATGTACTTGGGCTTATTTAAGATTGATGACAAGGCCGCAACAACATTCAGCTATGGTTCAGACATGGTTTGTTAGATGTGTTGATTTGTTTCCTAATCTGAGGCAGCTACGCAGCGTGGATGGTGGAAATCAACCAGGTGTGCTCGATGCTTCACTGTGCACAGATATCCATTGTGAAGCGGGGGCTCCCTTAGTGCGTAGTTTGGAGGGGTCCTGACAGAAACCATTCCAAGTTCAGATTATGTGTACCGGCTAAACTTGTGTAAGCCTGACAGAAGAATAGACAATCAAAGTGAGCGGCGCGCTAAGTTGTCTGTGCACGGTCGCCACGATGGCTGTCAGGCTGGTCCGCCTGGGGTCTGCAGGGCTTCCTCGGCAAAAGTTGGAGGAAGCTGGTGTGTCGTCGCTATCATATCAATGTAGAGATATTTGGCCAAGTGCCGACACTAGGCAATTTGCAGCCTTGCCTACATTACGTGCATTCTCTCATGAGATCCATGTTGATTACCCCTAGTCTCCTGATGCCGCGACGCAAGCTCGATCATGCCGGCCTTTACTATTATTCCTCATGTTACAGTGAAATCACTCTTTTATATCCATGAATCCGGGCGAGAAACTCACTTAAGTCACGACTGCCTATACCAGCGCCGATACGGCCAATCCTACAAAGGCCATTTATCAGGGAATTATGAAGATATGGAACTAGATTGAGCAATTTAGATGAGCAAAATAAGCTGGTTAGGTTTGTGGATTCAGCAGAGGTCGGAGGTGTATCTAAAGCTGCAATTAATTCACACAGGGATAGCTATGCTTCGCCTATTTTATTTTGTTTTAAACGAGATATAGATATTGACTACTATTTGGGAAAGTCTTGTGTACCACGCAGATCACTCTGCAACTGGACAAAGAGTTACTGAGTCACGAAGATCACGGCTACTGAAGCCAGCACGGACGACGAAATCGCCCTTGGGTAAGAGCCACTGTTGTTCAGTGACGTTCCAATAACTGAGGTCTCGGCGCATGAGCGGGAATATAGCTGTGTAGCTCTCTCCGGGAGCAAGCTCAGTCTTCTCAAACCCACAGAGTTGGAGTAGAGACTCCGATACTTCCGCCGGAAACGATATGTAGAGCTGGGCGACAGTGGCACCAAGGGTCGACCCCGTATTCTGGAGAGTCACTTGCGCCTCGAACAAAACGCCCCAAAGAGCTGGATTGCCCCCGGGGCGTGTTTCAAGTGCCTCTGGGTGAGAGCCAATGTGAGCATCTGGCTTTGTCGGCTGCACTCTCAACGTTTCCATACTGAAGTTTGTGTATGAGAGACCAAATCCAAACTCATATTGGACAGGGATGTTGTGACGATTGTAATAGCGGTAGTCGATCTCGAGGCCTTCGGAATACCAATATTGCCAGTGGTCGACATTGGATGTAGTGATATTGGTGGTTGGTGCGGTATTCACGCTATTGGAGTTCAATGGAACCGTGTAGAGAAGCTTGCCAGAAGGGGACTTGGCACCATAGAGGATGTCGACGATCGAATGCCCAGACTCTTGACCTGGGTAATAAGCGACAAGAATCGCCCCGGAATGGGTCACAACAATCGTGTTGGAGCATTTGTCCGCGACACTCTACACGACAGCATCACCGTGCTGGTCCACAGACAGATGCTCTCGGTCTATGCGCTCTGTGGCCCGGGTCTTCAGAAAAACAAGACAGGCTTCCGGAGCCGACGCGCCCCACAGGGTCTCTACGTTTGCATCCTTGATCATGGTATTATTCAGCCAGAATTGGACCAAAGCATTGTCCTGAGCAGCTCGTTCCTCGATGGCCTCTAGAGGTGAGACAAGGTAAGTAAATCGTCCATTGCTTGATCCTCCACCGATAGCTAGGGTACCGATTTCCGAAGGTCCACGGATGAAAGGCCCAGCAATATTGGGTGCCGCTTCACTTCCGAAGATTGCTATACTGGCCAGGACGATGTCAAGTCCGATGCGGAGACCTTCTTCGTTGACTTTTTCCGAGGTATAGCTGGTAATGACTTCCTAATAAATGCCATCACGAGCTATTCCGAAATTGGGAGACGATTTTATCCTGAGCTCGCGGATAAACTGCTACAGCAACAATATAGAGCGAAGCAGCTTCATCCCCCACGCCGGCACTTTCCATTTCAAAAGCGATGATATCACGAGATGTAGCAATACTACCACGGGCCTCACCAGGCTTCATAACTGTATCACCCGATCCAATGCTTCCAATGAAGATTGAAGGGGCCTGGGCTTCGTTGCTGTTTCCTTGCTATCACATCCGGACTCATTGTATGAAAGCTCACTTTTTTTTCTGCTTTTATAATGCTACACCTATGGTAGCTACTCGTGATGCATCGGTGGATAGTGAGCAGGTAAACCCTACGCCATCTTCCAGTGAACGAGACGATCGCTTTTCCGAAGTAATGGAGACTTGGAATGGATTCTCTGGAGAGACCCTGCAGATATGCAAGGCGAGAACAGATTATGGGCACTGCGATGATATTCCCAAAGTTCTTGAATGCGTATGGTATATACAGCGCGCACTTGTGGTGGTATAACATATTTCACAGCACACACCTCATGAAAGCACTTTTAGAGTAGAAAGTCCTATTAGATGAAAGCTGATAACACATGATAACCTTCCTCCTGTCGGCACTTCGAAGTACTAATTCATACAGAAAAGATATTCTGCGGATCCTTGTGTGGTGACGCACCCCCATGTATTACCATATTTATCCGTGATAAGTCCAGCCCCTGTATGGTACTTAGCACAACCTGGGCCCAAGGTGTTCAAATAGTCCGATACAAGTTTTGCCATGTCAAAGTCCTTTGTCTTCGCTGCTTGACAATGTACGCTGTCCTTTTGGAAACCAAGCTGGTCGAAATCCACCGGCGTAAGACTGCTATAGTGTACTGCATTTTTCTGCTCAAGATATTTTCGCAGGACGCTTGTCGGCCTATCGCACACATGGATGTGAATCTGCTCTTCCGTCCTTGAGGTGACTGAGTTCATCGCTAGAGTTCCATCGTCCCAGCTGGAAAATTGCCCCGTCGATAGCGTGATCTGTCCTAGTCTCCAGCCATTATTGTCTGGGCCTAGGTCCAAGATCCCCGGCAGAAGATGTGGGGTGGTAATTAATGTTTTGGAATGGAGCAGCGTCCAAGAACCAGTAGACGAATCGTGAAAGCAGTCACCGTCCCGTAAGCACCGACACAGGCCACCGAAGTATAAATTGCAGGTCTCACAGGCCTTATTGTCATCTGTACAGCCTACATCGCACTTATCAACTAGGTTCGAGTTTTGCCCACATCCATTGCCAAGGGGGCAGGTTTTTGAGCAGGCATGAAAAGATGATGGACAAGTACAACCCGACACTGAGAGATTGGAAATATCACTCTGGGTGCATTCGGCAGCTGTGGTAATCCAAGGTAAGTGCAATGTCAATAAAATAAAAAGAGAAATCAGATTTCCTGGTTTGAATGCCATTATTTTTGGCTTGCCAATAGTTCACTTCCCTAATTAGATCGTTCGTGGGAGGAGTGTTTGACTAGTTAAATGTACTCTGGGGCCGGGTATGGACCGGTGGAAGCAGCTTGATCTATGATATAGTTGGAAGAATATGTCAATTACGTAGCCGTGGGAAGTTTAACCCTTTGTATTTGAAGTTTAGGAAAGCTTAGTGACGCTTGCAACGCTCAATCCGGCACCTCGCATCATATCAGGCCACTTTGTCCATGCCTTCGTAAGTGTGGATCTACAATATTATGACGCAGCGAATAAGAGTAATGCGATCAAAACTACAGAGGAGAGGCCCTAATGATACGGTTGACGTAAACTTAATGGGTGAACAGGTTCTGTATCTTAAAAGTCTATAAGTCTATCGGCTACCCGTGCCCCCACATCATGAAAGATCATTAAATGCGCTGGCGCCTAGACCTCAATTTAAAGAAATCGGGTGGATCCTTGGAATAGTCCAGGTGGCACCAATATGCTCTACCAAGGCTATAAAAGTCTCGAACTTGAAGGCCACGCACACTGGTGAAGAAGGCATTCAACTGATATAATCCAAGGAATGGTAGAAGGCCTGGTCGCCTTCGAGGAAGTCTGGTGTTGGGGAGGGCGGGGTGGGGAAAGGGTTTGTACCAACCCTCTTGCTAAACGTACGGGTGACAAGCAATGCCAAACCCTCATTCTTACCGTGGAATCTGTCAACTAGAATCTGATTGCTTGTTGGACCTTTGGTCGGACATATGGTATTTAGAATTCATAACCCCCCCCCAAAAAAAAAGTAAAAAAAAAAAGCCTTTTCTACAGAAAGATACGAAACTACGTGGGGTGACAGCTTGCAAGTTAATTGTTTCTCAGAGATTATGATGGGATAACAGTGGTTTCCGCACCGAGAACTAGCTTTTTCTGGATACAAAACTAACTGCTTTTGAAACTAACCTAAATGCTTTAATTTTGCAGCATGCGTGTCATCATGGAGACAATTCGCGAATCAGCTTTCGGCAAGTTCGTTCGGTTATTTACTGGTTACAAGCTCCTCCAAAATCCAGAAGAAGTGTAAGAAGAAGTTCCAACTTGTCAGATTTACCTACAAATGTCTCCTGGCCCGGAAGAAGCAACCCAAGCAACTAATTGGCCAGCAACTCCGCGAGCAGTGTGGCATGAGAGAAAACATACTTCGTCCACATCAGATTAACCTAGTCTCCCCGGTATCTAAGAGTTCTTTAAAATTATTGGCTGTCTGTCTATGATCTATAGAAGATTCGTGGATAATAATAACCGAGAAGAACACTCCTTCAGCTTATATCAAAAAATATAAAATAGACAAAGCTCTTACTTTTGTTTATTATTAAAGTCTGTCCTTGTAAAGACATATATCCTTTGTAGTTGAACTCAGAAAGTTGTTTTCTATTTTTTCTTTCTAGCTGTTGTCATTTGTAATTTAGTGTGGTCTTATATCTCTCCCAGAATATCTAAAACACCGCAATCAATAGTTGGGTGTCGGCCAGATTACTGTCGACATCAAACAGTTATCTGAAAATTGTGTCGACTGTGTGATAATTACAACGCGAAAGTGGTTATAGTTATAACTAAACCAAGTAACTGTTAGTGGATTTATTAAAATCTATAATAATATATCCAGTATTCAGCAGGTGGGTAATATTGAATAGAGTATTGGAGATAATACTAAAATATACAGACTATCTTTTATCCTCAGAACAGGAATATTTATAATTTTACAGTAATAAATTAGACCAATAAACAAGGGTATCAACACCAGATAATACCTTACGATAGGCAGAAATTATCTCCCCAAACCGCAGCCCAGTCTAGGGCTAGGTACTTGTCACATGTATAGCATCGTAGTACGTTGCCCTTGTCGTCAGTATTGTTCTTTCGAGGTTTCTTCGAGTCTTCCTTTGCGTTTCGGGAGTTTCCTTCTTTCTTTGACTTGTTATTTTTCGATTTATTTTCCTTTGCTGTTTCGTCATGTTTTCGTTTCTGGCCTCTTTGCAAAAGGTTCCAGTGATGTGTGGCGAGTGTTACCATTTTGTCTCGGTTTTTGGGGAGCTTAAGGTGATGTTCTTGTATATATTTGGATAATTCGGGAAGAAGTTTTGTAAAGAAAGTAAGTGCTCGCTCTTCTTCGGCTTGCCTAGGGAAGTGTTGCTCTAAGGTGTCAAGATATGCATGAAATTCCTGCAGATCTTGGTCTTTCTGTTGTCGAGCCCTTTGAAGTTGGCCTATAGTATCGGGTTGTAAGGTTGCCGAATTCCTAATCAGTGTGAGGGTCCATTCTGTGAAATACTGCTATGACTCTTCGGTGTTTCTTTGTTGATCTTCCGACTTTTCTGCGAGGTGTCGATACCATCTCTGCCGGCATATCGGGGATATATAAGGAAGGGCAGCGATAATTTTCTGGTTATCTCTTCTCAAGCGACTCCTGGCTCCCTTAAAAGAATATTCTAGATCAAAGACCTACTCTTGTCTTTGTTGGAGCCTAAAATTAAGAGTAAATTCGGGGATGTTCTTGAATAGCTTGGCGGTGCAGCCATCCTTTGATGAGACCGAGCTGGATGGTTACCGATTATGTGATGATTCTCTACTTTCCAATCTGTTTTCCAATCGTCGGATAGTATCTCTTAACTGTTGTAGGGTTCCATTCCCATTCTGGGTATGAGATTCGGGAATTGTCTCGGGGACTGATTCGATTGCTGGAGGTATCTCCTCGTCAGGGGTTCTTGGAGGGGACGATACGTTTCCGTCAGATGCTCTTAAAGACAAAGCCATGAGCACCCTTAGGTAGTTAAAAAAGAAGAATCAGAATTGTCAAGGAAATATCTACTATTCAGCGTAGAAGACCTGTCAACTAGGTAAGGGTACGTAGGCTGAAAGCTAAGCAGTAGATATCAGGCAGACAGAAGACTGATTCTTGCCTTCTTCTTTTATTAATACTAGGCTAACTTTATATCCAGAAGAACCCCCTTATTATCCTAACAGGATAAGACTGACAAGGAGCTACTATACGCTATTGAAAAGACGACGGATATGTGATCCGTCGTCGCCGTTCGGCCTCCGAGCTGTATATGCACAACGGGCAGGGTATACGATACAGTCATCATGCAGAGTCATTATCGGATCTGTGACAGTACTGGTCTAAACTTATATTATCTCCACGGTATAGACCTGATTTGTCTGTAGGGATAAGATATAGATCACTACCGACACTTCCCAGATATTATAGGGAAATTTGAAAAAATAACTAAAATCTTCTACAGACCGGGAGTTTTTTGTTAGTCATTCTATTCTATAAAAGTAGAATACCTTTTTCTATAAACTATTTAAGCTATCTATATACCTAAACAAGTTCTTTAAAATATACTCTCTTTTCTTGGTAAGAAAATATATACAGCGAAATTTCAATATTAGATTATATTATTGCCTAATATAGTCTGAGAACTGTGAAGATCGAGCAATTACCTAATAATCTTCAGAAATCTAAAGCCGAGCTGCCCCCGACTATAGAAGATCTTTAACATAAGATTAGATGTCTTTGTCAGGAACTTGTCTTTTATTAAGATATTTAGCTAGCTTTTACTAAACTTAATGTCACAGATCCGATGATGACTCTGCATGATGACTGTATCGTATACCCTGCCCGTTGTGCATATACAGCTCGGAGGCCGAACGGCGACGACGGATCACATATCCGTCGTCTTTTCAATAACGTATAGTAGCTCCTTGTCAGTCTTATCCTGTTGGGAGAATAAGGGGGTTCTTCTGGATATAAAGTTAGCCTAGTGTGAATGAAAGAGGAAGGCAAGAATCAGTCTTCTGTCTGCCTGATATCTACTGCTTAGCTTTCAGCCTACGTACCCTTACCTAGTTGACAGGTCTTCTACGCTGAATAGTAGATATTTCCTTGACACTTAACAACTCCCGGGAGGCCTATCGGTTAATACAAGAAGTACTACAGGTAGTATCTATATCTAAATATTCCGACTATATTATTTCAATATTATGTTCCACTGTCAGGAAGACTGGGTTTATGATTAAATCTGTCCTAAGACAAATATGTGAAAGGTTGTCGGGCTTAGAAGTACAAGTGCTAAATTTATATGGCATATTCATAGATAATACATTTCTCCATGACCAAACAATTCTCTAATTGCCGGCTATTAAGCTATTCATTTCATAGCGCATGCTATATATTTCCTCCTGAGCTGATACATGTACAGCTGGATGCAAAATTGGTACAAATATTCATACCTCTCATTTCTTTTCTGAAACTGGATTGGAAACTGCGCTAAGCTGTAACCGGTAAAGCCACGGAATATCTATATCCCGCATAATCTAAATTAATGTAAATAACTGTAACTATAATAATGATGTACATATACGTAAGGACCCTGTACGGGCGATTCATGGGTGACTGGAACTTGGAAGGTTCCATGCAAACCAGCGAAACCGCGAGCGGAGTGCGTGCCTGGAGGATTTGGCAAAGTGTCAATAGTCATCCTCCTGTTCCTATCCTGCCATCCTGGAATTGAGGTGATTGCTGCAGGCTATACAGGAGCTAAATAGCGCAACACAAATGACCCTCCTTATCATCAATTTCCTAGTCCAAGGCAGATCTCTTGGGCGAAAGGTAACATGACTATCTTCGTATTAGGCTTCTCAGCGGCATCCTATGCCTCGGAGTGACTTCCATTCCCCTCGACAACTGTATTGCTTCCCAAGCTGGTACTTGGGAACGATCTCCATTATATGCTTCGACTCCGGGTGACTTCGGCCGCGAACGTACGCCCTCTGAACATAACTTTTCTCCCCTTGGTGAACGCTCTACGCCTCTACCTCAATCCTAATCTGGTCGATTACGCTTCCTTGACCATGTTATGTCAGATAATGGAGCAACAGATGATGAACATCCGTCTTATATACCGTATATAATTGAGTGGAGGGTGACTCTTAACAACCGGGTCTTGATTAAGGATACAGAACAAGACTTAAAATTCAACGCCCATTTTATATTAGCAGCAGACTAAGCAGAAGGGTGAACATGAGCTGTATCAGAACATAAACATAACCAGCGTGTGAAGCCAGATGATACCTCGATCGTAGTTTCTGTAAATGGCCGCTCACAGCGTGATCTTAGGAAGTGTTTTGAGAAAACTGAAATTGACTGGACAGTTATAAATAGGCAGATCCCCATGTGGCAGGACCTCCTTTATCTGCCCAAGAAGAAGCTTACGGTCTCTATATCTATTGATTATATGGAAGACAACGACCCTCCTTCAAAGGAAACTGGCAAAAGAGAAACCTCCTCAGTAACCAACAGAATGAATCGTGAATATGATGATGATCAGGTTGATACTGAAATCAGCTCTGGACAGCCTTCAGTCTGGCGAGACATGTACCGGAAAATGCGATATCCTCACTTCCGACATCGAAAGAGGAAGTGCTCTACGGTCTCTCTTGCTTGTCCACATGCATAGTAATCTGTTTGTGCAACATTAATTCGGTAGAGATACCTATTTAATCTTGCCATGCTAGTCCGAAGTTGAGTCGGCACGTTTGCTTCTTTCCATGATGTAGTATTACAATTAGAACAGAAAGATAAAGGATATCACGTGGTTATACTTATATTTGACTAATTCTAAAGCCAAGAAATAAGAAAGTATATAGGAATAATCCGTTTCCTGGTTTGCCCTGGTAAAGAAAGTCCATCGAACAAAACAGTTGACTTGTTGGCTTGTCCCGGAGTTGAGCCTACATGATATTATAGTACCGTATCCCAGCTGTCCCGAGTGGAAAATTTATACAAAAGCTTTCGCCATCCGCCAATGTAAATTACCAAAACCTAGTACTTCGCTCGCTCAAGATAATTTTATCAATCACCCAATCTTAATACCACCACCACTGGCACTTACCACACTTCCCGTGATCCAACGCGCATCCGAGCTGCAAAGGAGTCCTACTACATCCGCAACGTCGTCAGGTTGTCCAAAGCGTGGTATGCTTTGCGAGGGAAAGAACTCGTCCTGGAATTGTCGCACTGCTTGCGGTCCGCAATTGACAACAGCATCCGTCTCAGTCAAACCGACCGTCACAGCATTGGCTGTGGTTCCCTCCATAAAGGAATACCTTTCATCCCTTCCGCCAAAGGCCTGCGCCCATGTTCGACAAAGCGACTCGCCGGCTGACTTACCGGCCGCGTACATGAGCTGGTTGCTCCACGGCTGGCGTGACCGGATAGACGAAATGTAGATTATGCGGCTGTTTGGCATAAAGTAATGCCGGCGAACAAATTCTTCGACAATCATAACGGGCGTCTGTACATTGCCGAGTAAACTCCGCTGGATCTCATCGGTGCCCATCTCGCCAATAATGCCAGGGGTGGGGTCGCTAGCGCAGTTGACAAATATATCCACGCGGCCATTGAAAGACTTGCTAAGCTCATCGGCAATTGTACGGGCGCAGGTATGGGAGAAGATGTCTGCGATGAGTCCTTTGACCCTGAGACTTGCAGGCCTCACTCGTGACGCAGCTTCGAAGACACGGCTAGTGACTTCGTTGTCAAGGATTGATGAGATGCTTCTGGCGCCTGTGTCACTAGTGCAAGTCCCGAGGATGGAGCAACCCCGAGATGCAAGGTTGAAGGCAATTGCACGACCGATACCGCGGGATGCGCCGCTTATAACAGCGACTTTGTTGACGAGATCAAGTTCTCGCACACGAGACGTCTCTGCAGGTGGAAGTGGATCAGCAGACATAGTTTTGTCCCTTCTTTTCACCTAGATATCTTTAACAATCTGCAGAAGAAGCATCGAGGTTTCATCTGACTTTTTTCTTCTTACTCTACTTGCATCTCGGTTGTTGTGGCCGCTTCTTATTAGGCCCAGCTATCGTATCACGGAGGGCATTTGCTATTTCTATTCCCAGGTTCTCCACTCCTTTCTCCATCATGACTCACTGCCTGGCCTCCACTGAGAAGCAATCCAATCATATAATATTGAGCCAAAACTCTAGATCTCAAGTATTCTAATAGCATATCAGTGTGCAGCTCCTAGCTAGTCTTGGCAGCTTTTTCACATGAGAATGAGACCAGGTTCTGTTTAATTGAGAGGTCGAAACGTATCTCCGAATGACTTTCAGAAGTTTTGTGATTGGTCTTTTATGCCGAACTATGTCCGAGATCGGCCATAGAGTGCAGCTTAGTCGGGCAGTTTGATAATATTATCGAATGGGTTTTCCTATAGGACTATGGTGTTCGATGGTTATAATAGAAGCTTCTGCTGATATTGAAAGCTGTCAATTTCTGGAGAACTAGTGGTCTTCCCTTTTTGGAAGTTGGTGGGAGTGGGGTCAACCCCCTGTATAAGCTGAGTACTTGGCATCTACTTTAGGAAGTGGACAGGATACGTCATCTGTTATCGAATAGCTGAGCATCATATCCAATCATAAGCTATATAAGGTAGAACCTGCATTAAGGCTCTGAAAACAATGCAAAAGTACGTCAGTAGAGTTGCACACGGGTCGGGTTTTTGATAGGTCTCCCCGCACCCGACCCAAAACCCGCTAGGTTTAGGCCTCCTGGGTTACCCGCCAACACTAGGCTAAATCTAATTAGGTAAGATACTGTTTATTAGTTAGTTAATTATAGATCTTATCTAAATAGATCTAATATAAAAATCTTTTAAGCTCTATATCTCTATCAATTTTATATATAGAATTGATATTATATATATATATTCTAGATCTAAAAAAAATCTAAAAAATCGATATTATAATACCAAGAAAAACCCGCTCGGGTTCCCTGTACCCGGACCGGGTTGGGGCGGGTTCGGGTCGGGTCCAGCGGGGAACCCGTGCCACTCTATTAGTAACAGTCAGTATATTTAGACTATATACTCTATACATATTAAAGTACCGAAGAGCTCGGTCATATTCCCTTTCAGTACAATCAAGAACCGACCTTTTTATTTTAGAATTATTTTGATTCTCGAGTTTAATTGCCGTAAAGTCTTCAGGTAGTATAACAGTTACCGAATCTTACTGTCAGATAAGAATAATATCAACTGCTTATAAAATTATCGGGTTAAAGACACAAACTAGTAAAATAAAGAAAATTTAGAAGAACATTTAAAATGAAAAATAAAATAGACCTTATATTATTTATTACACTGGCAGCCTTCCTTTATATATAAATAAGAATATATTTTCTGGCCCTTCCGGTGAAGTATATTAAGGTCCCTGAAGGAGGCCGTGAAGGGCCACTAAGAGCGGCGAGACACCCACAACTGGCCTTAGGTGAGCACAATCATACCAATACTGTTGTATGTTTTTCTTTTTATATTTTTTTGCCTTGACGTGGTATATTTCAAAAAGTACGATTGACGGGCACACTCATGAAAGAATCGAAGCCTTTGTCTTTATCCCTGGTCTCGCATGGCTATGATCTCTGCACAATGTACACACTCAAACGACCCAGGTGATTGGACCCCGTTGGGATGTTTTCTATGCGAGCCTCTCAGGATCTGGTCCATATTGGCTCAGTTCTTATTAAACAAATGATTTGTGGGAGAAAATAGAAAGTGCCAAAAGCGATGAAGACCCGGCCCGATATAGCTTGGCATGAATGCGTTTGCGTTCCAAATATCTCGGTGATAGCTCGACAAGTTGCGTAAGGATAATTGAGGAGTAGAATAATCTCGGGGTTTCGAGTGAAATTGGAAATTTATCGTATTCGAGCGAGGGAGAACGAGGAGTATACTTAGGCCATGAAAGGAGAGAGTGATAGGGATACATATCAAGATATGTTATTCCCCAAGCTTTCCGACCCAAGCTAGTCACATAAAAAACTATGGTACGCATACACAGGGACCTAGCTGAAGCATTTCTGAAAATGCTTAATTTTATATGTCAGGCCTAATCAAGAGAACCAGCAGCGGTGCCAAGTATTATCTAGTCTGAATTTAAAAGCTTCAGATCTGGTGGGTGAGTTAATATGTAGATCTTCATCCCGTAGTTCCTTGATATTGATAATAACCCATGGTCGATAGTCGAAAACTAAAATAATTTAAGTGTGAACTATATTAGGCCTTCCGATCCAGCCAAAAGACAGTATTGACTAGGCGAATAGCTACTGACTAACCGGCGAAATCCGGTTTGGCTGCGACCTCCTGCTCCAGGCAATTGTTATCTAGTCCTGAGAGCGTCGCCCGCTGATCACCTCGCTTCGTGTAGATTTGATTACATTATTGGTTCGCTGCCCCGCCTCCCGCTGCACTAGAAGCTGCCCCTCTGGCCATATGGGCTGCCACGCCTCGTCTAGTGGTGGACTCGGTGGACTTCCCCTCCTGTAAAGAAGGCTAGTTAGGGCCATGATCTCATGAATGACGAATTGAGTGGGGCAAAACTAGCTGAGCCACGGCATGATGAGCTGTACGTGCAGATCCTCAATCTGCCTGATCTGCAGCGAGACACTATATATATTCCTGTATTGTCAAGCAAAGTCTCAATTATTCTAGTGCCGCAAGTATTTTCTGGATATTCAACTTAACAGGCTTGCTGCTATCTGACAATGTCTCAGAAGGTGAGATATACCCAACTTGACAGCTGCTATTAGTATTCATTTGTATATAGCAAATTTCAGTCACGTTTGAAGGTATAGACAGTTGGGAAGACAGTCGCGAAAAGGTTGATGAGTATGTTGGAACTCAAAGGTCCGAGGGACGACTTGAGATACGCTATGGCTGACACTCTTAGCACCCTTGCGGAACTGACGGGAACCAACGAATACCCTGCAACTAGAAGTTTACCGCCTATAATATTTGGCATTGAGTATGGCTCCTACAAGACTATCTTTGCTATGTATCTTATGGATGAACTGGCCCTAATCTTTCGACGGAATCTAGGATTAGTGAAGAAGGTATTGGACGATTGAGAAGTATTGATGGGGTAGTTGTCAGGGTGCACGACGAAAAAGACCATGATTAGTTGATTATCTGCTACCTACATGTGTCTCAACTACAAGTGCGGCCTCACATGGTTCGTTCCCGGCCGGACTGGAACGCTGGCGATGATTTTGGGAATTGTGTTTTCCATTCAGGATCGGGGGCTGACTGAGCACGTCGCTACAATGTTGAATAGCGATATTAGGTGATATATGGCCAATGCAGTGCCCACTGTTGTGGAGTTACCTTTTTACGTTTCTATCTAAATATGTATAACCGGCAATGATAGACGATAGGGTATAGTTCCTCAAATCACAAATATAAATTAAATTCCGATCTTTACCGACATGCAGGTGCGCTAGGGCTAGGTAGGATTTTGTGGAGAGGTCGCGGGATTTTTAATGACATTATGCCAATGTTGCTGGATCTCCAAATGCAGACTCTCCATAGCCCAGGCACTCGTGAAACACCTATATCTCAAGGCATGTGCGGAGTTTAACCGGGAGATAGGGAGTCGCTCGACGAGTACACGTCGTTCTTTGGCGTCACCAAAATTAGATCGAGCGTCCCCGTAGGGCCGTGCTAAAATTTATTTTGATCAGCCAAATTCCTCCTATTTCTTCTTGGGATACTTTTTATAGATTACAAAAGTTTTAACCTTAACTGGAGATTTCGACCTTGCGCAGACCATAGTTACCGAAATACCCAGTGACTCTATACCAGAGCCTGTCTCACAATAAAACTTCTATTATTACAGCTTAGTATAGACTCAGCAATTTGCTTTCGACGTTATAATCACTATTATTGATATAGAGATCATCACCTACCTGTGTAAGACATTTACTGTGTTTCTGACTATCTCAATCTGTGACCGCCCCGTCTCTCCTGATCTATCTGTACCCTCGAAATATCCCACGAGAGTATTCAGTTTACTAGGATTGATAAACTGTCTCATCAAAGCGACCATACTATTGTTATAAATAGGATTAAGAAAGACACTGCAATCGCCTTCTACTATCTGTATATATTCACTATAAAATATAAACCTATATTTGCAGACTCGGAAGGTATCTAGACTATAGATTTACCTCAGCTCTGCTATAATAATCTTTAATCAATATATACTAATTCAGGTTCCCTTTTCTACTGTACTCTCTTTTTGGTATCTTTTCTTTTCAACGGCTATTACCCAAGTGTACATATAACAGACCTTATTCTTCACAGCAAACTTATACCTTTCAACAGGTATCTTTTTATATCTTCTATATTATCTATCGGGCTGACTTTCAGCTTAAATATTGTCTTGAACAATGCAGAATACATATTCTTGAGTATTGCGTTTATCCAAATATTCAAGATTTGTCTACAATACTCATAATATACACTTTGATACCCGATGTATTATAGTAGAAATATTAACACCAAATAAAAAATAGGCAATTAGTTCTGTGATCATGCTCCTAATCGGTAGCACCCTCGATCTATCCCAAATCAACCCCCCCCAAATCTTGGCAACAGTCTGTATTATATGCGCTGGCTTTTCATTTTTTCATACCGAGAAACGCAATTAAAATTCTGGGAATCATAATTCAATGCGCAGGCATTGGCTGCGAAGCAATCAGGCTTGCTTTGTTCGAGCTCCCCCTCGGTCCATTAAGGACAAGAATGAATTTACTGACAGCACTCTACCACTTCGCACCTGTCTGCTCGACATTTTGTCTATTGGGCGCCGCTATTGTCGAAGGTCCGCATGTTTTCTTTGACAGTCTTGGCAGGTGGGAGCGTTTATGCTATCCTTCAATTGCGCTGTTGCCTTTGGCCTCAATCTCTCGATTGTTTTCCGGATTCGTCACATGTCATCCCTTACTTTGACAGTTTGCGGAATTCCAAAGGCTGTGCTTACCATGATTGTACCGACTCATCTTTGGGGGGGAGAGAGTAAGCTTTATGCAAATTTCTGGCTTTACAATGGCCAGCGTTGGCGTTGTCTATTACTCGCAGTTGGATATACGGAAAGATAAGAGAGCTGCCAACGTTAGGAATGAAGCTGGAGAAGGATCACAAGAGCTGCGAGTTAGAGGTATACCTACTGAAAAAAAGGAGCCTTCGGCCCTCATGCCGCTCATATTCTCTACCGAGATGCATCACATATCAGACAGTAGATCTGGTAGTAGCGTCGAGACCTCAGAGGTGGAGATACCGAAGCTGGTTTTCACCGTTGCTGTAGTTTTTTGGGCATTCATGCCTCCCTCATGGACTGTGCCTACAAAATTCATGCGCCAAGTACGATTCCAGTCCATGGCGCATAGCATAATAGGTTGTACATCTGAGGCGCTATCAATTCTAGAACCATCGATAAATATCCATAGTATGAGGGCGCACTCAGTCCATGTTTCAAGCACAACCAGCCCCAGGCGCTTCAAGAGCCCCTCAGGCAAGTTATAGTCCCGCCCAGATTTGTCTTCCTTGTGTAAATGACCCTGCAACACCGCACCTAGATGAGTGACCGCAGCTTACCGATGGGCTCCTGAGAGCAATTGTTTTTCCACTCGAATTAATGGCTAATACCGGCACCAGGTTATTTTTAATTTTACGTTAAGAAACTGAAGACAAATAGCGAAAAGAAGCAATAATTAGTAGTGAGCAACCGCTTCGAAAACCCGATACTGAGCAGTATAAGAAACAGTGCATGTAGGTCCAGAGAAATGGTGAATTTGATTGAATGCGCCTCTGCGTCGGAAAAGATCGATATCGCGATGTTTTTATTCATACTGTGGCCCCTTCTGAGATGGACTCGCCTTGTCCAAGGTGTCCATAGGAAGCTGACTCGTTGAAACACTATCGCTTACAATATCACCGAGGCGGATCGCCCGTTCTTTCAGCAGTTATGGCCTTTCTAATCCACTCAATGTAGAAGCACCGAGTGGAATATCGAAGGTCGCCGAAGCTCGCGTCATGGATGATATATACTCTAGGGTATCCGGGTTTTGAGTGAGGAAGCCAAGGACGGCCAGGACAACCCTATCAATAATCATAACCACCGTTGTCGCAAGGGAGACCATGAGCCATGCCCAGTTAACCACACACGTCGGAGACAGCGTTGAATCACTGAATGTACCAGTGCCATACGCCAACACTTATATCATGAACTCAAAAGGATCCTCTAGAGTATTTGATATAACACTAGATTATTTATTTTCATAAAAAGAAAGAACAGTTACAACATTAACACCGCACAACAGCAATTCTAAAATATTCAAAAACCTTTGCTTTTCTCGCCTACTCTATAACTGCGTTTTTCATCCGAGCTACTCCGGACAGCATCAATTATTACCCAGAGGGCTGTACAAGTCCTACTCACCGCCCACCACTCCAGAAACACAACTGCGGAATTATCACCGGAGCTGCTTTGTGGCTGGCACGAGTTACAAACATTGTTTGAGGAGTTCAAGTCCAGTGGGAACATGAGACGGGTGTTGGCAGGAAGTGCGCGACTCACTTGACCCCAAAAACCCCCGACGACCTCTGATGATATAAGGTATAGGTTTAAGTGCATCCACAGCCTCAACCCAGTTATTTTTGCCCCTTGTTTTACGTTTCAAATTGAGGGAAAAAGCTGCCTAACGAAGCAAGAAAAGGCCGGTCTCGATCTTGCTGGGATAGCCATGATACCTTTACCATTTTAGTTCAAAACCGTCTTTGAATCGGACTCGTATAGCTCTCCAGCCGATCTACGATATTGATTAATTGGGTTTGTTCGATACTTTGGCATAAAAAGTCACGAGTAGTAATACTTGACAAATCGGGAGGTCTTACGGGTCGGCGGGTACGGCTTGGAAAAACCAATTTTGATATTGATGGAAAGCTGAATTATCTGCAGGAAGGGATGGATAAGTCTGGAGTATGACAATCTTCAAGGCAGCGTATGTGCCTGACACATATTGGGAGTGCGATAGGTCTGAGGCATTGAACCGTCTTTGGATTCCATCCTTCCTCCCAATATCACTTTGTTCTATAGCTTGACCTCGTGGCAGGTAATGGCTAACTGTGTCTCTTGGAAGTATGGCCAGAGACTTACAATGCTAACTTCGAATAACCCTTGTGGCCTCGCGGGCTTCGATCATATATCGGCACTTTGATCGAAGCCAAGGGCCGTGATGCTGGAGCAAGAACGGAATGGGAATGCACCCTAGCGCTAGAAACGCTGGCACTGATGACGCCCACTGGATGCCAAGTGTCTCATACATCCTGGGTGTGAATAAAGGAAAGACAGCCCCCAGGACAGATCGGAAGACAGAACTGGCTGCTAGACTGGACGCGGCGAAGATAGAATACGAGTCCACCAGATAGTGGCTCATACTAATGAAAATACAGACCAAGCCGAAACCGAAGAGCGCAGTGCCAATACACCCGACGATAAAATGGACGGATGGAAAGTTTGTCCACGCGAATATGAATAATCCGAGTGGAATAGCGATCGCACCAATCATTGCCGGATGCAATCTTTGCTCAGCTGTAGTGGTGTTGTCTGCGCTATGAAGGATTGTCTGTGCGCGCCGGTGGTCATGGAAGGAATATACAACTCCAAAGACCATGCCAACCAGAACGGCTAGGAAGGGAAGGGTCGCAATACCGGCTGTGCATCCCCGCATTCCATGATAGACGAGGGGAAATGCTGCGAAGAGGAGGTATAAAATACCATACACAATGGCGAGATAGATCGAAATAAGAAGAACAACTGGTTCGAATATCAAGAGTAACCATGGCCTGACCATGGCTGTTTTCACGAGCAAGAAGTGGGGAGACTGTGACTCCTCAAGCTTGCTGCGGTACTCTTTCCCCGTGCGTACAGAGTAAATTCGCGCTCGTCGCCGGAGAAGAACGGGGGAATAGGTCTCCGGGATGATAAGACTGCTGGCGATCCAAAGTACACCGGACATGATCGCGATGAAACGCTGGATCCATCTCCATCCCTTTGTCATGCCAATGAAACTTCCGATAATCGGGCCGAGGGTAGGGCCAAAGAACAAACTTGCTGTAAAGATGCTCATCGGAGTATTTCTTTCATCCGGCGAGAAAAGATCCGCAATTACCCCACCTGTGTTCACTAGCGAGGAGGATCCAAATGCTCCTGCAAAGAATCGACACAAGAGGAGGGTCGGTATGTTGGGTGAGCATGCAGCTCCAATATTGAAAGCTGTGAATGCGGCGAATGTTCCAATAAAGACAGCCTGTCGGCCCAGGATCTCGCTGAGGGATGCCCAAAGGAGTGGGCCAACAGCAAAACACATGACAAACAGGGTCACCCCAAGGTAGGCTGTGGTGGATGAAATGCCATACTCCTGGACTAGCTGCGGCACGGCGCCGGTATAGGCCGATGATGCCAATGCTACCGACAAAGTGGAGAGGGCGAGTATTATTGTAAAGACCCACTTCCTTGCCCTTGAGAAGCAATGAGGGTCGGCAGGGTCGTTCGAGGCCCATTGTACCATGAATGGGTCATCACCAGTGCCTGTACCTTCGTAGGCCTGCGAGAGGAGATCTTGCCTGACATGTCCTTGGTCAAACATAGATTGGTAAAAGGATATCCCACGGACAATGGGATTCTGCTGTCCTCCACAGCCATTTCTCATAGGCGAATCTGCCATCATGCACCGCATACGTGTCTATGGTAGGAATGATCAAGAACATTGTTTCACTTCCACGACTTCGCGCTGGAAATATTCCGCGATATACGCCAGCGTTTGTCATCACAATTAATAGGAGCAAAGCGTCAATTCTACCATACGGCCATTTCAACAGACAGGAATAGCCGAACGGAGTCGATCAAACCGGGTGGGTTGACGGGTTGATCAAGGCCGGTCACTCAGTTCACGTAATGCCAAGACACAGGCCCAGCTGATGGGCGATTTTTATACCCAAATCAGACTGAGAGATGGATCAGATAAGATCATGTCTATTTTCAATGTAACCCTAGAGACCTAGACTAGCAGACGCTACAGTTAGTCGAATGCGATGACGTCGCCTCTCGGAAGCTGAGACGATGGCCGGCTATCATGATCGAGCACCGGAAGAGTATATCTCCTCTTGTCATGCGACTCTTGATGTAACCATGACAAGATATCGGTGTGTTTTGTTCGTAGGGGAAATTGCATATAAAGTTAGGGAGAGCGAAGAGAAACCCGAAACAAGATCGTTGAATCATCAGGGGCAGAAGGACCAGCAATCGACACAACTGTATTCTTATTCAACATGGGATCCTTCATTACAAGCGACCAATCCAACCAAGGAAACCCCAAAGATGGAATCCCTTGGTACCTTGATACTCTTGAACGTGTCCCTCCATTGGCGCAGCGTGTCTTAGAGGAGTACGCTGGACTGAAGCCGGAGGAGGTCAAAGAACACGTTCTGGAAATTGTAAGGCCCCTTTGAAATTCTGAGAGAGCTGCTTCACTGACTGGCTATTAAAAGCGCGAGAAAGCCTGGAAATCGTCCCCATATCCATGTGTTGGACTCTTTCGATTCCTCGACTTCTCTCTTCCCGATTCACCACTATATAGCGAAGTGCTTGATCGAGTCAAATACGGAGAGAAGCTGTTAGACTTCGGCTGCTGTTTTGGTCATGATATTCGAGTCTTGATCACAGATGGGGCGCCCGCTGAGAACCTCTATGCTGCGGAGCTCAATGCAACCTTTTTGGATCTTGGGTTTGAGCTATTCCGTGACCGAGATACTATCAAGTCTACGTTCTACACGGCAAATGTCTTTGATGAGAACGACAAGCTCCGTGACGAGAGATTGGATAGCTTCGAGATAATCCACACTGGTTCCTTTCTGCATCTCTTTTCCTGGGACGGCCAGAAGAAAGCGGCCCTTGCCCTCCTGAGGCTTCTTAAAAAGCAGAAGGGATCGCTGATTGTCGGACGTCAACACGGCAGCACAACGGCCAAGGAGGTGCACAATTATCTCTACAAACCGACCAAGGAGAACGAGGCCAATGGACGACTAGCCACCTTTTTTAACCATGATGCAGAGAGTTTCCAACGGCTTTGGGACGAGATTGGGGAGGCGACAGGATTGGAATTTGAGGTGAAAACTGAATGGGGCACTTGGGGCTCTGCGAATGGAATGGATCCGGCGTACTATAATCTTTGGTCGTGGGAGGATAAGGAGACTCTGCGTTTCAAGTTTTGGGTTCGAGTGATCTAGAGTGCATTGACCGGGGGTTATTATGGCGCAAGAGAGCGGACGGGGTGAGAGATACTGGAAGAAACAGTATGTGGTTAGTTCATATCCTAGAACGGTGTGACCACTCGGTTTAGAAATGGATGGTCTTTCAAAAGGCGACCAGAGCCACCATGCGCTACAGCCCTGGATCAATGGTAATGCCACATTTCGACACTAAACTTTACCCACCTACGTTTAAATGAACCCCATATATCGCCCGGTGGGAATAACAACCGTTTATGGCTCGCCAGCCTTGCCTTCTGAGACGCTCTTCTAAGCGCCGAGACTAGACTGGAATTGGCTCTAGTCTTACATGGCGGCTGTGATAAAACAATGATTCGGACCATCAAGCTTTACGGTTGTCTCCGCCTGCGACTGCGCCGGTTGCTGCATCTATTCCTTCTCCGCTAAAGCGACACGTGATGGTCCTGCGAAAATAGCTAGCTTGGAGACTAGAAGCCAAACGCTGATGTCAAATCCACAGCTCATCCAAGACTTTGAGGATGCCGAGCAAGTATAATGTTTGCTATTCCTTCCCAGAGTGTAAAGGACTAGGCTTATCAGAGGCTATATCTAAGCAGCGGATTCATGGATTAGTCAGATCATGTCCTCTACGGAGCCGCGTGCAGATAGGCTTCCTACTTACAAGGGACTACGCTCCTCATGAGATCAACAAGAATGAGATAGTGATAGTGGGGTATATCGTCCTTCTATGTGCTCCTCTGATCGATATGATAGTTGTCGTGTAGTCTATAAGCCTACACTGCAGCCCTCCCATTGGCCCAGATTTGATATTGCTATATACTTGGATTGGTGTTTGGGTCCATGCAGTCGATTCGGCTGGCCTGTATCTGGCGGCAAATGATTGGTCGATGACTAATAGAACATAACGTATTTCACTAGCGAGCGCCGCACACCAACGAGCGCCGCACCTCTTCAAAAATCTACACGTCGTTTTGCCTCCCTTAATTCAACCACCCACCATGCCTCCAAAACGGCGTCAAAATCGAAGAGAATCAATTGAGCAGAAGGATAGAATCCTACTAGCAGTTTCTGCTTTAAAAAATCAAGCAATTCGCAGTTTTCGTGAAGCAGCTCGTATTTATAATATCTATAAAAGAACTCTGCGGTGATAATAGAATAACTTCCCGCTCAGAAACACACACCAATAATTATAAATTAACTTAAAATAAAGAGGATTTACTTGTACAATAGATTCTATTACTAGATCGACATAGAGTATCTCCTAGACTATCAGATATACGAGAAATAGCTAATCTTCTTCTTACTGACTGCGGTACTATATCTATTTAATTAGTCGGAGTAAACTGGACTACCAAATTTACTAAACACCGTAATAAAGTGAAATCCTGCTTTTCTCGACAATATGATTATTGATATACTAAATGTGAAGATCCTAAAGCAATTCAAGAGTAGTTTAACCGTGTACAAATTATGATAATACAATATGAGATTGTACAGGAAGATATCTATAATCTTGACAAAACTGGCTTTGTTATAGGTCTAATAACTAATACTTGAGTAGTTACTAGAGCTGATTACTATAGAAAAGCACTTCTTGTATAGCTAGGTAATTGGGAATAGGTTACTTTTATTGAGTATATTAACTCTACTGGCTGGGTGCTTCCTCCCTGTATTATCTTCAAAGGGAAGATCCATATAGAGAGCTAGTATTAAGATTCAAAGCTTTTATCTAGTAACAGGATTAAAGTGAGTCCTAATAGATAGACTACTAATAAAATAGGCCTTCGCTGGCTTAAAAATCTCTTTATTTCTGCTACTACTAGTTGTATAACTGGGAAATATCGTCTTTTAGTTATAGATAGCTATGGCAGTCATCTTACACCTCAGTTTGATCAGATATACAGTGAGAATAATATTATTCTTATCTATATACCTGTGTATTCTTCCAACAAGCTACAGCCTTTAGATATATACTGTTTTCGGTCTCTAAAAGGCGCGTACAGCGATTTAGTAAAGCAGAAAATAAGTTTAGGAGTCAGCTATATTGATAAGCTTGATTTTCTACAGATCTTTCCTGAGACTCGCAAAAGTGCTTTTATAATAGAGAATATTCAGAATAGCTTTGTAGATACTGGCCTAGTTCTATTCAATCCAGATAGGATACTAAGTAAGTTAGATATCTAACTGAAGATCCCTATATTACCAGACAGTCGGTCAACTAATTCTGTGCCTAAAATACCCTATACTACTAGGCAGCTAGAGAAGCAGGCATCTACAGCAAGGAAGCTATTTAAAGAATGTGCTCAAAGCCCTTTTCCTTTACTAGAAACACGATTAGATAAGATTATTAAAGATTATAAATTGACTTTTAATAAGCTTATTCTTGTAAAGAAAGAAATACACAAATATTGTGCTAATAATAAATAGAAAAGCCAAAAGCAGAAGACATCTGCTAGACAGCTAGCTATAGAAGAAGACTTATCTCTCCAGGAGGGCTTAGACAGATTCCAGTGTGAGAATGAGGTTCCCCAGCTTATCAGCATGTATGTCCATTTCAGACATGCCCACGAAATATAGCCCAGGACTGGCATATTGACGCAGATTGGTTAAGTCCTTCGCCTCTCCTTCCGCGATAGTCTGGATCGTAGTTTTCCGGGAATGTCATGGATCCTGGTATAACCAGGCATTGTGGCAACGTGTGGTGGACAGTTCACGTTCTCGATCAGGCCCTTGCGGCAGGCTACGGCGGACCAAATATCATGCTTGCTAATCAACCCTCCAATTATCGAAGACCACAATTATTTTCAATCACGGGTCTATACACCGAGTGAGTACGAACGCGACCAGAGAGGTTATTGCTGGACCATTGGGGAGTCATATTTTAGCACAATCTCTGTATTCTATCACCGGCATGCATCTATCTATCTACGTGCCTGCCGGGTATGCCCACTTTAGGATGTGCTCGAGTGCAACTCTCTGTTGTAATAATAAATTTTTTCTCTAGGCACCATACAGCAGCTAATCACCGTCCATAATTCATTAATTATTATTTCTAGGCCCGTACTATGTCTGTATAAGTATTTTTTTTTTCTTTTCTTTTACTTTTCTCTTCCTCCTTTTTGTTAACTGTGAGAGGGAGGTTACTAACTTCCTATACCAATAGATAGTCCAGCAGCCAGATTTGAATGAAAGAAGTGAGATTAGCATTAATGATATTGTTGTAGGGTGCCTCCCGGGGTCACCTGTAGCCATTATAATAGGATCACGAGATCATCATCTCTCATCCCACCTGATATCACTATTGTCTTCTCCCCTCCTCATTGGCTTGCCTAGTGACACTCCATTCGATTGTCTTGATCAGTACCATTGCCTTTGTATGCTATATTACTTTAATATAATAGTTAATACCCAACCATGAAAGGAACGTCATAGTCTTGGCAACCTGACGGGTTAGCCCAAGCCCATTCTGTTGGTCGCGGACTCAGGTTAGTAGGTGAGAGGACTATCCTAGGCCAGACATATGTTAATCAAAAAATAAATTGGATCTATGGAATATCCTTCATCACCCAGAGAATCGCTTTACTGAGTGTTGTCTCAGAAGCTCAGAGTATAGATTCTAAATCATATTATTATTGTAACTCTAGGATGAGATATATATAAGATCCCAACTTATCAATTGTATCGACCTAATCAGTGGTACCACTGTCATGAATCCATCTCATCCACTAATCATCCATATTTCCGACGCTTATATCAGCAGGGGGAATAGTTTCGCCCTCCCCCTCAATATCCTGCCCCACGGGCCAAGATTGCTGCAGTGCTGACTGGAAGTCTTCTTCACTGACTTCAGACGTGTCCACACTTTGCAAGAGTGATAAAGTTAAACCAAGTCCTTATCTTACTTATAAATAATCAATGATTGCAATATTACTTACATCACGATATAATGGAAAGGGAACACACGGGGAGGTGGGCCATGTTCAGCTGATTGCAATTCAGCACCAAGGTTAGAGAGTGCTTCGGTGATGGCGTTAATAACAGGACTCTCTCTATATTCAGGCGGCTAATTAGACAAATTGGCTCATCGTATCTTGGGTTTGTAGAAAGCTCACGTGTCTCCAGGTTCAGCGAGGGGAGGAGCAGGCTCCAGGGTGCGGACGTGGACAAGCTAAAGTGGAGGAAGACAGTCAGTATGATGCTGTAGAGTCTGCGTAAGACCATATGGTAGTGGAAATAGAATGGAAGACGGACAAAGTTGGTCTAATTTAATAATTAGTTGAGATATTCATAAAAGTAGTTTGTTTGGTCTTGGTTTATACTGACAGGCATTTTGGCGTTTATTTTATTTTACTGATATAGACAGTGGGCGTAGTACTTCGCAGGATTATTATATAAGACGAAGAATAGAAAGAAAGAAAAAAGGAATAAGAGAAGTTTATTCAGCGCCTGTATAGAGTCATTTTATATTCCCTGAAGAAAGTGAGGGGCGTTGTTTTCAGCTCCAAACACCACCTCCCCCTACTAACTATGGACACCGACCGCCCCTCCTTTTCAGCCGTGCTGATCAGCTCTCAGCCGCACCATCCACCTGGACTCAAGCGTACAACGCAATGGTATTTTCAGTTCCCCCCCCCCCCCCCCCCCCCCCCCCCCCCCACCCCCCCCCCCCCCCCCCCCCCCCCCCCCCCCCCCCCCCCCCCCCCCCCCCCCCCCCCCCCCCCCCCCCCCCCCCCCCCCCCCCCCCCCCCCCTCCCCCCCCCGCCTTACATTTTAGCCTGACGTGTAACTTGAGACTCAAAAGTTGGTACGGTCTACAACAATAATATTATTAATTTTCATCAACCTATAAGATTATGAGAGACTTGGTTTGTAACAGAGTAAAGTCCCTGCTATTGTATATTTTGGTTTCTTTTTATATATTATATTACTTTATTGGATATATTATCTTTATAAAATAGAATTGAGAGATGTTATCTAATAGTATTCTGAACTGGGCATTAATAGACAAGAATTCTAAAAGATACTAGTTACTTGTTTAAAGAGTATTATAATAAGTAATCAGTCTTGGATAGTTATATTACTAGTATACTATTAGATTAATGCTTTTTCAATTAATAAAAAGTCTTACTAGGCCTTACTTTCATAGCTGTTGGCATAATTACAAATAGCCTTGACCACGCCGGGACTTTCAATTTGTCTAAGAAGATACTGTCATGCCTTTTGTCTAATAGTCGGTCTAATGCGATCGGCAACAGTACTTATCGAATTAGGACGGTTTGGTATATGCCAGCAACTCCACCATCACCTATAATTAATATGGAAAGCAGAGACAGTGGCCAAGAGCTACAATCAAAAGATAAAACCGCAGTAATGCGGTCTCACAACAGTACATATATTGGCCCTGGTAAACTGTTATGGGAAGCACATGTCGGGTATAAACCTACATGTACTTTCAATTCTCGGGAAGTGTTTGGGAAATGATTATCCCTTGGTCTAGCAATCCCTTTATAACCTATTACTATAGCCTGACCATGGATAGATTCCCAGCGAATTCTAACCCAGGCCATCCTGCCGCCCTATTCAACTCGCACCTCCTTCTGAATTCAATAGCACTACCGGCATACCGCGCCACGTTCCTCACCATCTTACCTGCGACATTCTTATTCACACCAGTCATCCAGCTATCCACCTCATTCAGCAACGCACCCTCGCTGCACTCTGCCACATGCTTGGTCCAGGCTTCGACTGCTTCTTCTTTCGCTTCGACATATGTATAGCCATTTTCGTCACAAGTAGCCAACATCTCGACGATAACATCAACAGCGTGCTCGATGCTACGAGGCACGTTCCCAAAAGGCTGGTGAGGTCCTAGGACCATAAACATGTTAGGGAAGTTGGGAGCTGTCATGCCCAGGTACGTCCGTGGTCGATAGTCAACCCACACGGCTTTGTCACCTTTCTCAGTGCCGCTGTTCCCCATAAGAGGGACACCGTTCTTGCCAATCCAGTCAATATTCGCAAAAGCGCCAGTGATGGCATTAAAGCCAGTAGCATAGATTAAGATATCTAGCTCGTGCTCTGTCCCATCTTGGAGCCGGATTCCCTTAGGTGTAACCCGATCAATGGCGTTCTTTTTCAGGTCGACCAAGTGAATATTGGGCTGATTATACGCCTCAAAATACCCGCTCTCCAAAGGCACTCGTCGCAGGCCAAAGCCGTGATCTTTCGGAACTAAACTTTCGGCGACTTCAGGGTCGTTCACACGGGCTCGAATCTTCTCGGCCATGAAGTTGGAGTATAATTGATTCGCCGTTTGGTCCGTGTATGTGTCGCTAAAGGCGCCTAGCCATTTAGCCATTCCGGGTGTCGCGTAGATCTTTTCCCATAGTTCATGACGCTCCTCTGGTGTGACGTCAGACGACTTGCGAGGGTCTGCCTTGTGCATGAAGCATGTTGGTGTGTCCGCGCACGTTTGAAAGATCTCGGCCCAGTTCTTCCGAAGTTCTTCCATTTCCTGGTCGGTAATTTCACGATTGTGGAGGGGGGCAGCCCAGTTGGCGGTCCGCTGGAATACTGTGAGTGATTTGATGTCCGTTACTTTGGAAAGGGCAGTAATCGTTTGGATCCCAGTGGCTCCAGTACCCAAAACACCAATGCGTTGGTTTGCGAAATCCGCATTGGTTAGGTCTTTAGGCCATCGTGAGGTGTGGAATCCACGGCCTTGGAATGAGTTAATGCCAGGAATGGCGGGAAGTGTTGGGTTGGAAAGAAAGCCAAGGCAGGAGACGAAGAATCTCGTGATGTAGGAACGACCGCTTTCATCGATGAAATGCCATTGACGTCTGTCACCCTCCCATTGTGCAGATACAACGCGTGTGTTAAATTGGATGTCACGGCGCAGATCAAGCCGATCGGCGACGAACTGAATGTACTTTAGGGTATCTGGCTGGGCCGAGAAAGTCTCCTTCCAACGCCAGTCATTCAGGATACCTTCGTCAAACGAGAAAGCATAAGAGACAGACTCGGAGTCGAAGCGTGCGCCAGGATAGCAGTTCCAAAACCACGTGCCACCGACATCCGATGCTGCCTCAAGGACTCTGACTCGCCAATGGGGGAATCGTTTCCGAATATGATGAAGGGCGCAGAGACCGGACATCCCGGCCCCGACCAGCAATACATCATATTCTTCGCGAGATGCGGCCATAGTGGGACTGGAAGAGAGTAGAAAATGTCTCTAGCGAAGGAAATGACAGATGAAGACTTTGATCTGCCCGCCTCTTGGTGACACGAGTGCCTCTTTTTATCTCTATTACCATGGCCATAATGAACGGAGAAATCGGGGGCTCGGAGCTGCATTCCTTGTGCGTTATCCTATGTCACTCCAAACCATTGGAAGTCACGAAACTCTCTCTATCCTTTACCCCGCAGATGGCCGACGGAAGTGGAGCTTATCTTTTGCCTGGACTCAACAAATAGCTGGCCCCCTTATGGGGAATACCCTAGTCGATTGGCCAAAAGAAAAGGTCATGGGAGACAAGAGCAAGACCTGGAGGCTTTCCTGATAAGCAACTCGCCCTCGGAGTCCGTAATGCCTTTTCTGTAGAATGCCATTCTTTCATTTTTTAGCAATGGACCAGGTTGACCTACATGAACCTGCGACGCAGCAGCCGCGGCCTTCTCGCCGCATCCGCGCGTAAGTCTTCTAGTAAAGATTTTTAGATGTACAAAGACCGTCACTGAATTGTTTCCCTGCCACAGCTGCAAGCAATGTCGGACGGCCAAAGTGCGATGCTCGGGGATGCGGCCCTGCGAGAGATGTACTCGTCGCCGAGACAAATGCGCTTTCGCCGCCGATGAGGCCCACGTATCGGTCCCAGAACGGTATCTGCAAGATTTACAGCGTCAACTTGCCCATTTCAAAGCATCGGTGATGATGACGACGACTTCAACTGGGACAGAGGAGCGACCAGTTTGGCGGGGGTCGGTGTCGGAGAGCGAGACCGACCCGTCGGTTATCACGCCGACCTCGCTAGACACGAGACCAGCCACATCGGCCAGACCGGCAAGATTCGCCGAGATAGACCCACTACCAAGCTTTGATGGTATGAGGTGACCTGAGAGGAAGCTGATGTGTGTCTAACGCTGCCAATAGCAAGCAACACTACTCCCCGCCAACAGTCTAACTCGTCAGTGGGGCTCGCAAGCGGTTCGACCGAGAAGAACGGACATGAATCAGGCAACGTTCCACAAGCCTATAATCCTCTCGTAGCAAAGGATGTGGCATATGTGAACGGTTCTGATGACCGCCGTCTCTGTATGCGGCCATGCCTTTTGTGTAGACATCATTGAAATACTGACCGTTGCATGTCGAAGTATTCCTGGGACATACGTCCACATGGTCTTTCTGCCGCCGTGTCTTCACGCTGTTGGAAGATGCCGGGTCATACTCGACTACACATCGAGCGCCGTTAAATCTAGATGGAGCAGCATTTCGTCTCCATTGGCAGCCAAAGACCGAGGTCGATGCCAGTGACCTGGTCAAGCTTCCGCCAGCAGACCATGCATTCCTTTTGTACAATACCGTGAAGTTTCGCCTAGGTGAGCTTTTCAATGTTGTGGATGAAGATAATTTCTTGCGATTGTTCGAAGAGTTTCACAAACAGCCGTTGGAGACTGCACAGAAGCATCGCCTTTGGTTTGTTGAGTACCTGATAGTCCTCGCGTTTGGAAAGGCGTTTACCTCTTATGCGGATCCCACGACTGTCGCCCCCCCCGGATCTGATCTTGCCTCACGAGCTTTATCCCTACTTCCAGATGTCGCATTTCTTCAAGATGACCGACCCGCCCTCCTTGCGATGGAGAACTTCGCTCTGATTGCGCTGTATTTCCAGTCAATCGACATGCGATCCCCAGCTTATCAATATGTACGTCCATTCCAGACATGCCATGCCCTCTCAATGTAACCCAATACTGACTTAGTGATGGAGATTGGTCAAGCCCTACGTCTGTCCTTCCACGATGGTCTCCATCGTAGATTCCCGGAAGACGTTATGGATGCTTGTATAACCAGGCATTGTAACAATGTGTGGTGGACGATTTATGTTCTCGATCAGGCCCTTACGGCAGGACTGGGCTGTCCTCCTACTATACCACTAAGCAGCATTACCGCCCCGCTACCAGATACTCTGTCCTCCTCAATGTCTACAAAAGCCCTTGCATTGCGAAGCCGCCTCTCGCAGATTAATTCAATCATCTATAGCGGTATGTTCATCCTTGTCATACCTTGACCCCGGTACGCTGGAGCTCCTTTCTAATTGCCTACACCCTTTCCCCACAGGTATCTATAGCTTTGACGAGAACCTCGGATCTGATTTTGTCTCCAGCATCACCTCAGTGCTCCATAAGCTGGCCGAAGTTTCACGCGAAATCGACGAGGTGATATCAGGGTTCAAGGCTACTAAGGGGGAGCTTCCTCACATGTTTTATAACATCACCCTATCACACCACCATGTGAGTGTCTTCCTCTATGGGAGACCATAAAATCCATTGCCGTTCCAGTCCTAACACTTAGGATATTAGTGCATTGTTCTAGCGACGCGGCCATTGGTAATTTGGCTTCTCATTCGGAGTTTACCACCAAGCAAATTCGATCAGCGTATACTTTCTGGCCCGATAGCCAAATTGCTTGAAAAGTCGGTACAATCCGCGACGACGACATTATTGATTTTGATAAACTTGTTAGACCGTGAGACACTTGGTTCGTAAAATAGTTCACCCCAATCTATAGCGAAAGATCCTCCACTAATCCACACAACCCTCTTTCCAGAGACCTTTCTCCCATTTCCACTGGAATACACCTTCTCGTCAGCAGTCCTGCTCACAATTCTCAGTGCCATCCTCCCAACATATGTTCCGGACTCGGGATGGCACCGCGCGGTATCATCCATCTTTGACGAGATGATTCGAAAGGGAAACATTGTAGCCAAACTGCGAAGAGCGGAGCTCGAACATCTTGAAGCGCTTGTAGAACCGTATCGGATCCAGAACTCCACCATGCACTCGCTGCAGCCGGCTCCCCATCAAGACAGCGCAGCTGTACAACATCCCTTTTCTGGCCATCCCAGAGCGTTGGACGTACATGTCGATCACGACCAAAATCCTTTTAGAATAAACTGGAACGACTCGCAGGATTTGTTAGAGCCCTTCGAAACAGGGTCGGACGATATAATCGCCCTGGCGGAGCAACTCGAGCATGATGATTTTTCGTTCACTATTTGATTCAGCGAGCAAATTTTGGTTTTGGCCGGATTAATCCAATGTGATTATGGCAAATCTAATCCTTAGCATGCTATCTTTGGCCCTGGATGGTGTAAACGCTTGGACACAGAAAGAATCATGGAGTGGATAACTGTATAATTGTACATTTTTGCTTCGTCAGATCCCAGAAGACCGAGTTTCCGATACATGTCTTAGAAAGAAGCAAGGCACAGTATCTAAAATAATATTCCATCGGGCCAATGCCAGGTTCCTTTTTCCACAACGTTAGTGATGAAATGCTGTCATTAATTCTAAGCATAATAGTTATCTAACGCAGTACTCCAACAACCCGGTAAATCGTAATGCCCTTAACAAGGGTGTTTGCATTTTAGGCTATGTATGTCAACGTACATCCCGTCCCAGCCAAATACATTTCTACATTTCAAACTGTGACTTGCCTTCGAGAAGGCCTCTTCTTACGCTTGATGTACAGAAGCTCTGCAATCTCACCCCAGAAGGTATTTGCCTCTTCCGTAGTAGTGGCCTCATACGCATCGACCTCTAGACGTTCCCAGACAAGATCGATATCCTTTGGACCTTCGGAGCTTGGTCGACCAATAATCTTCCAGCCGACATAGAGGCAAATTGACAGAAGAGCCATCGTATAACAACTGAAGAAGTTTTTGGTACTGAATGGCATGAAGGCTGTGTATCCGAAAGCCCCTATGACGAGCAGGAAGAAGACACTTGCGATATAGCCGCCTTTTCGACTGTTAGCTCTGTGATCTTTTAAAGAGCCTAATAAGCCGGGTGGGGTAGACTTGCAGTATGGCTGGAACAAGCCGTAGTAAGGCAGCGTCTTTCGGTCAAATCCTTGCGCTTTTAACGCCCTGTAGAAGTAGACGTAGGTTATCGACATCACAAAATAGTTGATAAATGCCCCACCAGTAACCTACAAGTGGGTGAGTTAAAGGTATTTTATTTATCGCTGGCTGATTTGGACTCACCAGGTTCACAAGTAGACTCAGGGTATCGGCGGTCTTGGGGCTTGACTGTAAGAAGGATAGACAGGCGAAGGCTATGGTAACCGCTAGACAGTAAATCGGGACTCCTTGCTTCGTGGTCTTCTTGAAGATTGCAGGCGCACGGCCTTCGATGGCCATACTGTACAGGCTCCGAGAGGTGCAGTAAACGTAAGAGTTTCCGGCAGAAAAGATAGATGTAACCAGAAGTGCGTTGACAATTTGTGGGAAGACCGTTACCTGATGGCAATAGAGCTTTAGTATCTTCATATGCATTATAGGAACATGGATCACTGACTCCAAGGTTGTTCATCGCAATGACATAGGGAGAGGCAGCCGCAGTACCTCCACCACTTCCACTACCAAGCAGGATACTTACTAATGTGGAATCATTGTATGGAATGACAATACCGACGGCGAGCGCACTTAGGATAAAGAACAAAAGGAATCGGTAATAAACCGTCTGGTACGCTGATTTGAGATATTTTCTCGGGTGTTTCGCCTCCGCCGCGACAAGTGAAATGTATTCCGGACCGACCACGCAGAAGGATGCACTCCACGTTGCAGACAGAAAGCCTTCCCAGTGACCCATACTGCCAGTGGAGCGGTACGTCTGCATGAAAAGAGAGTTAGAGGATATACCTAGAAGAGGATTGTGGTACATACAGCAAAGGGTCCTGGACTTTTCCAATAGCGGAAGCCATAAGCGTCATGCTTCGGGTTGCCACCAACCATAGTAATGAAGGTGAACAGGAAGAGTGCGATAATCAAGACAACCTTACCTCCTGAGAGCCAGAACTCGGCCTCGCCGTATGCATTCACAACGAGGGAGTTGAGAACCGTGTACAGAATGATGCAGCCCAGGCACACTGCCCATATTGGGGCATCCTCATTCCAGTGCTGGATCATGATTGCCATTGAACCAATCTCGAACGGGATTACCAGCGCCTCGTAGATAAAGTAGTTCCAACCAGCCATGAATCCAAACGCGTCACCGACAAAATGGCCAGCTAGACGGATAAATCCTCCAGCCACAGGATACTGGGTAATCATCTCAGCCATACCATTATTCACCAACGCGACAAAGAAACAGTAGAATATGAAGGCCAACAACAGGCCAGCTGGTCCCGCAGCATGGAGACCACTTCCGATCGTAACGAAGAGGCCAGTACCAATGGATCCACCTGGAGAATGCTTTCAGCAACTTGGATATGTTATTCAATTTTGGAGCGAGAGCACTTACCAATCGCGATCAGCTGAATTTGACGGTTATTCAGGCGGCGAAGAAGGTGGTGGGAGTCAACATAGGACCCCTGATCCATCTCTCCATTATTGGCTGCGTCTTCACCAATAACCTTGTCCATACCGACTTTTTCTGGCTTGTCGGAACCTTTCAGGGTGGTCATGTTGAGCATTCAAGCAAGGGGTTACAGAGTGCGATAGATGTTTTGTCAAATATGCGGGCTTGGTTAAAGCATTGCAGTGCTTTGGCCCATAGAATATAGTAAATAGAACCTAAGAGTAAACATCCAATGATCGCATGATCGTCTATCAACCTGGAGAAACCTGGGGTTTGACCCACTTCCTCACATCCAGTGTGTCGGCTCGGAGTCCGACGCCATTTGGCGCACCCACGGGATATACGGATACCTTATCATCGTCGGTGATCAGCCCGTCGCTGGTAAAGGGAAGTCAAAGATGGAATAGGGAAGATTTCTCTATCTCCACCATCGAAGTATATCAATATAATTTAGAAGGCCCCAGGATTCCCTGCATCTAACAATCTTTCATCCACAATTCTTCTGATCTTCTCACAGAGCAACACAGACATGGCTTCTCATGAAGGAAAAGTGGTGAGTCCCTTGAAATATTTGAAGGGCTTATTTTGGCCCCCGCTTTGTGGTACTAATTCATGTATAGATCGCGGTCACCGGCGCAGCAAGTGGTATGGGACTTGCCACTGCTCAGCTACTCGCATCCCGAGGTGCCTCCATCTCGCTCGCGGATCTGAACGAGGACGCATTAAAAATAGCCATCAATTCATTGCCAGGTGGCCATCAGAAGCACATTGCTACCAGGGTTGATGTCCGAGATGAGCTTTCTGTTGCGGCATGGATCGAAAAGACAATATATCGATTTGGCAAGATTGATGGTGCCGTGAATATGGCCGGAGTATTAGGGCCTCAAGCCCCAGTCACTGGTACAAGTGTGAAGCAATTGGAGTTTGTTCTCTCAGTAAATGTCACTGGAGTTTTTAATTGCCTCCGTGCCCAGCTGAGCGTCATGAAAGGCGGCAGCATTGTAGGTCTCTCCTGGCTCGAATCTCGAGTGTTATCAAGTCCAGCTAATAGACTGAGCAGGTGTCAGCCGCTAGTACCTTTGGTCAAATAACTATGCCCAATGCCTCTGCATACTGTGCCAGCAAAGCCGCGGTGATCGCCATATCAAAGGCAGCTGCAAAGGAAAACAGAAATGTCCGAATCAATTGTGTTTCGCCAGGTGAGTCTTCAACATGTTGGAAGTCATTCTGGATGTATCCCACCTTTCCTTCCGTCTTTGCAATTATCCGAGGCTAATCAACCGTCAAAAGGCACTGTTCTCACCCCAATGTCTGCAGACCATGACCCTAAACGTGTGGAGTCTGGTGTCATGGCAAACGCACAGAGGAGACTTGGGTCTGCCGAAGAAGTTGCGAAGGTGATCGCTTTTCTAGTTAGCGAAGAGTCCAGCTTTGTTACTGGAGCTGTCTATAACGTTGACGGTGGTTGGATATACTAAGCCCAATAATCTCATACGTCTTCTCGAAAATAAAGTATAAAAGATACAAATTTTACATTATCAATCTTGAGGCTTATAGAACCCCCAAATATCGTACTACCAATGTGAGCATATTGATTGCATCCCTCTCTAGTTAGGGTGGTTTATTTTTCGTAACATGAGAAGACAAATGTACATGAAAATTACAACGGAGATTCTGGTCTTCGAACTGTAAACAACGCGAGGATTACGAGGTTACTCCTTCACTAAAATAGAAGGCCAAACTGGTTACGGACTATGCGCATTTTGTAATCATTTTGCTACCATGATCATGCAACTTTGGAAAGAAAGGTATTTGATAAGAACGATCCCAGTGCTTGATGGCTCATAATTAAGCTACCAAAAGATCCATTATACCCTAGATAGGGTATTACAATTTGGCAGCCCCCTTAGACTCTGCCCTGATAAGCTCTCTCCACTCGGCTCCCTGTCCTACTCTCCAGCTCACAGATTCTCCCCAATGCGACGCGATTTCACTTGGCGTACGCCACTGCCAGCGAGGTTCATCCTGCTTGCCCTTTGCAATGAGCTCCGTCACCCACTTTCCAAAGATGGGCATCATTTTGAACCCGTGCCCGGAGTCGCCATTCAAGGCAATGACTGATTTCTCTGTACCAGGTACAAAATCGATGCAGTAATTTGAATCTGGGGTGTCTGAAAACCAACAAAGCTTCTTATCCACAAATGGTCGGTCCGCCATCCAAGGAAAGGTTTCTCGTAGCAGCTGTCTGAGCTTCTCCTCATCTCCCTTAGGAATAAAGCCCTGGGAAGGGGAAAGGGCTGGGGATGGTGGCAATGATATTCCATCCTTGCCTGTGTTTGTATACCCAATTCCGAGCGGACATAGCTTGAAAAGTTTTGTCTTTGGGTCTGGTTCGAAAAAGAACCCTAAGTCACGGATATTTGTAGTTGGAATACCACGCAAGAGATTGCACTCATCCTCCGTGAGCTGCACGTGAGCTACAGACCAGGAACGAGCAATAGAAGACTTGTCAAGTTGCGGAAGCAATTCTGCACTGTGGGCACCGAGGGCCGAGATGACCAAATCCGCAAGGTGAGTTTTACCATCAGCTGTAGTGACACCTGTAACTTTTCCGTTGGAATACTCCAACCTCACTGCTTTTCCTGCACGTTCGCCTAGGATAGACTTGACTCCTCGCTGTGAGACATGGACCCAGATTCCCTTCATGGTATCCGACGAGTGAGCATATCCGGCGAGGGGGTTATAGTAGCCCTTGAACCCAGACAAGGGGCCCGTGTATTGCCAGGTGTAGTTCTTGAAATCCTTCGCGCCGTCTAGTCGTCGAATCCCAGGAGCAAATGCAGGGTCTTTCTCAATGGAGGCCAATGCTTTCTCAAGATGTGTGATGGCTTTCCCTGGTGCCTTACCAGTTGTTGCAACCACGTATCCTGTTTGATGGTAGTATGGCCCAAATAGTGGGGTCTTCCACCCTTCAATCGCTTCCTAAATCGCGGAGACCTGTTAGTTTCAAACAGAATAGTGTTTTCCGGAGAGACTGGCATACTAGCGCTAGCTTAGAATAGAAGTCATCTTCATACTCTGCGCGTATGATCTTGTTCAAGTCATATGCAGCGGAATACGGCGAGGGTATAGTTTCTGCACGTTCCAAGATTGTTACGTCGGAGTAACCAGCTTCTGTCAGATAAAGTCCTGTTGAAAGACCCCAGGCACCACCGCCCAATATAACAATGCGAGAATCGCTAGACACCATGACTATTGTCTTCTTTGGCTCAATGAACTTGCTTACGTGTGATGTCTACATGCCGGGAAGATCATATATACTCAGAATACTCTCCCGCACTTCCTATACTGATTGCCTAAGCCTCGGTGTATTTCGGGCGTCGGTGGGGCGACCGACAACGATCGAGATCCACCCTCGGGGATGACTCCGAGATTCTTCTTTTGTCTGAATTCTGGAAGTATATTTTTTTTAACGGGCTTAGGAAAGGAAAATGGTAATGGCAGACCAGAAGTGCGCCCTCAGGCTGTTATTTATCATCCCACACTGGGATTGAAGGTGGGATAGATTACAACCCACGTACTGGTTGACTGCCCAAGACAGATAGATGAATAGCCGTAGATAGATCCTGCATATCGCTGTAGGTGTTAGGCCACTGTGTGAATTTAACTCACACGCTCTCTGTAGCTAGCCAATTCCAAGATGCTCATTTCCCAAGTCCTTCAATACCAAGTCGACCTCATCATCGACAGTTTCAAGAAGGTGCTTGGGCGGATATTGTGGCTGCCAGCCCAATAGCCCTCCATGTCTGGCAGAGTGTAGAGCGAGCCGTCACATGTGCATAATTGGATGGCCTCTTCCAGAGTTTCCGATTACTTCATCCATCTTTCTTCTCACACCACCGCCGAACCCGTTCATTTCCTGGTCCAATAAAGCGACTCATATTATCTACTTCAGGCTTAATATAGTATTTAGTGTTCCAATCAAACGATCACCCGCAAGTACCTCGAAGCTACTAGGTAGACCAGTCAAAACCCTTGCATAGCATCGGTCAGCCATCATCTTCTTGGCCTTTTCTTGCCACCATAGTCTAGTGACCAGGTGACTCGAACAATAGGCCAAACCTTGGAGAAAGCTATAGAGCTGTGATATACAGAACGCACTAATTAAATATTGAGAGATTTTTATAATTGCTACCTTAATGACGTTTAACGGAAGGAGTCAATTGGAAATAGTGATATTTCATTGTACAGGACCGTCTCTACACATATTTCGGGGCTTTCAACTCAGTTGTACATTGAGTACTTAAGACTGCCAAACTATGTTGGACATATTACTCAAGTAGAGATGTTCAACTCAATACATGACATTCAATATTTCCCAACTGTCACAAGGTTCCATCACAGATTGACATTGTTCACAGCACATCAGCGCTAACCCAGGCCAACAAATGGCTCAACCCCCGGAATCAAATCACCTAGACACCCCCTTAGACAGCAATAGCAGCGCCAGCATCAATGCTCGCGACTTCGCGTTTTCCACCCTTCGCAGCTTGATCCTGGAAGTCTTGAACACCCTTCTCAATAGCATCGGAAATACCACCAGCAATCCCGGAGGCAAGGTTCTGTAAATTACCGGGAACCTTGGAGACAATGGTATCAGATAACTTCTTCGCGGCAGTCTTTTGCTGGATCAAGTCGTTATAGGTTTGACCGCCCTTGCCGGCCTGAACAATCTGGGACTTTTTGCCGGATAGATGGGTAACGGCCGTAGTGATCTTCTGCTTGAGGTCGTTCACGGGGCCAGGGAGACCGAGAGCATCGCCGCCGCTGAGGTTGGAGGTGCCGCTGACCTTGGTAGTGCCGGCATTGATGGCATCGACAAGGTTGTCGGAGGCTTGTTGGACCTTGGTCACGTCGCCGCCTGTGTACGCCTGGATTGCTGAGTCGAGGGCGTCGACTTTGGTGCCTATGCCAGATAGGGTGCCGGTGATGGTGGGAAGATCGCGCTCGATGTTGGCAGGGGCGGCGAGGGCACCAGCGGTGAGGCCGAGGGTTAGGATAGAAAAGACGGAGAGCTTCATGGTGATGGAGGTGAATTGGATAAACTTAGGTCGAGGAACGGTGGAGAGCACAGAGGAAGATAGATAATGATACTTAGAATGATGATGAAGGAGATGATTAGATGGTAACTGCTCAGAGAGACCTGGCCGGCTTTATATCTCGTGGACCCCTCACTTCGTGACAAAGGTACCCCATTCTGGGGTATAGCGAAGGATTGGGATCGTGGTGCCTCAAAATTGGAGGATTTCAATTCCCGGATGGTTTAGCGGTAGGTTACAAGATGAAGAAGCCTAAATATTCGGTGATCGACGGGAACTGAATCGCCGATGGTCTGAAATTCCGGGGAAGATCCCCCCTTGAAAATCAGACCCAAAAAGTGGGTGAGACATATGCTAGGTCCTGGAAATCCAATTACCTATACTTATTTGGTATGTACAAAATAAACAAGGGCGATCTCATTATATATTCAGTTAGGTACTTCAGTATTTCAGTTAGCTCACGCCAAGCCCCCAAATTAAAAGGTGTAGCATATATCTTGCTAACTACCTTTCCGGCATTTATGGCCTGGTCTGAGACAAAGACATATTATTGAGGTCTTCAAGGATATAATCGGGGGTGTCACCTGAATCGAACTGAATTATATGGCTAGGCATCTGGGCAAAGCCATGGGTGAATTCGCTCGTGCACCATAGATTGATTGGCCCAGTTGAAGAAGAGACCAAAAAAATGTCTTTCACGCGAGAGAGTAAGATATAATTATGTCGTATGGCAAATACCTCTTCATGTTTGTGTATATGGCCGATTCCATATGCATCTGAGACTCGAATGCTGGACGATAAAACCTGTCATTGTCGAGCATGCGATATCCCGTAGCCGACCATGAGACAGCCATGCTTATGGCTCGAACAGAAAAACATTAATCTCTTGAGATTTATTTCCGAAGGAATGTGGCCTTCAATGATTGACAGTCCTGGTATATCATGCCTATCTCGTCATAGCCAGATTGTGGACGCGCACTCATTTAAAAATCCTAATGATCGTCCTTGGCCGATCCGGATAATATATATTTTGGGTGTGTTGCTGTGTTAAAGATTATTATTCTTTTTTTAAACTAGCTTCATAATCTTGCTTATGAATTGAATTACATAAGCTTTATGCATTTGTGAGTATCACGTGATAACTGATACAAGATATTACACGTGTAGTTTAGAGCCAACCCTCCATGAGTTTCTTTTTTTTTTTTTAATGTCGAATATTATGGATAGGTACGTGAAATAGATAGATCTCCTAGTTTTTATGCTGTTTCTCTAAAATACATGTACGGAAAGATTGAATAGTAGCATCCCCACGCGAATTCCGCTGACAGAAATCGATAAAAGCGCACCCGCCGCTTCCCCACTTCGAGGAAAAATACGAATCAGCGTTGCCTCTCACTTTTGACTTCCCCTCGTTCCCCAAACGACCGGTCCTTTTCGTCACTTACATTTCTAGCAAGATAAACATTTCAATATGGGTGTCGAGAGAAAGATTATCACCCGCGGTAGCGGTCCCTCGCCTGCTTCAGGCGACAAGGTCTCCATCCACTACACCGGCTGGATCTACGACCCTAAGAAGGCCAACAAGGGCTTCCAGGGCAAGCAGTAAGCCGGCTTATCCTCTACTAGAATCGTTGGCTTCGTTCACGGAGACTTTTGAATGCTAAATCTGTCAATAGGTTTGATAGTTCTAGATCGCCCGGTCGCGGCCCATTGAGTGTGCAGATTGGCACTGGAAAAGTTATCAAGGGTACCTCTTCCAGGCCACTGACTGTCATTTGACTACATTATCTTAAATTACTAACAATTGCCTGACCAGGTTGGGATGAGGGTGTCATGCAAATGAGCCTTGGCGAGAAGTCCACCCTGACTATTACCCCGTAAGTCCACCCTCTTTACGAGAATAGAAATATAGCATAATACTAACAACATGACTTAGGGACTATGGCTACGGTGACAAGTATGCAGCCTGAAAATATCCAGCCAATGATTTACACACGTTGGATTGAGCCTATTGTAACTAACAATGTTCTCTAATTAGGGCGGCTGGCAAGATCCCTGCAAACTCTACTCTGATCTTGTAAGTCTGCAAAGGTCAATTAAACCGAAAATAATCCTGTGCGACTAACTTTTACATTGCAGTGAGGTTGAGCTTCTTAAGATTAACTAATAGAGATGCATCAATAAATGATCTACTTGAGGCTATAAAAAAATTCCCACCTGCTAGATTTAGTACCTTTTACAAATTGCCTTCAACTTGCCACAGGGAAAACACTAGGTTGCGTATGGATATTACAATGCATGAGGGACTTAATAGAGCTGCTTAGATGCAAGCCAAGGTATCGATTCCTCAATAGATTTACCATAACCATTAGATCTAAACACAAGTAATCCCGACCGCCCGTCGAAAGTAGAAATTCCAATTAAGCCGCGATCCGAATGTTATACACGAGAGCACCCGTCTGCAACTACACGTAATTCAAATCGAGATTCCACGGCATGATTTAATATTCAATCCATGGACTGCGTTTATAAACCGATTTAACAGGCTAAAAGTATTTCATGGTTTGAGCGAGGCTATGGTATATTTCCGAGAGACCTTTCAAGCCCAACAAGGTGTTTCCCGGAAGCTGATTAAGAACTTGACAAGATATAGGCATCTGAGAAATAGATAGCAGAACGAATAAAACAGCACAAACTCCCTACGCGAGAACACCACTTGCTCCTTATTATACGAACCCCAACTGAATACCTAAAATCCTGTCTCAGACCTTCACTATGTCATCTTTCCCTTCGCTCTGCAAATCCTCCAGCCCAGTCTTAGCAGTCGCAAACTCCCTCGTCTTGACCCCTCTTTCAAAGAGCAGATCCAACTCAGCGTACGACCGTCCCTTAGGTTCTGGCAGGCGGAAGAACGACCATGTCAAACAGCAAACGCAGAGCGCACCCCAGAAGAAACCTGATTTTCCACGCCAGTTCCAAGCATCCACGTTGAGCATATACGGGATGATGATTCCAGTGACGAGGTTGAGAACATTGTAGACGTTTCGGGCGAGGACCACGGTCTTAGTACGGAGTCTGGAAGATGGGATTTCGCCGACGAGAGCGAAGCAGACGGGTCCGATAGAGGAGTCGTAGATAAAAGTGTAGACGAGAAGCATGGATCCGGTGGCCCAGGAGATGGCGGATGTGGATGGGGCGATAGAGACGAACCCGATGACGAATAGTACAATGGCGAGGAGAAAGAGACCGCCGACGTAGAGGGTGCGACGGCCGAAGTAGGACATCGCTGTCCAGGAGACGAATGTCCCCACCACGCCTAGGGCATATTGTACGAGCGACATGGTGAATGACTGTGATACAGCGAGACCCGCGCGCTGGTAGAAGACGGTGGAGTAGCCCATCAGACCTGCACCGCACAGACTCTGCGCCGCCCATGCACAGCAGGCGATTTCGGTTCGGCGCAAGTCGGTTTTCTTGAAGCAGTCAAGATATGAGGTACCGGTTTCCGCACGTCGCTCGAGTGCGTCGGTATATACGATCATCGAGACGGTTTCTTCGGCGTTGAAGTCTGCGTTGGCGCTCGTCAAGCGTTTCACAGCTTTGACAGCGTCTTCACGGCGGTCTTGTCGAACGAGCCACCAGGGGCTCTCGGGGGCCAGAAACACCCCAATGAAAATGGGAATGGGCCAGATCCACTGCAGAGCGAAGGGGATACGGTAGGCCCATTGATCGGTGCGCTCGGCGAGACCCTTCAGCACGCCAGAGGCGAGCAATTGGCCTAGCACCCAGCAGAGGTTCACATAGGTGGTAAGGTATGCGCGCAACGCTATAGGACACACTTCGGATGCGTATGTCACGACAAGGGTTTGATATACTCCAAGGGGGATGCCCATGAAGAGTTCACCGACAACAAGAGTTTGGATATTAGGCGCAAAGAAGAGAATGAAAACGAAACCAATGGTGGCGGCAAGACATGCCATCAGGGTCTTTCGGTATCCCAAGCGCTCTGAGATAAGGCCGTTGAGGAAAAGTCCAATAATTTGGCCGCAGGCCATCGCGTTATTTAATCCGGCTTGCCACTTAGCTTCGAGCCCATATGTTCCGTCCGACATGAGATATCCGTATTTTTCGTTGAATGCAGGAAAAGCGAGGAAAGAACCGATGAGGACAACATCGTAGCCTTCCATGATGATGGCACAAGAGAATAAAAGTGACCACCCCACGGCCTTCGGATAGAGTCTGAGCGCCTCCCATAGAGTCATCTCACGCTCTTTCGCAATGGCTGCCTGCGCCTCGGCACTGTTAGGAAGGTCGATGGCATCATGGCTAGATGGGTTGTCGTTTTCAATGTGTTCAGACATAGCGGCCTTCTCGGGAGTCATCTTGGGTATGGTTTGTAGTAGACCAAGTAGAAGCAATTGCGGATGGAGTGGACGATTGCGTGGAAAGTGAAGGCGCATACAGGGCCTTTTATAGAACCTTTGCCACAGGAATCAGACCACAGTCAATAGCGCATTGTATGCACCTAACCCAGACTATACGAGCATCAAAGTTCCCCAAGTGCGCATGATTCCCCGCTGCCTTCTCGCGAGTATGCAGGTGCTGTCCAGGAGACAAGGTTTTTTCCCCAGATTCTCTCGAGCGGATCCCCCCGGATTTTTGACGGTCAAAGAAAGCGATTTGATTGGCCAGATGTCGGGCCGGAGAGAATCAGAAGGCAATGGAAGACAGAATTGAGTTTTATTATAATTTATGCTTGTTTTCCACACAGAACCATCGTGAAGGAGACTCAAGTCGAATCGTTTGTTTTATTCATGCCATACCATCTCCAAATCATGTACATAACACTAAGGTGTACTCGTTGCAAAACATCCACTTCTGTGAAAGGCAAATGATCAGTCATGTTAGAGTACCATCGGATAGGGGGACTTGAATGGGGGCGTAGGTGGGCCTGACTCTTGATCTAGGGTCAACTTAATCACCGCGTCCAGACTTGCAGCTGCTCGGCAAGCAGACCTCAACCTTCTATTGGTCCAATGTCGGGCCGAGGCAATTATTAAGGGTGGAGAACCCTAACATCACTAACTGTAGCCGGTTTAGTCGGTCTCTTGGCCATTTTAACTGATACGATACCAGTTGTGCGCGCATGTGTATGACATGATCAGTATCCCCATTAGAAAATGTGATAACTATAATCATCTTGACAACGGTCGAGCGGGGCCATGGTGTTGTGGGGTTGAAGCTGGACCCTGGTGGACACCGCAAGGGCCTCTTATGCAGGTGTGATAACTGCTCGGGCCGACATTGCGCCAATACAGAGTATGTATCTGATGGGTGGATCAGCATCGTGCATGCCAGTTGTTATGAGATGGTGTGCGACCCTACTTACCCAGGCAGTTATATATCTTTCCTTTCGACCAAGTTTGTTTTGCCAGAAAGCCTTTCCTCTCCTACCATCATCCCTGCATCTCCTATACCCTATATCCCTCGAAAATGTCTCCAGCCCCAGTTGGCGAAAAATGGTGGAAGAACTCCATCATCTACCAGATCTACCCAGCCAGTTTTAAAGACTCCAACAATGACGGTATCGGCGATATTCCCGGTATCATCTCCTCCCTTGATTATATCACCAGCCTGGGGGTAGACGTGATTTGGATCTCACCTATGTACGACAGCCCCCAATACGACATGGGGTATGATGTCTCCGACTATGAGAGTGTCTACCCACCATACGGCACAGTACAGGACATGGAAGTCCTCATCGACGAGTGCCACCGTCGTGGGCTGCGCATTATTCTGGACCTGGTTGTCAATCACACCTCGCACGAGCACAAGTGGTTCAAGGAATCGCGGTCGTCAAAATCAAGCCCCAAGCGGGATTGGTATATCTGGAAACCTGCAAAATACGACGCCAATGGAGTCCGGAAGCCACCCAACAACTGGCGCAGTATCTTCGGCGGCAGTGCTTGGGAATGGGACGAAGGAAGCGAAGAATACTATCTCCATTTGTTTTGCAAGGAACAGCCAGATCTCAACTGGGAGAACCCAGAGACCCGCCGTGCGATCTATGATTCGGCGATGGAGTTCTGGCTGCAGAAGGGTGTCGATGGATTCCGTGTGGACACAGTGAACATGTACAGCAAACACCCTGAGTACCCAGATGCGCCGGTCCTCGACCCCAAGTCGGAGACACAAATGTCGCCAGCATTGTTCTGCAATGGACCTCGTATTCACGAATACCTCGGGGAGATGAATGAGGTACTTGCAAAGTATGACGCGATGACGGTGGGAGAGCTGCCAAATACGCACACTGTCGATGGCATTCTGCGGTATGTGTCCGCAGCGCAGAACCAGCTGAACATGGTCTTTCAGTTCGATATCGTCGATCTTGGACAAGGAAAAGATTATAAATTCTTGACTACGCTGCCAGGCTGGACGCTACCGGAACTCAAGGCCGCGGTCAAGGGTACTCAAGTTATCATGAGGGGGACAGATGGGTGGTCCACGGTGTTCATGGAGAATCATGACCAGGGTCGGTCCGTCTCTCGGTTTGGTTCCGAGAAGACCCCAGAATTGAGAATCACATCAGCGAAAATGCTTGCGATGATGCAGGGCACGTTGTCAGGCACTCAATTCATCTACCAAGGTCAGGAAATTGGCATGGTTAATGCGCCAGAGAGCTGGACTATCGATGAATATAAAGATGTCGACAGTACAAACTACTACCAGATGGTGCAGAAGATTTCCAATGATGACCCGGTGGAGCTGGAGACTGCTATGAAGTCACTCCAGCGTTTCGCGAGAGACCATGCCCGGCTTCCTATGCAGTGGAGCCCCGAGGCTAATGGTGGATTCTCTTCCTCGTCAGAAAAGACGTGGATGCGTGTCCACGATAACTACCCCGAGATCAATGCAAAAGTGCAGGAGAACGATGAGTCTTCTGTCTTGTCGTTCTGGAAACGGGTTATTCAGCTACGGAAAGAATACGCCGACGTCTTCGTTTTTGGGGATTTTGAGATCTTGGATGAGCCAAATGAGAAGGTGTTCACTTATTTCAAGCGAGGACAGAAACAGTCGGCTTTGGTAGTGTTGAACTTTTCAGAGGATACCCTGAGATTCGAGAAACCAGCTGCTGTGCAGGATCCGAAGGTGTTGTTGCGTAACGTTGAAGGGGATTTGAACGAGTTGCAGCCATTCGAGGGGCGTGTGCTTTTGTTTTAAATGATAGATATAATGACTTTGGTAGAGCCTTAGATTGAATTTATGATTCCGTTTCTTCACTCTTTTGGAATATAGAACGACATCCCAAGTGAATCAAGTAAATGAATGCCTCAGGCCATTGCCAAGGCGCCAAGGCACGCGATCTAATATAAAACCTGGGGTAAGAAAGGCCGGCCCCACGATGTCTCTTCCTACCGACATCGCCCGCTAGATCGATGCTGTTGTTACCGTAGAACCATGGAGGACCACCGTCGACCCCGAGTACACAAGGCATGTGACGCTTGTGGGCGAAGGAAAGTTCGCTGTAATGGCGAGCAACGATGTCAGCAATGTGAGCACCTGGGCCTAGTTTGCACGTACACCGATAATCGACTCGCGCGATCAAGGAAGCACGCACTTCGTCGAGGAGAAGTTATTTCGAAGCATAAAATTGAATCCGCGTCAAACCCACTTCTCGCTCCGGCATTATCGCCAGTTTCAACCTCGTACTTTGAAAGCCTGGTCCCGGAATACATGCATCTCGTATACCCATTCAACCCCATTATGACCGACGACGAGCTGCACGATGCAATCAGCAAGATGGAGTCTGACAGCGAGAGCGCAGCATTTGTATATGCATTTGCCGCCGCCACGATTGACCTGGCACAATCCAATCACCCTACGTCAAGCGCCTCGACCCACATCACCCAGCTCATCAACCAAGCCATCGCAACCCAACCGCCAATGTTGCTTGGATTCCGGCCATCCATCCTGCGCACAATGACCAACATCTTCATCCAAATGTGCTTCATGAGCCTTGGCCAATACGACTTGGGTTTTGTCTATTTGCGTGAGGCCATCACCATGATACACCTCCTGCGCATCGAGGACAAAACTGTTCTCGGAAGTCTGCATCCCACAGAACGAGCCCGGCGCCAACGTCTCTACTGGCTATGCTTTATCCACGAACGATTTATTTCGATCGTTCATTTCTCTCCAGCAACCCTATCCCCAAATGTTTCCTTCCCGGAGGCTGACCCCAACCTACCCCCCGGTATCTCCCAGGGCTGGACCCAAGTCATCAAGACCTTCCTCATTTTCGAGCCAACCTTCATCAATCTCTGGATTGGGGACAGAAGCCAAGTCTCAGCGAAATGGGTGGAGCAAAAATACCGCGAGCTAGACGACGCTCGTTGGGAACTCGAAGTCTCGATGTTATCCGAGACGCAGCAAGCAGATCTTGTCATCACCAGGCAATGGATGCGCACTCTGCTCTGGCAGATGGCCATGTCCAACTGGCTTTTGTCCTCCCATCCTCTATGTCCTTCACTGTCCCTTGAACTCCCGCTCCGGCTATCCGGTCAGCTGAGGCAATTCCTGACTAAGATCTCGCAAAATACAATCCGCGTGCACGGATCCTCGATCCTGACCAAGCTGGTGGAGATCATTAATACTATCGCTGATGTGGTTATTCATCTTCCGCAGGCGACGCTGGAGCAGACGACTAGTCGGATAGGAGACATTGTGTTTATGAAGAGTGTGGTGTTCTCGTTTCATAATTTGCAGCAGGTGTCGAAGGATATTCTTACTGAGAAGTTTTGCTTGATTAGAGATCGATTTCCGGGGATTGAAGCTGCTTGTCAGTTGACTGTTTAGTTGGCTTTATCCTCAATATCACTTAATAAACTGTTTTATAACCATGAACAAGCGTGACTGTAGTAGGTGTGAGGGGTATACACGTGCATGAGCACCCCTGGGGTTCCTATATCTTTATTCGGTGCCCATGGCCCCAACACGTGTATTGGCGCGGAATCCAGCGTTATCGTGCTCGAGTGAACATGCGATTATGTCCCCAGCATCATTAGCAAAATGCAATGCAAGCGCATCGCAGCTATTGAGCCGAAGCAGGAAGCCTGCGACTCGTTCAGAGCTAGCTGTGAGAAGCCTATCAAGAAGACTGCATTTTCCATTCCTTGCCGGTCGTAGCCTATTCACTGCGCTTTTGCCAGGTTCTTCTCTCTGCGTTGACAAATTCCTCAAGATATACCGGTTTGAGAACTACGAAAATACGTATATTGTCGTACAGGGTACGGGATAGATAGGTATTGTTAACATTAAGAAAAGGATGGCTCCCTATCTACTTTGTAGAAATCACACCATACATCGTGGCGGAGTCGGAGCTGGTTCGCATTACTCGTATCAGATCCACTTTTTGCCATGGTTTATGTAGTGTGGACTGTGGAGGTCTCCCAACAAAAGCCGACCCGAAATCGGCTCGGCTAAAGATTTCCCGGCATATACATAGTCTAGCCGGAGGTACTGGATCCACAATACCCTCAGTCTTGAGATGCTAACGGGCGTATCGTATCACCACGCCTTTTCTCTCCCCACCATGCTATGTGCCGAGCTCGGGTCAGCATTGACTAACCGTAGAGATTAGCTTTTATTTACTCGCTTCGTTGCCTAGCTGTGGTTGAACACGAACAGGCCGCAATTCATAATAGGTGATCAATAAGCAACCGTCCCGCAATTTAATGATTATTGATCATATTCTATGATTATAAAAACCTACCCGCTGTTAGATTACAATTACTTCTATTATTCATTTATTCAACTAACCAACTAGCTGACGAATATCTGATTTGTCTTGATGCCGTCCCACGTATTGAAAAGGCCGTTCACTCCAATATACCGTACGATTCCGTGGGATCGAAGATAGCTAGAATTCCAGCTGTGGTTCCAATCCCAGTTTTAGAGCCTTAAAGATCAACCAGCTGTCTACATTTACAAAGGTACTGGTCAAAGCCAAAGATACGGGAAGTTGGGGAACCCGGTGGATGTGTTGATGCGAAATATCAATCAAAGTGACTCGTCCCGCAGTTATTCATATGGTTGTAGACCAGAGTAACTAATAAGCTATTGCCTCATAAACCCTTTTTCAATGTCATACTAATTTACAGGGAAGCTTCAGCTCCGCTCAACCTCAACTGCTGCTCCAGCACCGCCTCAACAATCTCATCTTGCCGCCTCCAATGCATTCCCAGAATCCTCTCCGCAGTCTTTGTATCAACTGTCCACCCCCCTTCGATCGGTCCCTGCAGTTTGCAGCCAACAGAAGGAAACTTCCGCCTCACCATTTGCCCTGTTGCCTCCCACGACGCCGCCGGTGCCGACAAAAGAAACTCCGTGCCAGATGGGATCTCCGCCTTAAGAGCCCGAATATGCGCCTCCGCCACATCACGGACATCCACCCACACATTCGGTATGGTTGGCTTCTCGGAATGCAGACTATCCCAGAAGAGCGCATTTATTCCATCTATCCCCTCTGGTGTTTTCTGGATGAGACTCTCGCCGAGAACAAAAGTCGGGTGGAACGTGATGATGGTAAAGTGTGGATTCTGGCTGGCCAGGAAGTCCCGCGTGGCTTGGTGAGCGCGGATCTTAGAGGCTTGGTATTTTAAGCCGTGCCCGCGGGGTCCTTCAGGTATAACTGTGGGTATATCAATTGGAATTGTCTCGTTGGTGTTGTCTACCCCGTTCTATCAGCCTTGATCCATGCATCCCTAGTTGGGGGAGGGGAAGGAGAAAGGTACTCGCCTTTCACGAATACTTCCTTTTCGCGCAGAGCAGTAAGGGGTGTTAAGCCCAGTACCGAGGATACAATAATCACCTTCTTGATCTGAGGGAATGCTAGCGCGGAAAAGAGAACGGATTCAGTTCCTTTGACGGCCGGGTCGATATAGTCTGCCTGCAGATCGGAACCGCGACCTGGCATCGGTGAAGCCAGGTGGAAAACGTAGTCCACGCCATCAAGAGCAGACTCAAATGCGTCTCGGATCGTGATATCTGGAATGATGGAGATTTCAATTTGGGCGTTATAATCAAGGTAACGGGCTCGTAGAACGGCTTCTTGCTCCGGTTTCCGGATAGCCAGTCGCACCCGGTATCCCGCCCGCAGGGATACGAGGGCAACCTGTGAGCCGATGAACCCAGTCGCGCCGGTAATTAATACAAGAGGAGTAGACTGGTTGGATAGTGACATGTTGGATTTGTTCTCCAGACTCTTCGTGGATGTGTTGTTCTAGTCGAATATCGACCCTTTTTATACTGTTCCCGGGGTCTCAAGGACAAACGAAGAAAGCAATGGCAATGTCGTCATTCATCGCACTGACTCAGTTCACTAATCGTAAATCGGACTGATTATTCTGTCTCAAATTACCTTTACACCGTGTAGATCAAGATTTGTAATCCAGCCTTTTGCTCAGAATTCCCACCAATCATCGTGAATACGACATTCTATAAAGAGGCCTCTCAGCCAACCCCAGCACCATATTCTACCACATCTCTCATACTACCAGACATATATCATTCTATTCTATTCCCAACATCATAATCCCTTCTACAAAATGCCCCTTTGGCAAATATACCATCCCCCAGGACCTTTACCACTTCCACGGAAAAAGAGGCCTTCGTCCAGGCCATTACGGAAAACTATACATCCGTCGGCCTCCCTGCCTTCTACGTTGTTGTCCAATTTCACCAACTGGATCCAGCAAACGTCTTCGTGGGCGGCCATCTACGACCCGAAACAGCCAGGCCCTTCGTCCGGATAGTCATCGCCCACATCGCCATCCGTCTACCAGACACTGACGCAGCGTATGATCGGGCTGCCTCTAAGATAGACCGGGTGCTGAAACCACACGTATTGGACAAAGGGTATGATGTTGAGTATCATGTTGATGAGACCGAACGGCGGATGTGGAAGATCAATGGGTTGATTCCGCCACCGTGGAAGAGTGAGGCGGAGCTGCTGTGGGTGAGAGAGAATCGGCCTGTTTTATATGAGGGAGCGTTTTCTGAAGGAGGGCGAACGTCGCTCTAGGTTCGGATTGGGAAGCATCTTGCCATGGGGCTTATATGGGAGGGAGACTTACGTTGTTTCATGCAGTGAATAAGATTATAAAGTACTTTTATTGTATTATTTCTCTATTATTGAAGAGCTGCTATTATTGAAATATAGGGAATATATATGTCTTACAAACCTGACCTATGATTTTCTCTTTCTGCCTAGCTATATTATATGTTCCTTCATTGGTGTGGAACCCTGGAATTATTGACACGCATTTCGTAGCACAACTATGGTTGCCACTAATATCGGATAACCCATCTTGCTCATCCTTCGGAAAAACTTGGAACAACGGTCTAATATATCTACTGACATATTTTTTTTTCATTCACACCCCGGACATAATGGTGGGAATGCCTCTCTGGAGATACAATCCGGCCTTTGGAAATCGGACTATCGTCTGCAGGTAGGTCTACAGTTTTCTAGATCACTTTGTAGACTCCCATCCAGAACAGTAGGAAAGTTTTCCGCAAATAGAAAATATTTCCTATATAATCCAGTTCTACAAAATTCCTATCCCATTATGATCTGGACTTAACCTGACATAGTAGATCGCTAATCCCTTCAGTCTCATGTTTGTGGATCTGAGACCCTTCTATATACTGGCAGCGGCCCGATTCAACTGTCTTAGTCTTATAGAGGAAGCCTGATGCCTGCCGTGCAGTATGTAAAGCTCTCGTTATCTGTTGTTATCTTGGTTTCTGGTTTGCTATGCGTGATAGCTAACAGTCCTAGCGAACGGGCCTCACAACTGGGTGTATGCTGTAATTGGAGATACCAGATGATAGACGACTTTCAATTCCGGATTCAGACAGAGTGTACAAACGCTGTTCCAAATCAGGTGTCATTTTACTACCGTAAGCATCCCCTATAATGGCTAGACAACTTCACAACTGATAGGTCTTCTAGCTGGTCCAATACAAGTTGATGAGCGAACTGGTCTCGTGCGCTGTTTTGACCTACGGGGCTTTTAAGTTAATGGGAGTACTTGGCCATTGTCCTTCTTTGAGCAAGATTGCTTCCGCGTGCTTGGGGAGCATTTTGTCTATTTGGGCTAGGTCATGAAACTATGATTAGTTTAAGGTCTCGTGGTAGGTCTTGGGAAGTAAAACCTATGACGAAAGAAAAGGAACCCTGCTCTTAATCGCACTGGAATTCTTCAAAACTAGTAATATAAGCCTGTATTTCTTGGTAGTCTAGCACATACGACCACAGGGTGTGGAGAACAGGGCTTCCCGTCCGCTCAGCCGTACTTAAGCCACACGCCGGGAGGTTAGTAGTTGGGTGGGTGACCACCAGCGAATCCCTCCTGTTGTATGTTTTTTGCTCTTCGTCTAACGACAGACAAACAAACAGTAGAACGCTTACAGCAGGAGGAGCCTTTGTTTCCTAAACCAGTTAATTCTAAATTTCAGGGCCGTGTAGAGAGATGCTAAGGTAATGAAACGCGTAGGTCGCGCAGACTGGGTTAAATATATAAATGATCACATGACCTCGCACCTTCTCACATAGATTGACAAGTCTCTTTATGAGAGCTTATGTAGCCGAGGGTCTAAGCGGTCGAGCCCTTTAAAAGACTCAAGAGGTCAGTCAGTGTTTGCCCAGTGCCCCGGCGCGCCCGTGAGCAACGAAGAAAGAGAAAGAAAGAAAGAAAAGGTTAAAATATTTCTGACCAGAAAGATTGTTCCAGCTGGAAAGTTATAAGGGCCCTGGAAGGAATATGACATTCCTTTCTATTCTACTGTGTTAACATTATATTTGGTATTTTTTTACTTTTCTCAAGACAAATGTATCACATTTCAATTATTGTTGCCCTAGTGGCCTTGGCTGCAGGATTCCAAACAACACTTACTCCCGAGGAACGGGCGACCCAACTCGTCCATAGCCATTGTCAAGGACTAACCATCATAAACGAGGATACCGCGGTACAACAAGCCACGGAAGGCATCTTAGTGGGCGACTGCGACAAGAGGGTATCGGGCAGCCGATGGGAGAAACGGCATGCCGCATTAAACTTAAGACACTTGTCTTGGTTGGAATTATACAAGACCGGGAAGCCTTATGGGTCAAAGGGGGTATATAAAGTCCTTGTTATTTGTCATTATCTCAAGCATTCTTCTTTCTCATTTACTATATATATAGTAACTAAGAGACCTAGTGGAGGGGCCTCAACAGGAGGTATATGTCATGATTGGAGATATGAGCAGATAGGCGACTTCCAATTCCGTATCCGGGCTCATTGTGAAACCGCTGTTCCACAACAGGTATCATATTTCCAGCGTAAGTATCCCTCATAAAGGCTAGACAGATTCATAATTGATGATTCTTCTAGCTGGTCTGATAGAACTTGATCTAGAGTATGGTCACCTAGGTTGCTTGGGGCAATGGAATAGAGTGTGGTAGCATTCTAGAACGACTGGTACAAGGGCCTATAAAGCCTGCGCTGGACCCGGGGGGGGCGGGAAGGAATTAGGCTTAGAGAGGACCTGGTGCGGGAGGTAGGAACCTATTAGGTGGTCGGTTGAGCAGCATCAGTGGCTTGCTGTAGTATGTACTGTTTTTACCTATTTCCATTACCGCCGCGTTTATGATTACTCAATGGCATTTACCAAGCGGTATCACTGGTCATTTTTCTATCTGCTTTTGGATGACCTGCTAAGAAATTGCCTCTTCGAACTCAAACAGTACCAGAGCCGTTGGGTATGGGAAAGACGAGGCCCAAGGACCCTTAACAGGGGAAACGGCCACCGACTACTGTCCATTTTACCTACCAGAGAAAGATCGGCGCTGCCTGGTGAGCCTCTTTTCGCGTGTGGGAAATCTTGACATTAAACGATCTCGCGATATCCCCCGGTCTCCTTTCCGTCATGGTACCCTATAAGGCTATAACTCAATCATTCGTCATTATTAGGTTAGTAGAAGAAAGTTACACAGATTAGATATAAACGTTGGAAGACAACTACCCACTACGTGCTGAGAGGCATTAATTGATCGCAACTCCAAAGTGAAAATCTGTTGTATGGATTAATTCCTGACTGGGCGGTAGCGAAGAAGCCACTGGTAGTGAATATTTTCACATCCGACTCCCAAGTGATGAAATGAAATTGATGACATAGAAGCGATTAAATAGGTCACAAGCCCTTCCACTTCCTACATGAACGAGTAACTGACCTGTTTGATCGTTCCGATCATATTAATCTCATTCCATGGATAGAACATAATAAGTATGGAAAACAGAAATGAGATTGAAGCTGAATGACTTAGCCCTCTTGAATTTCGATCCTTCTTTCCGTGGCCGATCAGTTATATTTAATTGGCGTCTTCTGGCACTGAGACGACTGAGATTTGCGATGTACAGTGATATTCGAAATCAGATATATCACCACACTCGTCGAAATTCATTCCCGAGCCCTAATTTAAAACACCTTACTCCGAATACGGTGTGGTTGCCGATCCCCTAGTCCCAAGAATAGATCTTGTATTTAGGATTGATGTCGTGTGCCTTCGCGCGCTGTATTTTACACGAAATCCAGTCCCACCCCTTAGCAACACGCTTTTTCCTCTATTCTATGCCTCTTAGGCGTCATCCAACGTTAGGCTCGCAAGATCGCTGTAGGGTCTTCCCCCCTCAAAAGCTAACCTCATCAATGATATGGTAGAGATCCAGTCACTAATCACATCTCAAATGGCTACTGTACTGGAGTAGCTAGAAGGGTGCTCCTGCGAACAACTGTGGCGGATCTTCTGCGGTCATTTCTTAACGGTTTTGAGCATTATATTCTATGCTTTGAAGCACAACTGCGCAACAACTCACTTAGGCTGAAAGACATTCAGAGATGGATCAAGGATCTTCCACATAAGGCACGCCAGCAGACCTTGAACATTATTCGTACTATCCTCGGTACTCTCAAGCCTACGGGGCTGGATTCAACAAGAAGATATCTCCGCATTGCCTGGCCCTTCGAAGGTGACACCACACGTTGTTTGAAAGTGCCTCTGGAGGGTCAGAGCTCCTGGGCTAAAATCCTTGCCGACTGACATGATACTGCCACTTTTGCATATATCACTATGGACTGTCTCGAAACAGAGCAATTCAAATGCAAGGCAGCTTGAGAAGTCCGCCATGAAGACATATGCTTGCTCGAAACAACTGTTACTCACGCAGTACGTGACAGACCAGGTCCCTGGGCATTGAAACACGAAGAAGTATACTTCTTTTCCAATTTATACAGCACATCTTGTGTCAAACTACAGAGAGAACACACTGATGGGCCAGCGTGTCTTGTTTAGTTGATGCATTTGGAGTCTATACCTCGTGATATCCGGCAGAGGTTGTATATGAGCCAGCAGAAAAAGCAACGAGGCCGTTTGCGAGAATGCCCTACGGTTTGGGCTCAGAGCGAAACGGTTTATGTTTCCTCGGCCGGAAGAGATTATTAGCTGTCCACAATTCTACCCAGATACCTGAGTCGGCGATGGCTACTGGGTGGTGTATAGGCCAAGGCGATGCGCGGAGTTTATCTGGTCGTAAATATGATCTGCTACACTCTACTCATACCCACTTGGCACGAGATAGCCTACATTTGGGGAGCGTATGTCATTATATGTTCAGGTTAGGACTAGCTGTGAAGGATTCAATAGGGAATCTGCCTGGCTGCCTGGCCAACGAACAGCCTCTCTTCCTGATTTGGCGTCTTATAGTCCGCCACTGCTGAGAATATAAGTTTGGTAAACAAAAGTGTGAGCCAAGTGATATAATAAAGGCTGATCAACATGGTAGAGAGTCTCGGGGCCAGTGCTTGTTCCAGTATACGTATGGGTACTAGAAGTCGTGCATGAATAAGCTAGTGCATGCGACAGTCTCAAATACACATAGCGCTCATTTCTGGTACTCAAGTAGTCGACAAACCTACACATTTCAATAATCATAGTATATCCTATTAGAAGCCTAGGAGCCTGTTAGAAAATTCAAGCATTTCGAGGTGAAGAGGGTCCAATATGGGTTATTACGTTAATTTAACTGGCATTCGGCGAAGAATCAATTCCAAGTCACTCCCCAACGCAGTAAGCGGCCCGATATCTACTTTCTGCAGTCCCGCCACATCAGAAGAACAAATCTAAGTATTAGTTAACTAAAACTGCATTGTGGCCTGAAGTTGAAAACCGCAACTGAACCGTAAAAATTTACGGTCTTGATCCGAAGACCAAAACCATTTGGTTTTGAATATGGTTGCGGTTAACCATGGTCTTTACGGTTAGTGCCGTAGTGTAAATATCAGTAATTCTTCTGCATCTAAGGCTTCCCATTTCTCTTAGACACATTCGCAACGAGGATATCCTGATACGAGAACAGTCTGTAGATGCTTAAGTATTGTAGGAATACGTTGACGGACTATATTGCCCAGCTACTTCTACGTACACACAAGTCGCAACACCATCTAATACAAGTGAGCAGTCTTGAAAAAGGACTGCCATCGGCATTTCAATGCATTCCTATTTCAGTTTTCCGTTTTCATGACAGCTGGACAATCTCTGATAGAGAGATACTACATTCTGTAAAGAAGGACTAAACAGAACAGAAAATCATTTATTGTGTACGATCAAAGAGAGAGAACAGGAAGATAAGGTTCTCCGTCAAATAACAGACATGGGGCCCACTCTTCAACAAATTATCAACGGCCACGGAACTCCTTGAAAGCCTGGTGCACGCTCATTCCGTCTTTGATAGCCTCCGCGCATTTCGCATCGGCCTCAGCGATGGCAGGAATGATGTCAAGAACTTGTTCAGCAAGTTCGTGCGGCAAGCGGACCACACCATTCATAACAGCGATAATGTAATCTCCAGCGTAAATCCAGGCATCTTGATCACTAGAGTTGAGGCGGACAGGAACATTCACTTCTGAGGGGCGACACACTTCACCGCCGGCGGTTGTACCAACAGACCGGGCAAATAGAGGGAAGTTAAGAGCTTGGTGCTCGCCGAGATCACGCACGCGACCATCGATCACGACACCAGCTGCCTTTAGCTTCTGAGCGCGTAGGGTCTTGAGGCCCCCATAGACTGCATTGACGTGGGGCAGAGGCTGGGAGATAAAGACAACGCCGCCATTGGGGATTTAATCGATCTGCATATAAAGTTAGGGTTTAGGCCATGAAAGATTTCTTTCACATGCACACAGAGTTACCTTGCAGTTTAGGAGCCGATATATCCGACTTGGGGACGAACTTGACTGCGAAGGCCTGTCCTACAATCTTGGCCTGGCCAGCTTGGAATTGAGGTAATTGCATTACGAGGCCTTCAAGGAAACCGCCATTGGGATAATTGAGCTTCGAGAGGCCATCGGCAACCTGTCGTATGCAGAAGTTGTTAGCCTTAAATCTTGTAACGCAAAGCGAACAGAACGCTTGCATTGAACTTATATCGCAAGCACCCCACTGTTGCAGGTGCTCAATGATACTGATGGAATCGGAAGACATAATAGATAAAATAGACCTAATTAGACAGAAGCTCTTGGTTGTTGAATTATGGTGAGCGATGAGCTAGCTTATCAGGGCATCCCGTGCTGTTTTCGGCTAAGAGTGGCAGCGGGGTGTAGCACGGGAGTTCGAGGTTATGTCGGCATTTTACCGACACGGACCGAGAGGTTTCGGCACCGGACCGACGACACGGAATGACGTCCGGTTGAAGGTGAGAGGGCCTCAGAGAATGTGACTTTTAACAGGGGGGTTACCTGAGATATGTGTAAATACGTTGAAAAAAATCTCAACATTGTCCTTAAACTGAGCTGGACGAACCACTGATTCCGACCATGGCCCAACGCGAATACCCGACAAAGCCCGTGCCATTGGGTGCGTGGGACACACATCACCATACTTTTGAACCCGATCTCTTCCCGTTTGCAGGACGCCACTTTACCCCTTCGCGTGCGTCACTCGAACAATTGAAAGAGTTTGAAAAGAGTATTAGTGTAGATCATGTCTGCATTGCTCACGGTGCCATATGGCCCCGACTGCACTTCTCTTCTCCACTACCTGAGTTAGGGAGAAGCAGATGTGGAAAATGCAGGAAGGAACATTGTAGTCCGATTCAGAACAAAACTGATTCTTGGGGATTGTAACCCGCAACTCCCCAAGGCTATTTAACATGACCAGGTATAACCGAGTCGAGGGGGCTTCGGCCCTGAATCGTCCTCAGCTGAACTTCACTTACTGCACCTTCCTTGGAAGACAGGGATTAGATGTATGTAGGATACAGATTTCCTGTACCATATCTGCACTCAGGAAGTGTTGCTTCTCACCGCAACTCCGGATCGGAGAATACCTGCAACCGACTGCCATGTTCTGCTTGGCACGACGGCTGGCTAATATCGACGTGCTTTGTTATATTCCTTTCAGATCTTGTTCACCGTATAACCCTTCAACAACTCCAGGGGCACTTGAAACTGTTATTTTTTGATAGTGGTCGCCCCCAAAGTCAGTCTTCGTCACAAGTAATCCACAGGGAACATCGTAAGTGGAGCACGCATTCACCGCGGAGAAATAGCTATTCTCCGAAGTTGGGAAGTCAGCCCGGTCTGCCCTGGCGGGATTTGTGACCCAGGCATATCTCCAAGTTTAGTTAACATTGAAAATCGTTTTAGTATAGAAGGCCTTGTAATTTGTTCGGCAAATGGAAAAAGCTTGGTGTAACTAACATAGTACTCCGCTAGCGTGCCCACCAGGACTTATGAAAAAGAACCTATCAGCGGGCGAGTTGATATCTCAATGTTGCTGCCTAAGAACCCGCGAATTGCGGTTATCATATTTTTAGGCAGCAGGTTTGAAACACTTGAATACTTAAGGACTACCATTTACCGCGAAATTAGACGTTCGCATTGATTCTCCTGAGAGTCCCCGTTTGCAGATATGTTCACTTGGTTCCGCAAAAGCGCGAACGTCACCCAGGAGCCTGTCTGGGATGCGTCAACACTGACTATGGACCAACCCTCTCGGTCTCGAGATATGGACTCCAACATTGTTACAGAGCAACCTGTATGGCGATCCATCCTTTCATTTCAATATTTGTATCATTTTAACCATTTGGTGCTTTTAGAAGCCTCAATCTATGCAGATGCAACTCCGAGGTGGGGAGGGCGACGATGGATGTGGGTGTTGTGGGACTTGCTGCGGAGTGTAAGCCTCAGTCTCTAATATTTCTTGATTACGTGGGAAGCTTGTTAACCATGCTTAATAGATGCGCGGCGCTGACCTGCTTCGAATGCTGCTGTTAAATGTGCCCTTTACTCAGCCAAAGTGTGCAAGACTAGTGTCCAACTCAGGTTCTCTCTTAATGCATGAATATTGTTATCCATACATAATTGTACAGTTAGAGGCTGAAAGACAGGAATATTTGAATATGGAGAGTTATCGAAATTGTTCTATGGAATGCCCGTGGTTCTACAATACCTATCATCAGATATAACGTGTTTACCCAACTGGTTTTAGTAATGCTTAGTCTGCATATACATTTAAATACGCGCCAAAGCATTACTTCTCATTATCTAATGTATCTCAGCTTTGCGCTTACGATAGATATCTGTGTTATCATTCCTGGTGTAACCCTCTCCTCTACGCTAAATAACCTATTTGTGACAATAGGAATGCAACAATTCACAATGCCCTAAAGATGACTTTACAAAGACACTGTCCAGCTGAAACATGTCAAACACTTATCTTTCGAATGCTATGCACTGCACATGTGATCAGACTTAATTTGAGTAAGCAGCCTATTATATATGTAATCTAAAGCCATTCTCCAGTGATTTCTATGTTTTAAATGTAGATTTCAAGAGAAATGTATGAGATCCATATATTTCTTAGTAGTTAGAGTGATCATCGGTATTTGCATAGAGCCAAGCTTCAACAGTCCTATGCCAAGATGGGTACTGTGGGTCAATTATCGACCGTGCCTGGATCGCAATCTTCAGTGTGCGTCGGAGTACACAGGTCAGGTGCCGCTTCCCAGAAGCCGCAAGCCGGCCCCACCGGTCTTGGCAGTAGCGGCGCGGCACCTCAGCTTTTAAATACTGTACCAGATACCATGAAATTCAATTTCAATTATCTTCTATAAATATTTTGTTGTATATTTACTTATCGCACATGGCCAGCAGTCCTACTCTGATGCAACCCAACCCCTTACAGAATATTGGCAATGCATGATTCGCCTATATAGGGATCTTGGCATGTAGATTGCTGTGATCACAATTACTTGGCGTACTTTCAGCATACGGAAAATCGATACCGTGCATAATCCTCGTTTTAACATGAATTTTCTATGTGTCACCCAAATTATTGGGGTAAAGGTGCAGAGGCGGGATAATATTATCTACATATTAACACGCATGAAGTGTCATTTTTTTCCGGGGAAAGAAAGCGCGTTGTAACACTAAAAACACATAAACAAAAAGGGGGGAAAGGACAAGGAATACAATAGAAACGGAGAAATCAAGGAAATTACAGCATAGTCCTGGATGCCTGCACCAGCCGGCGAGGACGAAGCCCCCTACCGTGTCATTGCCATTAATCCTACGATGGGAGATGTACTTATGACATCTCCCTGTACTCTCAGAACCTGAGCTTCGCGCCCGGCCCGTGCCGGTCTAATGTAGGTCTAATCTGATCCATCGTTGCCGCAGTCATCTTGCAGGAAACTAATCACGTAGAATTAGCCCGATGTAACCCTGCCATGCTAAACAGCATACTCTGTGTCGATCCCAATTTCGGTCTCGAGAGGATTCACATTGGCCGTGGAGAAAGTTGGTGTGTGGATACAGCCTAGTATAGAGCTAAGGTCCTCCGCTCGCGCTCGTCTCTGGCTAAGTGGGTACATGCTAAGATAAACCCTGCATAAGCCAAACAGTTGGTGTCGATCAACCAGCCAAAGGATTGTGATCCTATTCCGATCATATGATACTGTCTGGATGGTCAATCCAGATGGGCTAATTGGTCAGCCTTGCCATCACAGAAGATCGTTTCCTAGCCCTCCATGCAGTAGTTCATTTCTATATGAGTGAGCTGAACAAGCAGTATTATAAGAGACGTTCTAGCTGGCTGCGAGGTGTTTCTCTTGGTCATCAATCGAAGAGAGGGATGGGACAAGTATTTCTCGAGACACCTACAGTCCCCACTAGTTGTATGCTTCAGATTTATATAGATAATACTCTCTGCTAATTAATATTTTCCATTGTTATTAATTTCATTGAACCTTGGTGGACGCTTCCGGGTACGGTTTCCTATCTCAATCGCCCAGCGGCCCGTAATATACCATTCGGCATATTCCAGCCTTCGTCGTCGGAAAACAAACATCGACCGGGCGTTTCTTGGATCAAATTCAAAGCCCCACGATGGCTTTTCATGCCACACCTGTCGATCACAATCAAAGAATACCGGGCCTCTCAACACGTAGCCACTTATAGTGGAAGGGTGTTCGCATAAAGTCTTATTCAGTGCCGGATACCCGAAAACTTCCGGTGTCTCACTAGGCATGGCCAAGAGTGTCTTTCGAGCATCAGGCACTGACGTGTAGCGATGGCTGGTTGTAGCCCAGGCACTAAATCTACCCAGTCACAGGCCAGTGGGAGGAGTTCAAAGCTCAAGCCAGGTGGTCCCATCGATGCTTGACTTACTAGCTTTTTCCACTCTAATCAGCCAAAGCTACATTGTTGCCTCCAGGACATAGGGGGTCAGCTCAAGGAAGACGAAGAAAGATATTCTAAAGAAAGGCTTATAGATACCACTAGATTGCTCTAGTAAACCGGGATCAATCCAAAATATAGCCCAATCCTGAGGTTGGCCTTTCATTGGGGATAAATCGAGTCCTTTCCGATGAATAAAAGGAAAGCCGTGTTATATACACTACTCAAATACTAACAAAATACAGAATAATCAAATTAATCATGTCTTCGCCATACTGCGAATACTTTACGAGAAGGAATGAGTTGTTATATCCGTAAATCGCCAGTCATAGTACGCAAGCTGCTGATAGGGCTTTCCACTAGATGAATTAGCACCTAATGGAGTATCACGACTCCCTTTTCCCTCCACGCAAGTATGTAGGATGCCGATAGACAAACACATATATCTATGCTTTATTAGCGGTCCTCATTAACCTGTTGTAAGCCAACCATCTGGACGCACAGTACGCGGGTGTCCACTGATTCCCACGACCAAGCTCTATCATCTAGACGGGAGATCAGCCAGTTACACAGCACCATCAGAGTACATTTTGCCCACCTTGTCACTTATTATCTGCCATTTCATGTCCGCCCAGTGAGCATGAGCCTCAAACAATGCCGATTTATCTTCGTCGGTATGCAGGCGCAGTCGCTTTTGGAGCCGCATGTACCGTATTTGCAGAGCCGGGGCACGATATCGCTTTCCGAGAAGCTGCTCGAAAGAGGCACTTATCTCCTGCCACTTCTTACCTCGGCTATCCCTTAGGATCAGAAGTAGTTCGTCTTCAAAGCTCAAACACCGGTCACATCTAGTTGGGGATCGTTCGGTTCCTGATTGATCGGGAATGAATGGCAGCTCCGCCGATTGAAGTTCGATACTTGGGGAGTTATATATCCAATCTGAGAATCTATCTCCTGGTGTATCAATGGTGGAATACGTGGCAGTCTCCGCCTCGCTTGAATTCATTTTTGAGTCGCCGGCTGATGAGTTGATTTCGGGACTCTCGCCGGACATTGGGAGGGTACCCCCCTCAGGAAACAGGTTCATAGAGAGTTGTAGCTCATTCCAGTTCACAGGGGACATATCGAGAGAGTAGCATTCAAAGTCTGTGAGTGACATCGCTGCTGCTGGTGTTTCGTGGGATGATTGGTTCTTCATAATTTAATCAAGGTATATCTGCCCCAGACTTTCATAATAAGTCTTAGTCGTATAATAGGTCTATATGAAGATAAGGTAGGCACTCACGCACCGTATTTCTTGAGATGGATATATCCGTCTCTATCAAAGGTCCGAGTATTTTGTTAGGCAGAAGGGGCTATATATTAGTAAGGATCTAGAAATTGTTATGAATGGCATTTTAGCCCCGAAGCATCATAAATCAGGTGATTTCAGTACTTCTTACGATTTGTTCGTCCACTTTTTGCCACTCGAATTTCTGTCGGGTATGAGAAATTAAACCCATAAGTGAGTCAGTAATGTACCATACTGTCGTTAGTGTGTAAATAGAATTTCCGACGCGCGTCTTCTTGTGCAGGAATCGTCCTTAATATCCTTGACCAGGGTTCCCGAGGCACCCGGCAGCCGTGGGCCCTTCTCCTGCACTACGGACGCCCTAGTAAGAAGTTTATATGAACGAGCTCAAAGCTGACGTAGTGGGAGTCGAACTGACTAAGCTTCGGCTCAATAAATAATAATCTGGGAATATTCTCAGGATTCTACTTAGTTCTTTCTACCTGTCAATTTCCTTCATCCGAACCGACCGCGAAAAGATGACTCTTACCTTAGATCCCCCAAAATCTTCTCTCCTAGAGCAGTTGAACTCTCCACCAAAGGCATCTTTACAGATCCTCGGGACACATATCACGAACGAACAGACCAAAGTTATTGATTTTGATCTCTGGGTCGACTGTTTGAAAATAGTGGGGATCAGGTCTGGACAATTCCTGACAAATTATAAAAGCGATTGCCAGTCCTGGAATCACTCCGCCAACGGTTGCAGCTTTGAGGCGATATTGGATGGCTGGCTTAATGAATGGCTGGGAGATCGTACTGATGGGAGATCGTATGTTTTCCAGCCCAACATTGTTTATAATGCTAATAGAACCCCGGGTTCCAGCTGGACGCTTTCTAAATTAGTTTCTTTCCCCGATCACGATTGCGCTGCGATGAAAGCTCATATAGAGAGGCTGGCACGCAGAATCGCCTACGGTGGGTCTGTCGAGGTAGTATTTCACACTCCGTCAATAGAGGCAGATGCCTTACCGGAGAAACACGACGTGCAAATTCGAGTGGAGTGGACTTTTGATTGTCCATTTACTCCCACAGATCAGGTGTGGAACGAGTTGGTTATGAACGCGATGGTCGACCGCAAGAAGGGCTGGATCTCTCTAAATGACCCAAAGCGATCCTACGGGATGTCTCCATTCCGAAGGGCTATCAGACATGGCAATAATTCCAGGATTGTGTCGCAGGAGCAGAATACCAATGGGTTTACGCTCTCTGTACAGCAATTCTCACGGTGGGGCTGTGACGGCTCACCATGAAAGGAGTTAGGTCAATATGGACTAGCAGTGTTGTTTTTACTCTGGTCGCTCTGTTGTTGTTGTTGTTTTACCGTGGCTCTATGTTCATTGTTAATGCATTACATTGTGTTAGATGTTATAGAATGGAAGTTGTTAAACTAGGTGCTGATGGGCTTTCTGTTTAGAAGCAACCTTTATTCGATTAAATATTGAGTTATTTATATGAGCAAGCTATATCGCTGGTAGCAGGACGTCTAGCATTGTAGTAAACTGTATTGCCTAATGTATTGTACAGTAGATCATTCTGACATCCAGGCCATCAATATAGGCCTTCCTTGAAAGACTATACAAATTCTAATATGTAAGCCTCAAAGCCTTATATCAAACTCAGCAAATATATGAAGGGAGCTCATCGCCCGAATGCTCGATACCAATTTCGTACTCATTATCCGTATTGTCATACCCGTACCCAGCCTCACCATTGTCAACGCAGTGGCTGATAACCGCCTGGTTAAGATCATACCATGTATTCGTATCCACGGCTACCTGTCGACATTTGGCACAGACGTAGGTTAAGCAGGTGCCATATGTCGCTTCGTGGCAGTAGCCCGGCTGTACGAGAAGTGTTGATTGGTAATTCTTGACTTGGGTATTCAGAGTGTTACAGTCGTCGATCAAAGGGGGTGACCCAGCATGCTTAGAGTGTGTTAGTCGAACTCCACAGCTATCAGTTGTTTTACGCTGAAGTTGGTTGCAATAGTACTTACCCCAGTACAACCAATAGCAAATGCCCGCTTTTGCAGCTGGTTCGATTGGGTATCAAGCTCCACAACACGGCTAATTCTCGTATCATTTCCGACGGGGCGCTCCACAATCCTCCAAGTAAATCCTTCTGGGAGCTCAGGAATGTCTTCCGCCGTGGAGATCTTGTGGTGTTCCTCGCTTTGGGGGTGGCTTAATATCGAGGCAGCATTGCTGAATGCTATCAGAACGGCAAGAACGGAGCCATTTTGCCAGAATTTTATTTTGAGAGGGTCGATACTAGGCCAATGCTTTAATAAAGAAATTGCCAGTGAATGTGATGGGTCCAACAATTGAATTTCGAGTGTCTGAACGTATATAACGGCTTCTGGCTGTTTATCTTCTAAGAGTAGCCGGTGTCCGATACTACCTGTTATACTATATGTTATACTACATGTTATACTATATGTTATACTACATGTTATACTATATGTTATACTGCCTGTTATACTGCCTGTTATACTGCCTGTTATACTACGTGTTATACTACCTGTTATATTGCTTGCTATGGTAATTTCTTGTATATGTAATATCTATTAAGTCTTTATCTAGGACTTGGAATGTATTTATATCTACCCAATCAGCCGTAGTCCTCTAGAAAATCATTAACATCGCTGAGCCATCTATTGCATTGCATAGGCTTCACGTTTGATCCAATACCAGAGTCCAGCGCGATGTACATCAATTTTCATTTCTTCGCATTATTCCTATTTCTACGAGCTATGGTAGTATCTGCTGACAACGCAAATGGATGCCGCAATTCGTGAGCTTGCTTTATCCTTTCTCTGGTGCCTATCCGAGAACTAATGATTGAACAGAGCGGACCCCCATGGCGGTCTTCCCAAGAATATATGTCGCTGCCCCGATGGTGAGTCTTTCTACATGTATATGTCACACATAGGCACGTGTATATACTGAGACTATTATCAATCGCTCAAGGCCTATGCTACAGTGATATAGACGATGGTGTTTGTGCGGATCTGAGCAAGCCGGTTGCTTGTATTAGTTGATGGGCTTAGAGGCAATCTTCTGGGAAACTCGACATTCATCTCTTTAACTTTTGAGGTAGAGAAAATCGCTAGCTCTATTGTGAAGACTGAATTTAATATTACTTCTACCGAGTAGATAGATATTATCGTTGAATCTCACTATATAATTATGTTCATTAAAAGCTTACGCCATTTAATCGTCACATAGTAGGCGGCGGAAAACGGTTATCTGTTTAAAGCTACTCATTATATAAGATTTTTAGAGCTAATATAGTAAATACGGTCCTGCCCTCATCTTTAACACTTGACGATTCTAGAAGTGCCTCTATAGCATTGAGCTCTACCTGTAAGACACAGCTCAGAGTGATCTTGAAGTCACTTCGGTGCTGAGGACTATAGAATATTAGATCCATTCCATATCTTTGGGGAGATGGGTTGTGTCCTCTGGAGCTTTTGGGTGAATTCCGCCATGTCGTCCACGAGTCACATCGCGTTGGCAGGTTGCGGCGATCCTTCCCAATAGTGTGCAGATAAAGCCCTATTACAGGTTGACAACTTATTCATAGGACTAGGACTACAATCTCTTGATTTCCTGTAGGTCTTGTATTATATGCGCTACTATTTCGTTCACATACCTTGGATACAACTTCTGATTATCATTAAAGTCAAACTGGGAGCTGACATCAGACCTGAAGGCTCTTTGGAAGGAGTCTACAGTAGTTAGTTAAAGCCGAGGGATTATTCTAGGATTGGGACATAATTAGACCTTTTATAGAATGTTTTCTTCTCTAGGGAGATTGAAAACGAGCTTGGGGGCGTTCAAGCACTATGGATTCTGTATTCCTGTATATCCCCCTGTACCGGTTGTATTTCTCCTGATCTGAGATTATGAATGACCTATGCTCCCTCTGTTTCTGGCCATTAAACACTACATTCACCGAATGAAGAGATTGCGATCTTGTGGCCATTGTGCCGCTTGCAGCTACCTGGGGGGGGGGGGGGGGGGGGGGGGAGGGGGGGGGGGCTCGGTACGTGTGGCTAAATCTTCAACGAGATAAAGCATCTGAAATGCGAATAGTTCGAGCTTATAAAAGTCGCTATTATCTTAGTTTCTCATATCCAGATATAGAATCAAATGGATTAGGCACAATCAGACAAAGGCGAAACTTGAAACAGCAAAAAATGAAAGAACATCACAAAATACAGTATGTAATACCCGATTACAGCACTCTTGCCGCAGTCCCAATAACTATGGGAGGACCTTTGGATAGTACCCTATCTTAGGATCTGCTTTCACCCCATACTTCTTTTTGTTTATATGGTTAGCGAATAGCGAGCAGGTGAAAGGGCAGAAAGGTATATGAAGATTGGATGGTTAGGGCACATACTTTCTTAGCAAAGCCATTCACGACCTTATAGGGGTTGAAAAAGCCCTTTGGGGTTTTGCCACCTGTTCATTGGTATTAGCATAGTATCTTAATAAGAAAATAGGTATCAATTGACTAATTTCTGTCCATGGGAAAGAATCATGGGCTAGATGAGCTGCTTACTCTTTGTAAGAACCAGAGTCTTTTTGACTATATCTTCCACTTTGTAGCAGTGTGATTTGGACTAGCCGATAAATTGTGGTAGTTTGAGCATCACCCTTGGAACGACCCTAGGAATGATGCATCCATTCGCCATGTCGGTCAGCACTTTATCACCGTCCATAATGCTGCACAAGTTGGGGTGTTCTGTGATCGCTGCGTTGCCTGTCACACAATTTTCCATTACATCCTCGTATATCTCCCTTACCTCGGGCAATTTTAAAGGCATATCCCCCAAGTTTGACCACAAATATGGAAAAAGTCCGTATTTCTTGTTCCATAGGAGGGGTTCGATATAGGCGGAAATCATTGGGTATGTCACAACAAACCCTTTACTGCAGAAGTTGTCCATACCCAACAGTAAAATTTATCTCCTTCATTGACAAAAAGTTCCGCCCCCTTTCTGCATTCTTGCGGTATCATGTCTGTTGGTGTATGGATCGTGTTGAAAAAGCCACCCTTGCATTCTGCAACAGCTGTAGTAGCAAGCGAGATCGCGGCTATGAATGGCAAGATATGAAAACACATCTTGACCAAGGAGTATATGAAACAAATTATTTAGGTGCCTCAGTCCTCGAAGATTGGAATGTAGGAAATCAAATGAAACGAACGGGAGAATAGAATATGAAAAGAGTTGGCTACAACCCTCTTTCATATCATTGATTGGAAAAAAGGTCAACCTCTTTTTAAATATTATAAGAGCCTATTGGAAGTATACCCCCCTGTTCTTGTTTGCGAATGTTTTGCAAATGATCGACATGACTATCTCAATAGTCCCGCGATAGTGCCGTAAAATTGAATTAATTTTTGAGATATATGAAATACCATCATAGCCTAGATCTTGTTAGCTGGGACATGATTCGTTTATTTAGAATTCATAACTGATCTGAAAGTGGGCCCAAAATCATTGGCACTCTTCTTTGCATGCAACATAGCGATGCATTGGTGACTATTTTCAATAGCGTTGACAATAGACTACAGTGCAGTTGGAGCCATTGCTCCAGCTGTTCAGCCAGCTCATATTCATTCAACGGGGTCGCATGGTACACGCTGCGAGCTTTGCTCATTAGAAAGAAGAGTACATCATATGCAGTGTTGATCAAGGGCACCTCTCATACCATGTCGGCTGGTTTCCATGTTCGAGTGATCTATCATTTTCGTTCCTCCTCTTAAGGCGAGCAGCGTGGCCGCCAGCCCTTCAGCAATTTTATTGCACATTTTAAAGCAATACTACCGTTTTAGTATGTCCCTTGCTGGTCGAACGCTGCCTAGCAGGAATTGTAGCCACTGGCTCCCTGCAGGCTACACGTATAGCCAAAAAGGGACTAGCTAGTAACCAGGAAGATTGACGATATATCCTTCAAGGGGGTGGGCCAAACCGATCACCCCAGAGATCCTCCAACATGACGATCATAGCATAAGAAAACATAAATCAATCTCCGACGCACAAATTCAGAGCGCCTGTTCGCAGCAAAATATGACGGTCCAGACGAAGCTGGCTGGCATTGAGGATGATCCATCCGCTTCTTGAATCTAGGAGCGGAATCATTTGGTTTCTATGTTAATAATTGACCCAGTAATCATAGACAAGGACAACTACATTGAAAGCTTCGTCTTTCTTCATCGAAGTGTGCAGTAAAATGCTGAATGTTAATATTTGACTTGCAGTTTCCAACATCCCCAACCCCATTTCTGAATAGAACGCGTTTATGTATAAATTCTATCCATCAATGACATGGAACCTCGCAGCATGCGTGGGTATGCAGAGCCTGCCTGGTGGCAGAGGCCTATTGTAGCCTAAACTACCGGAGGTGATTGACATAATGTCTGTACACACCATATACCTTTTCCGAAACCAGGTTTATATCTAATCTTCCAAGGTGAAGCCATCGGTCACGCTTGATTTGGTAGTGGGGATGCTGAACGAACCCACCTGTGGATTTAGATACAACCACCCATTTACATGCGTCTATTGTTTTATTATATACATGCCTTTTCTGTTCCTGTTTTAAATCATCGCTTAAGGAATCAGAGGCTTTGTAGAACAACATGCAGAAAATGACCGCTTTTATAATAAATACTTCACAGCAGCATTTCCACCTATATCTCCCTGCCTCAAGCCGAGGCTGACGGCAAACCCCCTGTAACTTGTGAAAATGTGCCCGGGACATATCGATAAAGGGACCGAGGCTGACTAGTTAAATTTTCCATAAGCTAAAGCCCCTCTTTTTATGCAAGGCTGAGGTATTGGAATAGTCTGGACCACTCGATGGAAGTAAAGAGTGTATTCCATGCCTGATGGATACCTGCAATTCTGCCTGGCTATGATTCAATCCTTCGTTGGCCCCGCCCATAATTTACTCTGTACGATTGAAGCGCCCCATAAATCGATCTGGAGACGTCAGCCACTGCACTGAGGATGCAGCTGTGATTTGATGGAAGGGGTGAAGGGGAACTAGCCAAAGAGCACAAGGCTGAAGTGGGTGAAAATGAAATAACAGGTACCACCGAGTAGGTGTAAAATATGGGAGTATGAGGCAGGAACGAGGAAGAAGTTGGTACTTGCTCGCTTTACAATTTATAAACACTTGACCACATGTTTTTCCATTTGGGGTGGTCCTTTTTACTACGTGTACGACTGGAACAGTTACAGACTACTCGATAAAACAGTTCAAAAGGTTATTTGGAACGAGTAGAAGGACTCTCAGTGTTGTTATTGATCACTGTGTATAAATCGTACCTAGCATTATCGCCTTGAATATCCGTGCTCTACGCCGAGAATTATTTTCAAAGAATATAAATAACAATAAAAATAAAACAAAATGCTATCAAACTTTCAAACGCTCGGTTCGGGGTATTTGAGATCGGGTATCTTGGGCTTAGTCTACCAGACTAAACACTTAACGCACATGCTGTACAAACTGAAACAAGACAATATAACCCTAAGCCTTCCATACTCTCCGACACATCGGGCACGTAGACTTAGGGGAGACCTTCAGCCACGATTCAATGCAGGTCGCGTGGTAGTTGACTCCACATTGGGCTTTGCACCAGGATATTTCCTGCTGTTCTTCCTCGTCTTCCGTATCATGGTGAGCGTCATGCCTAGCTCCAGAGCGAGCCTTTTTCAGGGACTCATAGCAGATGCTACAGTCTCCTTCAATAGGTCGGCGAGTAGAATCGCCAGAACATGAGGATGTCGTAGAGGACAGAGCAGCTCTCGAGCCACTGCCAAGGAGAGCACGATTAGAGGTCGCGCGAATAGTCGCTGTTGGTATATTCGACAGTCCACAGTTCGATGCCGCAACAGAGGCAACCTGGAGGCCTGCTTGGGAGTTGTAGGCTACTGCTCTTGTTCTATTCGTTCTTTCTTCTGTTGGAACTGCAGCACCACTCACAGAGAGCTCGCGTCGTCTATCGGTGGAGTTTGTGGTTTGAGTGGCGCGTCCATTGACGCGAGTTCCTTGCGACGGTGTTGGTGCCGCTCTAACAGTCTGTAGATTTCCACGCCCCTCAATACGAACTAGAGCCCAGTTCTCCAGATTGGAGCATTCCACCTCTACAATTCGCCGGGATCCTGCCGCAGGGCTAGTCCGTTGTCGCTCTCCAGCAGTTCGCTGAGTAGGCGCAGGAGACACACAGGAGCCCAAGAATCGTTGAACCTTCCTCTTCCACTTTGAGGCAAGTTCGGGGGCCTGATTCTTGTGCCACCGTGTGCACAGAGTGTAAGGAGCCAAAGCCTCGAGCAGGTCGTTGATGTCTCATCCCGCATAGAGGTCTTCAGTCCCTTCGTCTAATAAGTACATGGCGGTTTGCCGGTTCCGCGCATTTGTTGATTGATGGCAGCGACGACCCTGTGATGGAGCGTATCCTGCGCACCATCGTTCCCCCTCTGGGTAGACTTGGATGATCTCGGAGAGGTGGGGAAGGAAGGTTGTTTGAGCTCGTGAGTATGGAGAAGGCATAGTAATGATTTTACGAGTTGGTTTCTAGGAAGCTGGGTGTTCTCTAGGGTGTAGTACTTGTAGGAGATTTCGCAAGAAAGTCATACTCTCTATATACCCTGATATGACCCCAGAGAGACCGGGGTACTTACTTGTCTGCCTAAGGCGCAAGAGGGATGCACGATAGTCCAGCCACGCATGCGTGGCTCAGCTCAAGGCCAAGTCCTTGCTTTATGCAACATAAATCAAATGTAGACTAGCAGCCGTGACATTATACTGCAAGTTAGGGGTGGCAGTGCCGCCGGGCTGTCTTATTGGGACGCATAGACAGGGGTTGTCAGATGCTAGCGGTTATGCCGTGGCTCTCACTGGTTAGCGATGGAGATGGTGTGATAAGATACAGTAGTTACCCATCCAAACTGGCTCCTCGATCACCATAAATAAAAATCCTCCTAATTGAAACCCTTTCCGTTTCAGGATAAGTTTTAAGGCAGCACCATTTTCCATGCCGGAATCAGACCTGATCGCGGCATGCGCGCACGCGATCCTTGTCCTGGCAGCTACTGAATACCTATAACCGACCCCGCAACTAGTGTAGGGGTCGGTTATAGGTGTCTTTACAAACTTTGATCTTTGAACACATGAAATCTCAACAGAAATCCGGCTTCGTTCTTAACCATCTTCTGTAGAGGGCGACGGCCCACCTACAAGACGCGCATGGGAGCGGACTGGGAAGTATGGGCAGGGAGGGAGCAGCCTCTAGATCAATTGAAGTTAAGTCTATGCGTGAATCCCACTGCCTATAAATAGCTGAAGCTGCGTTAAATGACACAATGGCTATGCATGTTTCACCATTTGCTTAAGTACATTGATACATTGGGATATTTCTCACGAATGCTTACGCGAATTCGGGATCATGCAGCCACACCACCCGGAATCCCAGCTGTTCCCTGCGTGCTAAGGTCTCCTTCTTCCACTCCCGATATGCTGCCAGTTCGCTCTCTGTATAGACATAACCTAATACATCTCGCGTATCAGTGAAGTGCCGGCGTGCCAATGGACCGGCAAGATCAATCTCCGCGTTCGGCTCCCCATTCACGAGAACCTTGATAGTTCCAATCCGCTCGTAGAGGATCTTGCCATATTCTGCCGTGTGGTAACCCATCGCGAGAAGGCCATAGATATACCCTAATAGGTATTTTGCGAACCATTCGGGTCGGGTCTTATAATCAGACAACTCAAAAGTGACTCCAGTCTCGGTTCCAGGAAGAGGATCCATCCTATGATGGCGTCCCCACCACCAGCGATAGTCGACTTCGTCCGGGGGAAAGGAGAGCTCTGGTTCTGCGGACTGGAAGTCGAGCACTAGCGTCTTCACGGTCACATCCCGGTGGACGTACGTGGGATCTTTTCCTCGGCTCGTCTTTTCATCCACGGGCCCATACCGGAGGAACCGCTCCAGCAAGGCGTAGAAGCTCCATTGGAATCCTAGATGACCACCGTCCCCAACTTGGGAGCGCGCGGAGTCGCGCGAGAGAATATGGCCAAAGAGGCGGACGTTGACATGTAGCGTCGAGACACGGTGCGTGAGTCGTGGCACAGACAGCCAGGTGGGGTACAGCCCGACATCATTGAGGACCGATAAGTCTAGAACGTATGGAGAGGATGAGATGCGGTGCAGGGTTGCCAGTGTCTCCTCTGAGAGCTGGTGGTTGGTCCGGATGAGGCCACTCGCGTTGTAGGGACAGTGGCTTTGTCGTCGCTCGTAGTAGATGATCTGGCGCCATGCCCGGTACCCCATGTCACGGAAACTCCCTCGGTTGGATTGGGATGGTGCTGCGGGCGGTATGCGCTGGTCCTTCAGAACCAGCTCGATGATGAGTTCCCGAAGCTCGAGGGGGAGATCCAATAACGACGGCATGGTTTTTGCTCCTTGACTTGTTGACTTGACGGTTGACTCTTTGTTACAAGAAGAGTGAAGTGGGGCTTTGGCCTTTATGATCTTCGATAAATACCCGCGCCGCACTTCTCAGCCCCAATCCACGACTAGTCCGGTCTTTATATAGCGCATGTACTAGTGAGTTGGCGTGTTCCCGCCACCTATTCCATAGAAAATGGGATTTTTAATTTATAGCTAGCAGAATACTAGCGGAACAATAATATTAGACACATGGATATGTAGATTTGTATAAGTAATACTATAGTATACAGGAACTAATGATTTATAAGTGTAACAGCGGTATACTATCAGGGTATTCTGAATCGTTAACTCAGAATTATCTGACCTTTTGGCCTAGTTGGGAGATGGGAGCGTGTTTGCCTGGGCCGTACACCCTCACAATATGAATACTTATTTACATGCTTAGGTTAGTTCTTTGTAATCAATTACAATTGTCATTAATAGCTATATTCTAGTATTAGGACCAGCTCAACTCGTACTATCTAACTATTGAGAATACGTACTCGATAGGCCTGGCCCTTCTATCTAGTGTTAATAGTCCATGCACCTCATTTGCACTACAGATACCCTCTGACCTTACGGCCATGTCTCGCCGATCTGGAGTGAATTCTAGCCATCATACTAAGTTGTATGTAACCAAGATAGCTAACTGATCGCAGACTCCTTGGATGAAGCGCCGGTCGTAAAAAGAAACGCGAGGGGACATGAGACTCGCTGCCACGGAACTAATAGGCGGCTGTTTAAGAAGAGCACTGTCAATATGTGGCTAAATGACAGAAACGTGCATTGTGAAATAGCCTCAATGATTCTATCGGACCATGTCAAAAAGTTGCAAATCGTCCCTCTCCTTAGCTACTAGCCAAGCCATATTTCATAGCTTTAGTGCGAAACAATGATCACATACGACCATAGGGTGTGGAGAACAGGGCTTCCCGTCCGCTCAGCCGTACTTAAGCCACACGCCGGGAGGTTAGTAGTTGGGTGGGTGACCACCAGCGAATCCCTCCTGTTGTATGTTTTTATTTTTTTATTTTTTGAATTCGTTGTTTTAGTGCCCTTGCCGCTTTACTCTTCAGCCCTTTCAGGCTCCTTCACCTGAACGCCCTCTATTCTTCACCCGATCGCTCTGTATACCCTTCTTCCCGCTCGTCCTGGCCCCCAATTTGCTTTTCCTTGGTACCTGAACTGAACCTGATGCGAGCTGATCAGGGAAAATAGATTCACCATTGCCGTTACAACCAACCATCTGGTCTGGTCTTGGTTATCTCCTCGAAGATTCTGACCAACGAAGAGGTGCAGAAAAGAGTGGCTCGCTTCGATGCAAACAAGCATAATTCCAAGAGCTCTCCCGTAGCCGAACTTATGAGGTATTTCGCCACTTAAAAGTAAATTGAATTGGCTATCATTTTATTCTCCACGATGGACCACTACTGTGGAGGGCCTGGGGCATCATATCCGTGGAAAGGATCCACGCCCACGGGCTTATTGGCCAGAAATTGATCAATATTTCTTGTGGTAGATGTCCACTGGAAAATGCCTAGAGAAAAGAGGCGTGATCTGCCTTGCAGTGGAGAAAAAGGTGATGGAACTCTTCGTGTGGCGGATGAGAGATATTGTTACAAGCCAAAAGGAAACGGTGGAAATCCTGTGCATTAAACGAAGGTATCAAGACTGGGGAAGGGAAAGGAAGAGAAAACTGTCTGTTGTGGGATGTTTAATATGTCCCACGATAAGCCTCGTCTTCTGTTATCATCCCCTTCGGCCCTGTTTATTCCCATCGTCGAGTCGGTCTTCCTATGTACGTCCAGGTCGTCACCGTCAGAACGTTATCTTACCCGTTGTATCCTCCCGCCTCCAAAATGAGTGCTTGATCTTAACCAGTTCTCTTGAATGAACCGTTTTAAACTACTGCTGAGGCGCTAGACATTATATCTAGTGAATGGCGTGGCTAATATGTTGATCTTATTCATCTCGTCGAAGTTCCAAGGTCAATGTAGGATGTATTAATGGGCTGGAAATATATTTCTATTGTAAATATTGCCCTATTCTGCTTAGTCTGTCTTCGACCCTATAATGCCTATTAGCAAGTAATTATCATTTAATGGGAACGCTCCTAGAATAGTAGATATCGTAATGCTTGGTTATATTTCAGGTCAGCTTTAAGAGGCGCTGTTAGCGGTGTTCTATGCGCAACGCACATATCTCAGCATCACACGCTGATATGTAAAATCAGTGGTATTTGTAAGTAACTATGGGCTAAGATATCGGCCAGTGTCACCGGAATTTTGATAGAGACTAAGCGTTGAAGTATGGCCTGTATGAGAAATAACAAATTAACCTCACTAGCGTAGATAGAAATGCGGTCTTTTGTGCAGCAGTAATACATCGTACCTACATACCTTTCGATGTTTAATAAGCGGTGCATTCATTCGGTGTTGATAAACATTAACAAAATCAACGTGTGTGCATTGACCATAGAAGTAAGCGGTTGTTATCGTGATAAGACGATATTATCATTATCTGAGTTGGAGAAGATGTAATGGTTTGGAAAGCAAATCGTACGCACCAACACGTGAAAGGACGGTTTGAAGCCGCTCTTTGTATTCTTCAGGATGTGAAAATATTATCTCTTATGAGATACTGACTAGTGGTTACTCGGTTTCATGTCAACAGGCTGGTTTAGAGTAAATCAGTCATTAATGACCGTGGCCTGTATTCTAAATTCAATCAGAGCCTCTATGAGATGGTTGCGCACGATGGTAAAAGCAGAGAATAGACCCGAGTACTTGCTGCTTGACGGAGAAAGTCTTATAGAATGATAACCTTAGACAATAATGACTATTAGTCACAAAACAGACACAATCCTTGAAGGGCCTAATTAGCTGGGTATGGGTATGAGAGCTTGCCTAGCAGGCTGACTGGACACAGTCTCTACCTTAAGGACTTCGACGTTGTGTCACAATCAAACCTCGATCTAGCGAGCTCTAATTATGGTATAGGGCCACCAGATCATTGCTTACGGTCCACAGTCTGCATTACTGTGTCAATCAAAGGAAGAGACTTTCTTATACTGTGACACTCGGAAACTACATGTAGATAGAGTGGTTGTTTTGAGCGGTCTGATTGGCAGAGACACAAGGACATTAAGGCGGGCACTTCAGCTCAGCACTGCTCCCTTCTCTCTTCTCTCCAGTCTCAGCATTCGCTGCGGAATGCACTCTTTTATCGAAGATTTGGCTCGTGTCACAGTAAAGTGGACACTTAGGAAGTGTGTAAAGCACGCTTCACTCAAGGGATATCTTAGTTTAAATAGACAACTTCAATATTACTCAATAGCTAGCATACGCAATCGCGGGCTTATGCCATTCCCTCCAGATCCTAGCCCTCATTTCACAGTGTGGGCATACGCACTGGAAGAGACTATAGATGGATCATCGCTCGGTGCTTACACACGCGGTCAGTTCGGACAAGACTTTCGTCTAACATATTTCCGGGCTTACCTTGTCCTGTACATCTAGAGTGATCGTGGCACAGGCCTCTTCCACAAACCGCATCGCATGTTCTTCCTAAGTGACAGTTGGATACCCAAAGTCATAGCAGTCAAAGATGCCTCTTGGTAGCTCCATTCTAAAACATAAAAAGCAGATCTCTGCCAGGACCAAATAGGCTTCGACAGTACGGAAAATTTTGAAGGAAACAGACTTGAATCATCACAATAGCAGCAACTCATAAGCCGTGTTGCCGGAGGATGACAAGATGTCTCTATTGTTCCACGAGGAATAATCGAGTAGTGACGAGCTGCGAACCCAAGGTTGTCCTCTCTCGTATGGGTGGGGCCAGGTGAACTTACCGCGCAAATTAGGTTTAGGATATAGACGTTTAGGCTTGGTTACGGAGGATCATAGCGGCCACTCCGCAACAACGGCTCTTCTTACTAAGTCCACCTACCGCCTAGTAATATATTGTATTACTAACTCTCTTAATATAGAATATTCTATAAAATAGACTTAAAATATAGATATTTTATATAGCTCCTTATATAAATTACTGATAAAAGTATAGTTTCTAATAATTTATAAATAGAAATATTAAATAGATAAATATAAGTATAATATAGATGTATTGTATATTATAAGAAAGTTCCCGTTAATTTACCGCCTTTTGATAAAGGTAAATTTAGGGCCACTATGCCTAAATTTTAGGGGTGAAGTTGCCTAGGTTTTAGGGGCCACAGTGTCTAGGCTAGATTTCTACCGTGTCTACAGTCAGGGGCTATTGTATGTAAAATTAATTGTAGTTCTAATATACTCTATTACACATGTAATATGCAGTTATTTCCCAGTAATCTTCTCTTTTAAAAAGTAGATTTTATATAGAAATGTATATAATATATAGATTTTCTAGTAGTTACACTGGCTTCCTAGGTATAAGTACAGAAAAATTAAATACTTAGAATTATTATAGGATTTCTGCTGGCAGAAATCGATAAGAACCCGTTGTTGCGGAGTAGCCGCTATGATCCTCCGTACTTGGTGGAGGTGCGCCATGATCGCGCCCGCCAAATATGGGGCCAGCAACACTATTTACCGTACCTTCAACTTCAATTCCAAGATAACATTTTCCACCACTCAACTCTTACTTCTCGATACTTGTATACTCCAGATTATCACTAAGCCATGGCAACTTCTATCCGGCTATCACCGCAAGTTCAGCAGATCCAAAGAAGTTCACCCTATACCGATATCTTTACAAATGCTCCGGTCGCTTCCTTTTGCTCGCAAGAAAACATACAGTACCGCGACCTAACACTCTCTCATGCTCATCCTGATGTCAACCGATGGCAAAATCCCGGAAGTTGGGGTGCACGACATAGTAACGACACAGCCCCATTCACGCTGTGGGACGCAGGGAATCGCAAATTCCGTACGCCAAATCGCAAGGAATTGCAGTGGATTTACAAGAAATTCGGCGATGGTAACTTCGGCCAGTCGGGTTGGTTTATGTGGATCGAGACTTCCAGTCCCCCTCGACCAATCCCTCTGACTCTCGCATGTATGCCGGTCATATTTGTTGGAACCGGGACATGTCCCACCGAAGCTATTCCCGAAACCCGTTATCCGAATCCGCGAATCGAGGACCCGTGTCCGACCCTAGCCTGGCCCAAGATGGCATTTCCGACAAAGGAACAGAATATCACTCTCCTCACAGCTCTGGAGCCCTTTGCAAATATACGAGCAATTTTGTATCTGCCGAATTGGACCATCGTGGAGCTACGCTATGGCGATGGCCGAATCTATGAGCCGCAATCATTACCTGGAATTGTTGCAGGTCGCACTACATTATACCACCACGCAGAGGGACCATTCTACCATAAAATGCGAAGCCAGACGCGAGCTCGTTTCATTGACCCTGCTCAGTATATGAACAGCCTGGATTCCCTACCTCAAGACGATTCTAACTATCTTCGGCGGGTATGCCTAACGCCAGGGTGCAGAGTCGAGAGTGGCTTGAGTTCTCCAGGCTCCCGTTATGGGTCAGTGGATTCTGCGACAACATTAGGAGTGAAACTTCGTAATGTGCGTGGGGAGGAGGTGGTCACGGTCGCGCACCACGGATTCCTGCTCTCTAATGAAGTACATCATCCAAGGATTGGCGAAGACATGATTGGCACAGTTTCAGATACGCGCCCAGAATTGGATATTGCGTTCGTTAAGCTGACCCCTGCGGCCTCAGCAAGCTTCACCAATGAATGCAACTTCCAAGCAGAGCCGCCACGGAGCCTTATGCCGGGTGACATGATAGAGGCGGGTTCATGGAGTGAGGTGGATGGTATGAGCTCTGGCCTAGTGAGCCTGATGGTATATGGCAAGTATTTCACGGCGCCAGTCCGTCCTGACGGCTATCCCGCAATTCCCTTCGAGCGATGGAAAGCGTTATCGGTCAATGCCGTATTTGGGGCAATCAACTCCACGATATCAGACGGGATTTGTGGGGCACCAATCGTCGAGTGCGAAAGTGGCGGAGTTACTGGCTTCTTCCACCTCTCCGATGGAACCAACTGCCTTAGCGTTCACCTGGATGATCTGATAGCGGAGGGATGGCAAGTGGCTTAGACCAGATCTATGGCTAGGTGCCCTGATTAACTGAAATTGTGTTACCCTAGGTCAGAAATAGACTCCTGAATCTATAAGATGCGTGTGCTACTTCCAACTCTAAATAGAGAATGCCAGCAAGCAAAATCACTCCCCCCAACTGAATTGCGGCTGGGCTCTGGTCCTTTCCTTTAAGTTGTGGTGTCATTTCACCCCGTCTTGTTGGTCGGATAGATGGGTAGAATTTCGTAACAAACACACCAGAAAATTGGGACGTTGAAAGAAGGATACTCGCTCTCGTTGGGCCTCCACTTCTACCTTAAAATTTTCCCGACACCCCCACCCAAGGCCCATGATTACCTGTAAAAATTCACTTAGCATGACCAATATTGCCGCGAGTTGCACATAGAACATCCATAATCCCTTTCACGGACAGCTTGTTTTTAAACTTCCTCGCCGCAACTTATAGCTCTAAATCAGCTCCGTTTACAAATAATCGACCCGATACCCCCCTCTCGGCGCCCGGGAAAGGTAGTAGCGGGTTGTACGTGTAGGATAGCGTTTTGCTCTCTCTTTGAATATGTTACTGTACTACTTTTTTGAATTGGATGTTGAAGGAGCGGAGCGCTTCCGTCTCCGTTATAGGTACAAAGGCACATCTTGGGGCAGGCCGTCACCCCTTTGGGTGAAGGACACCCCAGCTTTTACGGTTTGGGGGTATTTTGGACATGTTATTGCTACAATATCTCTACATATGGCATATTCACTCCCCAACTCAATGAAAGCATGGACGTTCACTCACGCAGGCTCTGCTGAACGAGTCCTGCAACTATCCCAACAGCAACCCATTTCCACCTTGAGCACCAACACTGATGTACTCATCCGCATAACACACGTGTCCCTACACCCCGGCACAACCATAATGATGAACTTCGTCCCATTCATCTTCCGAGCCAAGCCTTGCATTGCAGAAACAGACTTCTCTGGACTGATCATCTCAACCGGCAAAGAAGTTCCAGTTGCCCCCAGCCCAGACAATGAGCACCGATACTTCCCGCCCGGAACGCCCGTCTTTGGGTCCATTCCTGTCGGGCAACATCTAAAAGGTGCCGGGGCCTTAGCAGAATATCTCGTCGTGGACGTGAATTGCATAGCTCGCAAACCAGCCAATATTTCATTCGCACAGTCTGCGGCATTACCCGTTTCGGGCACAACTGCTCTAACCCTCATAGATGCAGCGGATATCCAACCCGGTGGTCGGGTGCTCATTAATGCTCCTTGCGGGGGAATCGGACACCTTGTTACGCAGCTTGTTTCTCATGCTATCGCTGAGGAGGGGCGCATTGTAGGTAAGTGCTCTGCTGCTTCTTTTGATGTGGCGAAAACGCTCGGTTGCAATGATGTCGTGTCGTACAACAATTCGGGTGACATGTCTATCACTACTGCCACAGAGGTATATGGAGAAGAGCCATTCGACAAGATCATCGATGCCCTTGGATCTCAAGATCTGTGGTATTCATCGCCTGCAATTTTGAAACCTGGCGTGGATCACATGTATACATCGGTTGGACCGGTGCTCGAATCCTATACTTATTTGGGCATGCTTGCATGCCTGCTAAAAATGGGTATGAATAGATTTCTGCCTGTCTGGGCAGGCGGGATAGATCGGGGGTATAGACAGGTTACAGCTATAGTTAGTACGGCCAAACTTGAAAGGCTAAGAAAGCTATGTGAGGCGGGTGAATTGGGTGTCTTGATCGGAGTTACATGGCCGTTTGAGGATGCTGTTCAGGTAGGTCATGACCTTTACAAGACATATTGTCGGACTAAGGTGGAAAATAGGCATTTCGTGTTATGGCTAGCAAGCATGCAAGGGGGAAACTGGTGATCTGTGTCGCGGAGCCGTCCATTTAACCAGTGCATGCAGCTTCAGTATATTTACGTACAGATAGCTCACGTTTTCCATTTATCAAACGTCCTCAGACAACTCCTGAAGTGCAACTCCGTAGTTCGCTTATGGACCAAACCAGACATTTTTCTCACGACCAACCCCATTATTGAACCTCATGCTGTGCCAAAACTGATAAAACTCACTCCCTTGCCGGGCCATGTCCGAAACCATTGAGCTGGGGTACTTACACCAACGGTCGCCTTTGCGACAGCGTCTAGAGGTATTGTAAGTCACGGCTCCAGGCTCAGAGTGAGCTCTTCACCCGAGTCACCGCTCAATGAGTAGATGTTATCAACTCCAGCGAGAGGAGGGAAGGAGGGGGGGGGGTTTCCTTTCCAGTGCCTTAGGGCAATGAGCGCATTGGCATATCCAATCCGACTAATCTCTCTTTGTGTAAAGTGAGCACTTCGAAATAAATCAGCAGCGGTGTGCTTGCTAAGTGTTTAAAATGATCTAGCTTCTTGAGGCTTTCGATGAACGCTGCAACAGCCTAGGCCTGATCTAGTGCATATGCAAAGGTTGCGTATTTGGTGCACCTGAAGGCCTTTACTCTGGTTAAACCCCTCCTCAGTCAGTTACAACGGTCTTATATTGCACTTTCCTAATCTCATTCAGTCAAAGCACTCTCCAAAAGCCAAAATCATCCGTTGTTTCTCTGTCCAGGTAGGATTACGCAAACATCGGAGACACCTGCGTCAGCCCAGACGAGTGGAGAGGCATTTGTGGAGATGGGCTCCGAAGCACATATGGACGAGGACGTGACCTGTGTGCGTGAGCTGGACAAATCTTGGTAATATAGCTAGTAAGGCAACCACCGGTTGTTGGGGAGGGTGTTCTGCACAGCGAAGCTCATGGCAGCCAAGTACGTGTCTAGCCGGAAGATACCGACTTGGAATGATATCACCATTCGAATTATGATCCGAGTGTGGAAGGCCTTAGCAACTCGACTATCTCGATTATTGAATATTGATTACATATGTGCGGAGACATTAGGTACACTCTGTAGGGTAGAATGGGAATTTTATCTCATGATGATCCACGGTAGCTCATTTGGCAGGTGGAGAAGACTGGGCAGCGGGGTAACTTAAAGCATATTTCAATGGGGTCAAGAGATGGTCGAGGTCAAACACGCTGTGGATTCTTGTTACAAAGCCGTTAATATTAGGCCTTTGCAACTTTATTGTACAAGTAAATTGAGGGGTACGATTAAATCACGGAACATAGAGGACAGATTTGGTCCGTCAGTCCGTTCCGATTCGTACCTATCCCCGCTCCCCATCATCGCTTTTTACATGCGCCTGTGCCTTGAATAGTTCAATATGTACAAAAGATTCTGATAACCAAAGCTCTTTAATGCTAGATCTACGTTGCTCTACTAGTGGTATTTAATTTGGGAACTATATTGAGCCGAGGCAAAAATGTCAGTAGAGGGGAAAGATCCTACAGAGTTATTCTAGGATAATAATTCCGCTAGCTGGTATAGAAAACCCCAAGATTTGGTTTCATATCAATTTTGGGCACCAATGGCGAGAAAAGCCAGGGTGAGCTCCGGAGAGCGGAGATATGAAATGAATATGCAAAGTTTGAGTATGGGTAAAGAGGTGTTGATTTCTGAAGCTGTATACGTAGCCACAAATGTACCGTACCTTGGTAGCCGTGTTGGCAGTTCGAATAGCACCATGATATGCCGGAGTAGAGTGAGAGATTTGTTAGGCAACAATAACTTATAGAACTATCTGGTATTCCTACTATCGATATATGGTCTTTCGGTAGCGGAGATTACGGCTTTCGATAAGAACCTTATGACTGATGCCAGGTGTGTTAAAGGAGCTTGCTTCGATAGTATAGATATCTATACAACTGACGACGAGAGTTGTATCTAATTTCTCTCGTCAATCTTTGATAAGCGGAAGGACTGGTACAGGGGGTCCCAAGTAAACTTTCCACAGCTACTCTTTGAGATTATCAACAGGGCCCGTTAAATGTGCTCCCAAATGGTCATTCCGGGCAGTGTATACGTGCTCGATCTGGATTGATGGCCTGTGTTTGGTCATATAGTCCTTAAGTGACCAACGACGCATCGCTACATTTTGTTTCAGTAGGACATAGGATGCTTATGGCAGGGTGGCACTGACAGAACTTAAATTGTGCGGGAATTACGAAGGTTGAACGGTAGAAAGTACCAGGAACCTACGACGCCACAAGGCCACGCCTAGGTCCCGCCCAGTGTGCCATACATGATTAGTCTACTCTAAACCCAAGATAATGTATCGGATGACTATAATAAGCTTAAGTTTCGGGATCCTGTCAATATCCGCTATCTTCTCGCAGGGATCATTTATCCCAATCAGGTAATGGCTTTTCGTAGTGTTCGGATTAGAGAGGCGAAAACAGACTCTCGACGGGTGATTTTGCCAGTAGCCTCAAGTAGGATGGTTGTTTATCGCGCATCGAGAGTTATGAGTAACTCCACTGGGTCTGTTATCCTAATCCGGGGCTTTACTGGGCGTGTAGGTAGTTTGTTGAAAGCTTGAGGCGAATAGATAGGATTTAGGTTATCTCCTATCTCTGATATATATATATATATATTCTGGGACATGGCTTATAATATGTCTTTATTTTGACTTTCACAGTAGAAACTATAACAGCTTCTAAGTTAAAGATAACCAAGAAGCTATATATATAATATTAGTATATTTATTTCTCGATAGGTCTTTGTGAAATGGGTAGATAATATAGTTTGGAATAAACCAATTGGTGTTGCAGTCTTCACTGATACTGTGAGCCAAAAGCATTGATTTCTCTTCTTTTATAAGTTGTATATAAATTTATGCAAGTAAAACACTAGTACATACGACCATAGGGTGTGGAAAACAGGGCTTCCCGTCCGCTCAGCCGTACTTAAGCCACACGCCGGAAGGTTAGTAGTTGGGTGGGTGACCACCAGCGAATCCCTTCTGTTGTATGTTTTTCTTTTTCTTTTTTTTGCCTTTTGCTTTCTTCCCCACACCTTCGTATTGTTAGTGTCCATTACCACTAAATCAACCACAATCCTATTGGACAACATAATATGGGTCCATATTTCAACTTCCCAAAAATTACGTTGCTTTCTTAGTGTCCAACCACAAAAGTGTCTGTATCCAGTTTACCGGCCCCTGGCACGGGTTACCTTTCTCGGGTTAATTATACTACCAGGAACTCCGTCTTTTGCCGCAATTTAATAAATTAAAAGTCTGAGAGAGGAAGCCCCATCCCTATTACCTATTACCTATTCTCTCTCAGTAGCGTGTGTGTAGGGATAGATACAGGCGAGTATCACCTACCCGAGGCTATTTGGCCTGTCGAAGGTAGGATAGAAATCTTTTATCATAATATTGCCATTGGCTGGGTCCCTTTGGCGGTTCAAGATAACCAGCAGTAATTCTTTGTTAGACGCTAACCCTCGAACTTTGGATCGTTCGGCTCTCAGACACGATAAGTGGCTTGGCCACCGGGCAGTCAACGGCTTTGACTGGCTAGGCTACGGTTGCCGTATATTATTGCGCATGCTGGGCGTTCACGGATCCCTGGCTCATTGTAGGGGTGTGACCAGTTACTAGAATTGTGAACATTAGGTGTACGCCGAGATTGAAATGTAACATGCATCGCATGAGAGGGGAGGTCGTGGAGCGGTTGGGGGTGGTCGGCCTTAGGGCTTGGCTTGAGAGATCGGTCAATGGCCAAGATAACCTTCCTTAGATACGACCGGTAAACTGCATACGCAGCGTCATTGCTTAGCTGCAGGACCCGGAAAAATAAAAATAAAAATAAAACAAAATAAAATAAAAAGAGGCCTGCCTAGCGTCGTGTTAAGATTAAATATCGCAGCATCGCCCACCCTGTGGACAAGAATTCTTCTTCTGTACGACACCAGTTGGATAGGGCACGCCGTGAGAGTGTCAAGTCAACTTCCCTTTCTTTGTTGCTCTCATACAGCATTTATTATGCTCTCCCTCCCTCTTGTCTCATCGCAATCAAATACCCTATGCCAATTCTCTTTCCTGCTTCTATCTTATCTCTTTTTTCTTATCTTTTGAGCTAATCTGCCCGGGTTTCGCTCCGAGTACTTTTTAAAACTTCACATCTTCCACTCTCTATTGGCATTGCAACCGCCAATATGGGGCTGAATGAGGAGAAAACCACCCAGCTTGAACCTTCCACCTCGGGAGAGGGCGGTAGTATTCATGTCGGGGAGAGCATGGGAACCCTGCATCGCCGGCTCGGTAACCGTCAAATCCAGCTCATCGCTGCCGGTGGCTCGATCGGCACGGCCCTGTTCATTAGCATTGGCGGCGGCCTCGCCAAGGGTGGCCCTGGCAGCCTGTTTATTGCTTACACACTTTATTCTTGCATCCTTGGACTGGTGAATAACTCGATCGCCGAAATGAATACGTATATGCCGGTGTCCGGAGGCTTTATCCGTCTTGCTGGCTACTGGGTGGATGATGCTCTTGGATTCCTTGCCGGTTGGAATTTCTTCTTCTATGAAGCTTTCCTGATTCCATTTGAGATCACGGCACTCAGTATGGTCATGTCCTTCTGGAACCCAAGTGTGACGGAACCTGGCCCTACGGCAGGAATCTGTGCCGCTGTTATTATTTGCTACGCGTAAGGATATCTGATCTAGCCTTTTGATGGACTACCACACCACAACGAGTGGGGTCTTTGTTGAAATTGTAAACTGACAGACGAATCTATATAGCTCTCTGAACATCCTTGCGGTCAAATTCTACGGAGAGGCAGAATTCTGGCTATCCGGAGGCAAGCTGGTTCTGATTTTTATCCTCTTCGCCTTTACCTTTGTTACAATGGTCGGCGGTAATCCCCAGCACGACGCCTATGGGTTTCGCCACTTCAATAACCCTGGTCCATTCGCTGAGTTTCATACCAAGGGCGATCTGGGTCGTTTTGAAGGGTTTCTTGCCGCTCTCTGGAGCGCGAGCTTCTGTGTCGTCGGTCCTGAGTACATCTCTATGGTGTCCGCCGAGGCTCAGCGCCCAAGCGTTTACATCAAATCGGCCTTTAAGACTGTTTATTATCGATTCTGTATCTTCTTTGTTATCGGCTCACTCGCTGTGGGGATTGTGGTCGCCTACAATGACCCGGCTCTTGTCAATATCTACTTTGGTGATGGTGACAGCAGCACAGCAGCAGCCTCGCCGTACGTGATTGCCATGGAGAATCTCGGCATCAGTGTGCTTCCGCACATCGTCAACGCCTTGATCTTCACCTCCATCTTTTCCGCCGGCAATACGTATACCTATTGCGCAACGCGATCCCTCTACAGTTTGGCTGTGGAGGGCCGCGCTCCTCGTATCTTACGCTACTGCAACAAATCCGGCGTGCCGATTTATTGCTTCTGTGTCGTGATGCTTTTCCCCTTCCTCTCCTTCCTCCAGGTCGGGAGTGGCTCCGCGCAGGCCATTACCTGGTTCGTCAATCTCGTCACCGGTGGTGGCCTGATCAATTATTTCATTATGTCCGTCACCTTCATCAACTACTACAGGGCCTGCAAGGCCCAAGGCGTTGACCGCAAGAAGATGCCCTACTGTGGTTGGTTCCAGCCCTATGGCGCCTACATCGCCGTAACGGTTCACACCCTCGTGATCATCTTCTACGGATACAGCTCCTTCACCCCATGGAGCGTGTCCAACTTCTTCTCCAACTACACGATGCAGTTGGTAGCACCCTGCCTGTTTATCTTCTGGAAGGTCGTCAAGAAGACTCGTTATGTCCGACCCCACGAGGTAGACCTCGTCTGGGAGCGACCGGAGATCGACGCCTATGAGAATAGCATAACCACCCCACCAGTGGGCTTCTGGTCCGAGATGATCGGCTTAGTTGGTATTGGACGGAAGAAGAACAGAGTTGACCCCGAGCGCGACAACTAAGTGGATGGTTATGTCATTCACACCACCAGTGGCCCTATCTAACCCTTTCGATTGCGACACATTGCGACCCTTGCGCCCCTATTGCTAACGAAAAGATACCCCCCCCCCCCTCTACGAACCATATCGGCCCTCCCCCGGAAGAGAACCAGTACACTTTGCCCTGAATGCAGCATCAGCCCCCGATTTCCAAACCCACCCCCCTGCGACAAGGAATACTACGCCAATCTAGATGTACGACAAGCCCACAGATTCAGTAAGCCGGTGTCGACCAATATTTCCAGTATGCTAACGCCCATGCCCACGTTGATGCCCTACGTCTATGCCCACACCCGTGCGAAAACGCGACCAGCGACAAATGGTGCCCGTATACGAAGGAAAGCCCTATCTACAGAAAGTACCTAGATATATAAAGAATTCACGCATGTGTATTTTAACATTTCTGCCTTGGAGCAATTTTTACCGAAAATTTTTTAGGTACTCTCTCAGTGAGCCCATTGCGACAAAGAACTCCAACCATCGGTTTCCCAAATGCAACAAATGAAGGAAAAAGAAAAGAAGAAAAAAGAAAAAAGCAAAAAAAAAAAAGGAAAGGCCAACGGGGGTCGAAGACTGTGAAATTGAGATACACAAACATACGCAAACACAGCCCACCACTGGTTATACCAAGAACAGTCTAGCCATTCTCATGGCACGGGTCGAGCGACGCCAAACCCGGAGGAATATCTTTGTTCCGTGTCAGCTGGCGTGCCCTAAGTTCTCCCCCAAACGCGTCAAGATTGCTCGCTCGATTGGTCCGACATGCCAATGTGTCACACCACCATCCATGGCTCTTTGACATCGGAGGTTTGCCTAGAGTTTGAGTGGCAATATTACCTAAAAAGAAACGCTGCTCAGCTCATGTCAGTGGTCACAAAGGGGAGTCCAAGACACGTGGAAGTAGTTGCGTTTCATACTTTCACACTAACTGTCACCCTGTCGTATGTAATTTTCCTTTGCCCTAAACCTGCTTTTATTACCCGTTTTCCCGCGTGGAGGTTGCCCCATGTGGCGCCAATTTAAGTCTTGCTTGGCTGAACTCTACTCCCCACCCTGACCCTACTTGACCTTGACCTGTCTTTCTCCCTTCCCTCTCCATACAACCGGTTACGCCTTCACTTACTGATATGCAGAGAACCCACCAACTAGGACTGTCCCTACTAAAACCCAGTGCTCAGCACACCAAAAACTAACGCCCAACTATCTACACACGAACCAAAACGAACCCAAGAACCTAAAAACCCAAAATGAGCGAATCCCTCATCCCAATAATCTGTCTTCACGACATCCCACCTCAAGTACGGAATAAAACCCACCAAATGAATCTCCTACAAATTATCTCACAGCTTATAATCCGAACTAAACAAACCCCAGATCCTCACCTCAATTCTCACAAAAGCCTACGCGCAAGCTATCGATATAAACTCACCCCCAACGCTCCTACTCATAGAAAACACCGGAGACGCGCCATGTAGATACACCCATGACGATGTGACGTATCCTCCTGTTGATCCTTCATTTAAATCACCCTTTCTGGGGTGGGAGGTGGATGAGGCAGTTCGGTTTTTGCGTGAGTATGCGACGGGGACTGTTGTGGATGAGTTTGTGTTTCTTGTTGGGGATTGGAGGACCCTGGAGGATGAATCGCTTTTGTTAGTGAATCGTCTTGGGGATGGGGAGTTGGTGGAGCTTGTTAGAGTTGCTGCGGAGTTTGTTAATACTAAAGCTGTGGCTGTGGCTGTTGCTACGACTGATGTGGGGGAGTTACGGGGCTTGGTTGATGGGGATGGAGTGTTTAGAGGTGGGTGTGGTAATAGGAAGAACTCATTGCTGAGAAAGGGGAGTGAGGCGCCGAGGAAACAGCTGTAGAAGCTCTTGTGGTAGGGAAATGAATGGTCTGGATCGAGACTGCTGTCGATGATGTGAGGCTCAGCCAGGCTAGAGACCGGTTGAGTTCTCCATAACTATGTGGGGGATGGCTTTCGGTACGTTTGATTAAAGTATGGCACGCTAACAGGTGTTTCCTAGATGGGGCATATGGCTGATATGATTATGGCATGTATGATTCCTGTTTGGGAATTCGTATGCGAAACCTCGTCTGATGCGCTCGGCACAATCTGACGAATGCGATATCAAGGTAACAAACTTGCTGAATGTACAAGGGATAGAGTGGTGGGAATTGGACGTTTGCGATGTCAAGCGGACGGTGCTATCTTCTTCTAACGGCTAAACGGAAGAATCGACATTTTATCCATGACCGAGATACAGTTTCGTGCCTGAAGTTCTACATTGAACTCAGGAATGAAAATACCTCCCGAGGTGTATCCCTGCATAGGGTCAGCACCGACTGTAAGCTTTCGGGGAGTATCAGGTGAGCGGTACGAAGCTTTTGTCCGGAACTTTATACCAATATGACCCAAACTACGGGTCAACGAACAAGCGCAGGAGTAGAATTCTGCCTCAAGCAGAAGCATCAGTGGAAACATCCAGTGCAACGGTGGCCACCCACTACTTGAAATGGAACCCTTGACTTTATGCATGCTATCGCTAAGCAGACGTACCGTAGACTTCTCCGATCGACTTGGCTAGCTCTAATCGCGTGGGTTATCATTCAATAACTCCTTATCTATTTTGCCACCACATCAACAGGTTAGTTCTGCAGAACCCGAAGCAGAACACCTCAAGAGAATATGATTGTAAATATGATTATGATACGTTCTTGAGTCTTGACAGCGGATAAAACCATCCCAAATCCCAGGAGTGGAGCGTCCCAATGCCGAGTCAATTAGCGCTGACAGATCGTCAATCCTTCCTATATACGGCAATCAGCGTATGCGAGTATTGGACGCCAGTCATCCCATTCGTCAGAAACAGGCGAAAAAATTAATCCCCGCCAAGGCGCTTTGACCAAGAAGGTGTAGTGCTGATGTGGTTCGTAAGGTTGGTTCAGAACATGGCTATGATTGGTATTTGGCGAAGCTACTTATCCGACCATGCGGAGAAACGGATCCACTCAGCTCTTTGCGTGAATATGGGGATGTTCCATACATTTATGTTGGCACTAGGCAGACATGTCAGGGAGTGGACCCAGTTACCAACAGGTGATGATGACTACGTAATTCTCATATGATTGTAATCGGGTCCTCGTATAGGGCTTAATAGGTTCTTGGTGCTGGGGAGGCCACAATGTGGTTTGTTCATTTTCTCGATACGGTGATTCTGTAGTCAGTATCGATATGGATCATGATGTTAACAAACATTCAAGCCTGCAAGTGTATATAACTCAGTACATTATACAGAGTAGATTCAGTTAATCTCGGAATTTCCGAAGGGCTGGTGCAATCTGTTCCCACGTGGCGCTCTGCAGCCAGGGCCTGAAAATCAGGCCCTTACATTGTCTTCAGCCTCTAAGTGAGATTGTATGCCCTACCACCGCAGTGAAAGAATAGATATAGAATTATTGGCCTTTTCCCTGCACTTGAAATTTTATTCAATGTCTTTAGTACGCACTTCTAGACAGTATAGACATCAAGGCTCATGTCTCTTCCCACAATGACCAGCACGGGATTCTAACTGGGGAAAGCAATTGTGTGACCCTTTCGATCGGGGATCGCTTATCTTACGTTTATAAGATTTTATAGACTTTGAAGAATAAAGACCACAGCATATATTGTTGTTCCCTGAGATTACGCTGTACGCCGGTCTTCTCTAGAATGAAATTGAGCTGAGCCGCTCGCACCCCTGTCGAACTCAGCCCTAATGAAAGGACCATTACTCTAACAACAAGTCCCGATGAGCAACATCACCCACGAACCGGCAAAGAGCCGCCGTCAAAATAAAGGGCTCGCCTGTGAAGAATGTCGTTCACGTAAACTCAAGTGCGATATGAGCCAGCCGCAATGTGGCACCTGTCGCAACCTGGGTGTACCATGCGTTACGAATACGGCGCGGAGGCCGCGAGGCCCGAGGAAGGGTCATGTCAATATTCTTAGATCGCGCATCGGTGGGGTTTACTTGTGTGAGAAGTTGCTTAAGAGAACCTTTCGCTAATCTGATCACGCAAAGTACAGCATCGCTCGAGCGCCAGTTATATGAGAATTCCGAGGCCCAACCGGCCAGGCGAGAAAGCTCAACACCTACCCGGCAAGTATTGGAGGCAGATCAATCAGTAAATGTCGATATTGGCGACGTTGAACAAGGCAGCATCGTACATTCACAGGGCTCACCGGATAATTTCTTTTTAGACGCGCAGTCAATCGGACTGCCCAAATGGCCATCGGCAATCCCTTCATTGGAATTGGATAGCGAATGGTGCAAGCATATCGGACCCTTCCCGGAGTCTACATACATATCCCCAGCGCTAACCCCACCAAGCAATATACCCAAATCAGTGTCGTCTGCATGTCCAATCGACGCCAGCATAAGCCCACTAGAGCTGGGTTCCCAGGCAATGACTCCGCAGTTCCTGCCAATCCACCTACCCGTTCAGCTGTCAGCCCTAGAGCGCGCAGATCTGTGAGTGTTTCAATATATGTTAAACTTTCAGCGAAGCAGAAATCGACTAACTGTCGGCCATAGAGATGATCTTTTCTTCGATCGCGCTTACCCTTTCGCTCCCATCGTTCATCAGCAGCGGTACTATACACGGGCAACCCACGAGTCAGACGCAAGAGAGCCCTTTACCACCTTACAATATGCCATGCGAACACTATCAGCGTCAATGGGAAGTCAGTTCCAGGGCATCCTACCAGTCTTGTACACTCACACCTGCTGCTTATTGGATGTGTGGGAGCAAAACATGCCGAACGAGGCTCTTCCCATCGAGGTGGTCCAGGCGCGGCTGCTTCTAGTTCTCTACGAGATTCTAAAGAGCAATCCCAGCAAGGGGTGGATTAGCGCTGGTCGCTGCTTCCATCTAGTACATCTTATGAAACTTGATCAGATTGATAACCCGAATACTTGGCAGACATCCAGTCTTTCTTCGGTCGAGATCGAGGAGAGACGGAGGACATTCTGGACAGCCTATGCGCTCGATCGCTATGCGAACCTCGTCAACGGCTTGCCGCTGGCCATGAACGATCAAATGGCAAGTGGCAGCTCTATCGTCCAAAAAGGCAACCAAGTAGCTCACGAATTACTAACCTACATAGATCCTCACACGCCTACCCGCCCCGGAGACAGCATTCCAAAATCAAAAGACTGTTACGACCGAATATCTGGCCCCGGCCATGGCGAAAAAAAGCGATCAGCAGCTATCGCCCTACGCAAAATCCATCGTCATGCTCACTATCCTCGCGCGTTGCCTCTCACACAGAAACCAATGTAATGTGGAACGGATTCTAGACCCCACATCTCAGGAATGTATTGCACGCCATCGAGCACTTGACATCATATTGAGCCCAGAGATCCAGATGACATTGTCAAGCGCCGCCACCGACTTCGAGCCGTCCGATCCCACATTTATCTTTATCGACATGTTGGCGCAAGCCGCAGTTTTAGTTCTTTTCACTGCCCTAAATTCGGTGTCTGAAGCTGCAGAAATGTACCAGGACATGTATGGAAGCTTTGAGGCCAAGGCTTCCATGGCGATGGAAAGGGTCCTCAGCCAGGCACAAAAGTTGTCCCAGATGGGGTCCTTCAAGGCAAGACTAGTTCCTCAAGGGTATTTAAGCATTTCTGATTGAAATATTAGGTTCATCCATTCACACCGATCGCGCTATTCATCTGCGCCGAATTTTCTCGCTCATGCAAGGGGTTGAACCAAAAGTTCGCGACGCAGTTCAAGGCCATTTATGCTGCCCTGAGTCATATGGCGCCCGTTAATAATCTTGCCAGGATGCTTGAGCTTGAACTTCAGCGTAATTTGGAAATTTTGTCATCAGGTATAGGTTTCTGAGGCTATTCTGCATCAGTCTTTACTCTTAACGATATCATTTATTTGTACAAAATCTGCATTTCTAGCGCCTTCTCATCGGCCCCCAAGGGTGAAACCCCATAGCTTCAATAAATAGCATTAGCTAGAACATATGATCATGAATGTTATATTAGCAACAATAACTTTATACGTCACCAGTACGCACTTCACTTCACGACGTCGAATAGGGGCCTCGTATTACTGAACATCTCTAAAACGGTAGAATTGCCCGAGAGCTATCCCCGATGGCAAATATTGAGCATCATAAGCCACTATGAGTCAGCATAGGCAAACCCTAAGTAGTATGCAACTCTGACAGATACTCAGTGTAATTCTGATATTTGGTAGGCCTAAAGTGACATGTTGCTGACCAAAAGGAAACTCCGAATCCCTCGGCCGAGCCTTTATATCCGAGGTCGGGATATTTACTCCTTTCGGACATACCCATCTCCTACTTGTCGCTACATATAAACCCAGCCCTACTCTACATTCTTCTTACAATTCATCAGAACACATCGAGAACCCTCAGAGCAATCTCAATAATCAATTCTCATTGCTTCAAAACAATTTCACTTAAACAAAGCAAAATGACCCAAAAGACCGTTTTCCAGGGCGACGCAAAGTCTCAGTCCCATGTCTCAGTGGGCTCGTCTATCTACTCCGAGAAGCAAGGGTAAGTCAAGGGCTCCACATGGTTATATCTACAAGCTCTAACGGAAGATCTAGCTCGTCATGTACTGTGCATGGGCCCTCTCAGACTCCTCATCTGGATCATCAACTTCAACAGCCTCAAACCAAGGAGATCTTGCAAGCACTCACCGTGGCGCTCAATGACATTGCCGATGAGCGTCAGTGCACCAAATGTGCAGTGGAAACCGCCTCAGGCCTCTTGACGGGATATGTTCGTGAGGTGAAAGAGGCCAAGAAGAATGGCCAATATTCCAAGGAGGAGAAGAAGGCGCTCAAGAAAGAAATCAAGGGTTTGGCTAGAGGGGTAAAGAGGGATGTGAAAGCTTTGTGGTTGGAGGGGAAATAGGTATTGACTTGTAATTAGATGTGACGATTTTCTTATATTTATGGGAGTCGGGGCTTGTTTGTGGAGTGATTCATGTATTTTGTCTTGACTGTCAATATTATAGAATTGGATTTGGATTACTTTAACTAGTCTTTGATATTCTGCACGTACTAATCGGACGATATGCAAACCTTGTCTTGATATCATAGGCTTGCTTAGAATCTGTATATAAGATATGACTGTGTGAATAAAAAGGCTTACACCTTGTTAGTGCCATAACCAACGCTCACTCCATCGTTACCATTAACGCTCTTTATCTTGCTCGTGGCCAAATTCATGCTTTCCCTATATTCGCGAATCGTATCATCAACCATATCAGCAGAGTTGAAATGCCAAATCTTAAACGAACGATCCTTAACCTCTTCGAAGCAGGACTCGGTCTTGACCCGCTTGTCAGGGTTAGCCCACTCTGGTTGCTGGAAGAGGTCGCAAACGCGCCGACTGCTGTTGACCAGCCATTGCGTTCTTGTCCGACGGATCTTATCATACGTCTCGAATGCAGTCCGCAATGCGGTCGCCTTGGATGTGCGATGCTCCCGGAGATCCATGATAAGCTCAGACATCAATGTAGACATGCAAAGTGCATCTTCGATTCCGAAAGAGGCTCCGGCACCGTGGTGGGGGCTCGACGCATGCGCCGCATCACCCATCAAGCATACTCTTCCCTTGTTGTACTTGGGTACTGGATACTCAAACAGATCGAAGAGTGCCCACTGGTCTAGCTCTTCCGGGAACAGTTCGACAAGGTTACGGACCGGAGTACACCAGCCTGTCAGTGCTTCGGAAACCTCCTTGCGAGACGCACGGGCCGTCGTAGGCTTGTCTTGAGGCCAGTCATTAGGGTCCGAGACCACGACGGTGGCTCCTATTGTGTTCGTGTTGACGGGGTAATGGATAAGGTGTGCATTCGGACCGACGTGCATATGCTGGCGAAAGGTCTTGTATTCGCCAATCGCTGCGACGACCTTGTCCATGGGGATTAACGCGCGGTAAGCGACCTTATGTGTGTACTGAGGATAAGAGGCAGGATTTTCCGGACCAAGTAGGAGCTGTCGTGCTCTGGACTTAATGCCGTCGCATGCGATGACTGGACGTGACTATCAGCCGAGCCGGACTACGAGCCACAAAACATTCAAAACTTACCAGCGTCAGCTTCGGCTCTAGTTCCATCAGTGAAGTTCAGGTAGACCTTGTCCGCGTCCTCGTTGTCCTCGATAGTGTCCAGTCGCTTCCGTAGATGAACAACCCCCTCAGGGATGACTTTGACAAGATCTTCCAAGAACTGATCGCGGCGGACCGTCTCCCATCCTTTGACGCCGGCGTCAAGCTTTAAAAGCGGCTTTTGGTACATCGGATCGTCCTCTCGTTGCTGGCCGTAGCCGTCGATCCATCGCAGATACGACTTGGGATCCTGCTGGTCCAACGAAACATTGACAGCGCCACCGGAGCGCAAAGCCGTCACGACGGCCGGGTTGATCTTTTCCATACATCCCACCGTGTTCTTTGTGAATCCGATGCCGGCACCAATCTCTCGAAAGTTGCGCGCTTGTTCATAAAGCTTGACCTGGACACCTCTCCGAGTGAGTCCGGCAGCGAGGACAAGACCAACGATGCCACCGCCGACGATGGCGATTTCTGGGGTTGTGGCCATCTCTGGTGTAGGGACGATCATTGTCCTCGTTTCTGGGAAAGCAGCCAAGTGACTAAAGGCGTATCAAAAACGTTCTAAGTTGTGTATGTAGACTTTTCTCTATGCTCAGTTACTTTTATTAATATATTAGACCGACTGACAACCATGCTACACTTTACAGTTTTACAAAAGAGGGCAATTCAGCCCCGGGTGCCTATAGTGCACAATATCCTCTTTAGTTTCTCCGGGGCCATTAAAGTAGCTACGGAAAAACATTCTCTAGACCCTACTCTTCCTTCCTGTGGACGTTCATATGGTCGAATAAGCCGAATAGTCTTGGCCCACTTCTATTGTTATTGTCATCTTCCAAGTTAGATCCATAAAGTTATTCCGAAGCCAGTGTCCGGTGGGGTCCAAACTTTAGCCTCCTTTGTGTGGTTCTATCGTATTATTTACCCTTCCTTTGAGATAAACCATGGCCCGATCAAGTTCTCATTACAAACCAGTAACTCGTCATGCTCAGTAATACAGACGTACTGTGTGACTTCAGATAGAACCTGTATAGCGTAAAGAATATCCAACCTGACCCTTTATAGAACGTCTCTACTCTAAATATGTACAATATCCCACCATGCTTCCGTATAGCATGCCGCTTTACTAGACAGTCGGTAAACCTACAAACTTCCATCTAGGACGCCCGTCTGCTGAGCCACGGATAAAATCTGCTCAACTACGGGAGCCGCATCTCGAATCTTAATCGGCACGCGATGATTCCCACCCCATTCAACAAGTGCCGCCATACGAGTATCACAATATTGATAAAGAAGCCTGCGATGTAACTCCAATCCTGGGTCCGTCAACCCATGAACATGCACAGTCGGAGTTTGTAGACGGTTATCCTGCAACAGGTCCACAGCAACCAACGGCTCACCACCAGTTGTACACTGTGCAGCATCGACAAAGCCCCGAGGAAGAGGGAGATCCGGACGAAGCCATCTCAGCGGTCCCCGTCCCGCCAACAGCACTGCGAATCGGAAGGCTGGCCACACCTCGTCATCTTCACTCCGTCGCCGCAGCTCCTGCTGTGTAGCAAGGATGCCGGCGGCTAGATGTGCACCCTGACTGAAACCAAGTAGACCGACCCAGTCTCCCGTCGCGCCTCGGCAGTCGTCTGCGAGTCGTGCGGCGGCTAGCGAGTCCTCGATTTTTCTCACGATGTCGTGTGCATCCTGGGCTGGGTCTTCGGGTCGTACGCGCAGCCATGCCTTGAATGGTCCGTAGTCTTTGTATACGGAGGTCACGTCGGGGCCTGGGCGTGCTGAGAGGGGCGCTTCAGCGAATACAAGTCGGAAATGTGGGCGGAGCATGCGTTCAAGGACTCGACATTGCATACGAAAGATGCGGGCGTTGGTGCCGCCGCCGTGTAGACAGAGAATTCGCGGTAGGTGGAGCGTTGAATCGTTGGCATTCACTAGCATTTTTTAACCTGGAATTGCGAGACGTGCTGGATTTGTTGGTCCGAAAGAACGGTTGGGCAGCTATGTGATGTGTCCAGGGTATAGTAGCCAGATTAACTCTATTGGAGCGTTTCGGTGGTTAACGGATTATACATACACATTTGCTGACTCGGTAGTGTATGAGATAAAATCTATGATATTGACATTCTTTACATGGGCTGAAACTCTTATATAAAAGTCTCGTATACATCGATAGTCGTGAAGGATTGTGATGGCTTGAAGTTAAATGAGGCCGCTGTATACATGGATATACATCTTGGGCAAACTTTCCTGTCAGCAAACAAGTCACTACACATCTGCCTTTCAGGAGTCGTCCAATATTTTCCAACCGATTTTGAAGTGATTCCCCCTATTTTTCTAAAAATTTCCTTGATCACTACATGAAAACTCGAACAAGTCAACGCCGAAGAGCTTCGGGCTCAAGTGGGGCGGGACAGGCCGTATGGGGGACGATGATTGGATGTTCGGAGTTTCTTTTCAACGCTGGCGATCATCACACGCATAAGAAAGCCCTAAGAGGAAGATGACAAGGAAATGACAAGGATGAGATCCATGGATGACCAACAACCTCCGAAGCCTGAAAGACCAACTATCTCCGAGGATTTACAAATGGAGTTAATTTCCCGAGTGTGCCCGAATCTAATCCCGACTAACAATGTTGTATATAAAGGCAAAAGGAGATTTATAGGAGGCTTGGATAAGTCTGAAGCTTGCATCAGGAATATTATAATTATTGTTACTACTGTCACTCCTTTACATAAACCCAAATTCAGTCAATTCTCCAAAGAATCGAAACGGAAATACTGGCACTTGGACCCGAAACCGCCGCCATGAGCGATACTACTACACGGAGCGAGAAGAGCATGGATACTAAAGCTCCCCAGCCTCAAGAACCACCATCCAGACCGGCCGGTGGACCATCGCCCCCGCCTAATGGAGGTACTCTGGCATGGCTGAATGTCTTGGGCAGTTTCATGCTCTATTTCAATACCTGGGGTATTCTCAACACCTTCGGTGCCTACCAGACTTACTATGAGTCTGGGAAGCTCTTCACCGCGAGTTCTTCCGATATTTCTTGGGTCGGCTCGATCGCAGCATTTATGTTGCTCTTCGTGGGACTCTTTGTTGGCCCGATTTATGACCGTGGCTTTCTCCGCACTCTCCTTATTGTTGGTGGGTTCATGGTCGTCTTTGGGCATATGATGCTCAGTCTCTGCAAGACCTTTTGGCAAGTCCTGCTCGCCCAAGGCTTCGTGGTGGGTATCGGCACCGGTTGTCTCTTCGTGCCTTGTGTCGCTATCATTCCTCAGTACTTCAGCACCAAAATGGGCATGGCTATGGGTGTCGCTGCTTCGGGCTCCGCCCTTGGAGGTGTCATTTATCCCGTCGTTCTGTATCGACTGATCAACGAGATCGGCTTCCCTTGGGCTGTTCGCGTCATTGGCTTCATCGCGCTAGGAACCCTGTTGATCCCTTTGTCCGTGATGAAGCTTCGTGTTAAGCCCCCCAAGGTTCGCGCCATCTTGGACCCGACCGCATTCACCGACGTCGGCTACATGGCATTTATCCTCACCTCTCTTATCGCCTATATGGGTTTGTTCGTTATCTTGTTCTACCTTTCCTACTACTCCGCTGCGGAGCACATCACCGACGAATCTCTCGCCTTCTATCTGGTTACCATCTTTAATGCTGCATCTGTGTTTGGCCGAACGATCCCCAACAAGATGGCGGACAAGATGGGTCCCTTCAACCTTCTCGTACCGGCCTCCTTAATCTCGGGTATGTTGATGCTGGTCATGATGGCTGTGCATTCCAAAGGCGCGATTATCGTCATGGCGCTGCTCTCCGGCTTCATGAGTGGTGCTCTCATTGGCTTGCCTCCTATGTGCCTCGCCATGCTCACCCAAGATAAATCGAGACTGGGAACCCGAGTCGGTATGGGTTATGCCATTATCGCTCTGGGTGTGCTCATTAGCGGCCCCAGCAGTGGCGCGATCCTTAAGACCGGTGGCGACTCCCTTAACTGGCACAGCTTGTGGACGTTTGGTGGTGTACCGACTTGCGCCGCGGGTCTGTTATACGCCGCGATCCGTGTGGCTAAGTACGGCCCTAAGCTTGCCATTAAGGCATAAGGGGCTTTCCTTCGCTGAAGCCGCATGGTTGGGGGGGAGAGTATCTTGCTTTCCGGATGATATGAACTTATGACTAAAAGAATGGACTTTAAGTGATGACAGAGACTGGAAGTGGTTTTACGATTGTTTTCTCTATTAGTATTTTAATTAGAATATATCCTCAGTGCAAGCTTAACTAATCTCCACTTTTGAATTTGCCATTCAATCATTATAGCCAAAAAGATTGTCTACAAAAGTAACAATCATTACAATAACGCACTCCACACAGCTCTACACTAATTGGAAATACAATAGAAGTTCACCTCAAAACTCAAGTAAATCTTCAAGGCCCCGTCCTCACACCACATTTAAAAGGCGCCACCACCGCACGATTCATATCCCAAACCCCCGCCTCGACAAATGCATTTTTGCTGATGATCGCACGTACCTCCTCCTCAGATCTCGCTCGAAACATCATGACACTGCTTGTGACCTCCAGTTTGTCTTCTGGTCCCCTGGGATGTGCTGCCAGGGTGGGACCTGCGAAAACAATAATTCCATCGGCGACGTATGGTTTGAGGTGCGAGAGATGCGCGTCGCGGGCGTTGGTCCACGCTTGCATATCGTTCGCTCTCACGGGGATTTGAACGAGCCAGTCGTATACTTCGGACATTTTGAGGGACAGTTAAGTGATTCTGGATTTAGAAGGAAGTGTAGAAAGTGGACTTGGAGTAGAGTATTTGGCTTTGTGAGTAAGGTTGTATTCTGCTGTGCCCTCACAGATTTTGCAATTTTTATATTTGAATTGACAAATCTTGGCTTATATCTCGTTACCCCATAATTTAATTACTTTTCTTTCCCTTATTCCATGTCATTTTCTTTATTTTGTGCTTTGTTTCTGCCCTCGCGTTAGTATTTACTATTTTCAATCCATTCTCACCCTCTCCAGCCCCGGAGTAACCTTTTAGAATATGCTGACTCTCTTGGCAATAGCAATGTCGGACTAACTTTTGTAAAGAATCGAACGGGAATAATGCTTAAGATAGTCCTGCAAAAGGTAAGCTCAGACTAAGGATACTCCTTCAGCATCCAATTTTTTAGCCTCTAAGACATCCGGAGTAATCTTTTAGAATCAGCCCCACGGATCGTTAGCTAAGACGGCGTATCTTGAAAGGAAGCTGACCAGGCTGACCAAACAAAAGTACGAACAAGTCTAGACAGCAGCTATACGACTAGGGAAACAACAAGTCGATTGAACAGTCCTGTTGATCTGTAGTAGAAACCGACATCGTTCCTTGTTTGCGTACAATTGACTCTGTTTCCTTGTCGACTTAAAAATTTTGAATCTCTACATCCTATACCAGTGTCGCATATATCAACTTAGGCAAAATGGGCAGCAACAGTGCGGCGCCTCCCACTGAAATCCCAACAGTAGATATCAGTCCCTTCCTCGATGAGAATGCCTCCCCAGCTGCTAAGGAGCAAGTCGTCGACGCCATGCGCGATGCATGCACCACCTTTGGCTTCTTCTACCTCGTCGGCCATGGCATTCCCGAAGAAGACCGCCAGACGGTCCTGAACTGTGCCAAACTGTACTTCTCTCTGCCGAGGGAGGAGAAGATGGAGACGTGGATCGGAAAGGCGATGGGTCGTTCGTTCCGTGGCTACGAGCCGCCTGCGCTACAGGTGCACCAAGAGGGTCTCTTACCGGATACAAAGGAAGTGAGTGGCTATCTGAATATTCGACGAGTAGTGCTAATTGTATAAGGGTTTCATCATTGGCCGTGAGACACCTGCGGATGCCCCTGAGGCTGGCACATTCCATACGGGCCCTAACCAGTGGCCAAAGGCTCTCGCGGACGAAGACTTCCGTATTCCTGTCATGAAGTATCACGCTAAGATGCTTGGAATGGTCAAGGTGATTCTTAAGGTTCTTGCGCGTGGGCTTCCAGAGCATTGGGGCTGCTCGCCCGACGTCTTTGATGAGCTAACCGTTAATCCTTCCGCTCCGCTGCGTCTTCTTTATTATGCGCCCCAGCCGGTGAAGCATGATAACCAATTTGGTGGTATGTCCCAAAATGTCCTAAAACTCTATGATTTTACTTGAAGTTTGCATCTCTGACAAAGGTTCCAGTGGGCGATCACACCGACTTCGGCAATGTCTCCGTCCTCCTCCAGGAGGACGACACAGAGGGACTGGAAGTCTTCTACCCGCCAACGCAGACTTGGGTCCCTGTTCCGGTCAAGGAACATTCCTACGTGATCAACATGGGTGATATGATGCAAAAATGGACTGCCGGATACTACCGTAGCGCGCGTCACCGCGTTGTCAACCATAACATCAGGCCAAGGTACAGCGCACCGTTCTTCTTGAATGGGAATCTCGACCTTAAGTGCCAGGCTTTGGATGGTTCGGGAGTTGAGACGGTGATTGGTGAGCATATTCGGCAGCGCCTGATGGAGACTATTGGGGGTGAGGCTGGTAGGAAGCTGGGTCTTTGAATATGAATTGATTTTTCATGGTGTTTTTTGTATCTCATGCGGTGTCAACTGTCTCCACCTTGTGATGATTTATGTAGCTGAGTTGCTGTTTTGATTCATTCTCTATCTTTGAATCTACGCACTATTCTTGGGATTTGCTTTCGGTGGATGTAGCTTGTATCTCCATAGTCTTAGCAATTGGCTTTCAATGAACATTTACGACGTCGAATAAACCTATGATGATAATGAAATCGCTACCTTGGGGAATGCGGAGCTATTCTAGTATTGGTCATCGATTTGAATATGATAGTTGAGCCTGCTGCATGAGATCAAGAATTCGTTCCAGATAAGAACTAGAATGACCTATATTACCCTCACAGCGACCAGTTAGCTCCGATGAGATTATCAACCTAGATTCAGAAGGCTAATTGTGTCCTCGACGCTATAGACCTCATGGCACTTCCCATTAACACCCCTCTTTACCATGGTTGAATCGGAGTTAAGTATTCGCGCACCACATTACCAGCCTCACCGTCTCTTTCTCCCTCAACTACCCGTCGGATAGTATCACCTCCGATCCTGGGATCCTGTGCCCCTAGCCTCTTCAACAGCTCCGTATCACCACCCAAACCGGTGGCCAAAAGACCGGGAGCGACAGACCAGACCTTCACCCCGTCATTCTTCAATGCCTTCGCCCACTCCACCATTATCATGTTAAGCCCTACCTTCGAGGACCGATACCCGACGAACGGGAGTGGTTTCGGAAGTCCCGCCGGCGGGAACACGTTCTTTGGGTTCTTGGGATCTGAAGAACCCTGCAACGAGGAAAGCCCACTCGTGATAAACAATAGTCTAGGATCCTGGGAGTTGAGCAACAATGGAAGAAAGGCCGTAGTCATGATATGTGCCCCAGTCACATTAACATCCCATGTTTTATTCCATGCCTCTCGGGCTGTCATGCGGCCGTCTGCGATGTGAGCATCGAAACAAGCACCTGGGTTTTCCAGTTAGATGGCTTTCATTAGGTAGAGGAAGGGTCACTGACCGGCATTGTTGATCAGACAATCGATCCGATCGTACTTGGCCGAGATATGCTTAAAAGCTGCCCCAATCGATTGGTCGCTTTCAACGTCCACCTGGAACGGCTCAACAGAGCTTTCCGATGTCCCCGAATTAAGGGTTTGGCATGCCAGTTGGGCTTTTTCAAGATTGCGACCACCCAGCAGGATGAGGTATTTCTGACTAGATCGCAATAGGGATTTGACTGTTTCCAGCCCGATGCCGGTGTTGGCGCCTATGGTACACTTAGCTCTATGGACCGCATGAATGTCTGTGCATGTAGACCTCACCTGTGATGACAATAATCCTACTAGAATGCATTTTGACTGGGATTTGCTATTTTCGATCATACGCCCACATAATATTAAGTACCGAGCCCGAGTAAGGCCAAGAGAAAAGATGTGTTACTTAATACCGTAGTTGGGGGCCGGAGGTACTTAATGAAAAAGAAACTCCGACGAGATGAGAAACCTTTTCAGTAAACAACGCCATTTACATGTATAATACCTTGGCTTGGGGTAATTCTATTTCCCTCCCAAATCTCACATCCCCAAACTTTGCCCTAAACCATAGTCTGACTACATCTTACCAACACCAAGATGAGCGAAATCCTCGTAATAACCTGCCCAAGTGGCAAACAATGCTCCCGCCTCATCCCTCTGCTCTACAACAAGGGAAAATTCCACCTTCGTCTGGCCGCGCACTCTCAAACCTCGGCTCAAAAGCTCAAAGCCCAATACCCAGACGCCGATGTCGTAACGGCAGACCTCCAGTCGCTATCCGACTGCCGCAAGCTCCTCCACGGCGCCACAGCCATCAACGCTGTCCTGCCGAGTCTGCACTCTCATGAAAAAGAAATCGGCTTTAATCTGATCGATGCTGCTGTTGCTGAGACTCGACGTGAGGGAAATGTGTTTAAGCATTTCGTTTTCTCGAGCGTTCTTGGGACCCAGCATCGGAACCTCCTTCAACACGATTTGAAGAGCTATGTTGAGGAACGCCTGTTTCTGAGTCCGCTTGATTGTTGGACTATTCTTAAACCCACGAATGTAAGTTTGCCTTCATCTATGTTCTAGTATATATATATATACAAGGTGGGGATCCTGACGAGCCCAAAAAAGTTCCTAGACGCCTACCCCGTCGCCGCACTAGCAGCACAGGAAAATCCCGTTCTCGAGAAATGGTGGAAACCTGAGCATGCGAACAGCGTGATCGCCCTGGCCGATTTAGCCGAAGCATCAGCCAAGGTATTGAACGAGAGAGAACAGCATTATCTCGCCGAGTATCCTCTATGCTCGACCATGCCCATCTCCGAGACGGAGATTATTCAAATCATTGAGAGACGCATTGGAAAGAAGATCCAGCTGAAGACGCCTTCCTTTGAGACTGGCGTGAATAAGCTCATTAGGGCTTTGTATGGTGGGGAGGAGAAAGGAGACGGGGAGCTGGGCCTCGGACTGGCGAGTGAGGGTGATTTACGGGGTGATTTTGTTCGTGATGCGGTTGAGCATTTGATTTTGTTTTATAATCGGCGCGGGTTGAAGGGGAGTCCGAATGTTTTGAGGTGGTTGTTGGGCAGGGAGCCTACTTCGGTTGTGCAGTGGGTGGATGGGATTGCACTTCCGTGAGTTGGGTTGTTTGGTTTTTGTTACGGAATTATAGATAAATGCAGTTGCTTTGTATGCTGAGTTTGGTTAAATTGTTTGGGACCGAATGCAGAAGTCTACAGTTACTGTGTTTTTTACGTCGATGTAGCGAAGTGTCGTAGGCAGAGCACGAGCCGGATTACAAGGAGATAGGAGTTATTCATGATAACAGTACTTTTTGCAAAAGGATCGCAATCTTCAGTATCCTATCTAAGGGGCTTACTATGATGGCTAAACTGCAGAATGTCCTTCAAGGTAATTGCGCCAGTGACTTTACAAACAATATCCTGTGCATGCACAGCCGATACGGCGACGCCAGACATCCTGAAAATAATACGGAAAAAGAGTAACGGGGCAGGAAAGCAAACCAGAGAAAGCCAAGAAAGAGGCTGATCCTGTCAGCTCCTGTCGGACAATCTTTTTAAGAAGTACTTTTCTCCGGGGTGGAAAAGCAGAGCTGCAGGATTCGCGATCCCCACGTGGCGAGGCCATCAGCAAAGACCCGGAGTATAGGGAATTCAATCCAATCATCGTTTTCAGGAGTCGTATTCCTAATACTCTCTTCTCTAGGATGAACCCAGCTATAAATCCGACTTGTATAATTACATCCATTGATCCCACAGATTACCGGCTTCCAAGCAGAATCCAGACACAAAATCTCAACTCTTTCATACCACCCATTGACCCAGCATTCAACATGGTCAACCCATCCCCTAACACTAAATCGGAGAGCCTTACTCTGGTCTTTGGGCCTCAAGACCCTAACCTCGACAACACATTCTTGCAGTCACTCCGGACAACTCTACTCGAAACACCTGAGCTCCAGTGGAGCATAGAAACGTTGACACAGCTACCCCAAGAATGGCAAAAGATTTCAGATGCTCACCCAGAGCTAGGGGCATTCCAGGGTCAAAAGTATCTGCAGTTGCTTAACGAATGGGTCAGACGAGGCATACTGCCCTCAAATCTGTTTCCGCTCCCCAACATACTCGTTACCCCGTTGGTTGTGACGACGCAATTGGCACAGTACACGAAGCTCGTAACACAGCTCAACCCGGGGATCTCATTAAACGACAGCCTTCCAAGAGCTTTGAAACTCGACACGGAGACAGCAGGTCTCTGCACTGGACTCATCAGCTCGGCTGCAGTGGCTAGCTCTGCGACTCTGGCAGAGCTACAAAAACATGGCGCAGCCGCTATTCGAATTGCTACCGCTATCGGAGCGCTAGTTGATGCAGGAGATTCAGATCGTGAAGATGGAGACAAATGGCAGTCGTTGGCTGTTGGGTGGACAACCCAGGCTGCGGAGAGTAAATTGGACAACATTGTAGACGGTTTCCCTGAGGTATCTTACCCTGTCTAAGCTCGACTCAGATGGAACCAGACTAATACTCTTGTACTAGGCATATGTGTCCGTCATTTCCGAGGCTCGCCTCGCCACTCTCACCGTGCTCAAGACCGACGCACCTGAACTGTTGGATAAACTAAAAGGTGCTGGTTTCATCTTCACGAAGACTGCCTTGCGTGGGCCATTCCATTGCGGCAAGCGCAAGGATCAGGCGTCTTCCCTCTTGCAACTCTTCGACTCGGACCCATCCTTCCAGTTCCCCCACACTTCTCAAATCCCCTTCAGCACGCGTTCTGCGGATGGCGGCAAATTTCAAACCGAGGACAAACTCAACCATGCCGCCGCCCGGGCAATGTTGACCGACAAGGCTGATTGGCACAAACTCTTCACGGTACTGCAAGAGTTGACCGCTACTCGGCCATCTCTTACCATCTGCTTCGGGAGCCAGCGCTTCGTGCCGCAGTGGTTTCTACGCAAGCTCGGCCCAAAACTAGCGTATGCTGCCGATCTCGATCCTCAGTCGGGCCAATTCCCCCCAGCGCTAGGTGCTCTGTTAGGACCCATTGAGGATGACGCCATTGCCGTAGTCGGCATGGCCTGCCACTTCCCGGGTGGAAGTGACCTCGACGAGTTCTGGGACACGATGTGCTCGGCAAAGTCACAATGCACTGAGGTGCCTTCGGACCGCATCAATTTCGACTACGCTGCCTGGCGCGAAAACGATAAGAAGAGAAAGTGGTTTGGTAACTTCGTCCGTGACCATGATACCTTTGATCACAAGTTCTTCCAGAAGAGTCCACGAGAAATGGTGTCCAGCGACCCCCAGCACCGAATGATGTTGCAGGTCTCCTACCAGGCTGTGCAGCAATCTGGATATTTCAATAAAGCAGCGATTGATCAGCACGTCGGTTGCTACGTGGGCATCGGAGTGGTTGACTACGAGAACAATGTTGCGTGTCATGCGCCCACTGCTTATACTGCGACGGGTAACCTGAAGTCTTTCGCTGCCGGAAAGATCAGTCACTTCTTTGGCTGGAGTGGTCCCGGTGTTACCATCGACACAGCCTGCTCGTCCTCTGCCTTGGCTGTTCATCATGCCTGTAACGCTATTCTGAACGGTGAATGCAATGCTGCTCTTGCTGGTGGTGTTAATGTTATGACAAGCCCAGAGTGGTACCAGAACCTTGACGGTGCCTCTTTTCTCAGTCCTACCGGACAATGTAAGCCCTTTGATGAGGCCGCGGATGGCTACTGCAGAGGCGAAGGCGCTGGCGCTGTCTTCTTGAAGAAACTATCCGCCGCGATCGAAGATGGCGATCAGGTTCTAGGGGTTATCAGGGGATCCTCTGTGAACCAAAACGCAAACTGCTCGGCTATCACCGCCCCAAGTGTTCAATCCCTCACCAGTGTGTTCAACGGCGTTCTAAGCAAGGCTAGACTAGATCCAAAGCAAATCTCCGTGGTTGAGGCACATGGTACTGGTACACAGGTCGGTGACCGCGCAGAGTACGACAGTGTTCGCCGGGTGTTGGGCGGACCGGGTCGCGCGGAGCCTCTTTCCCTAGGCTCAGTTAAAGGCCTCATCGGTCATTTAGAGTGTGCCTCCGGTGTAGCTGCTTTGATCAAAGTGCTTTTGATGATTCAAAACGGCGCAATCCCTCCGCAATCAAGCTTCCGTACTATCAGCTCGAAACTGAACGCATCGCCGTTGGATAATATCGAAATATCCACTCGGCTGAGGCCGTGGGCGACAGACTTCCGAGCAGCGCTCCTCAACAACTACGGTGCCTCTGGCTCAAACGCGTCGCTTCTCATCACACAGGCAGATCATGGGCAACTTCAAGGTGAAACCCCTAGGGTGGCCGATGCAGCTGCTGGCAGGCGTCCATTCTGGTTCTCTGGCATAGACGACCAGTCCTTGCGATCGTATACCGCGAAGATGGTTCGACTGCTCCAATCGAGAAAGCCGACGGACAACCGCTTTACGATTGATAATCTCTCTTACCAATTGGCGCATCAGTCAAATCGCTCGCTCGGACAATCACTCATCTTTAGCTGCGCGTCCGTTAACGAGCTCGAGGCGAAGCTCACCAGCTTCGCAGATGGACGGGGCGAGCTGACCTCCACCCAGCGACAACAATCATCTCGTCCGGTCATTTTGTGCTTCGGAGGGCAGAGGTCCAACTTTGTCGGCCTGGACCGTGAGGCTTACGACCAATTCAAATTGCTCCGCACTCACCTAGACCAGTGCCATGAGACATGTGTGTCCCTGGGTCTTGATGGAATCATTCCAGCCATTTTTGAGCGAACTCCCAGACATAGCATTGTCGAGTTGCAGGTCATGCAGTTCGCTCTGCAGTACTCGTGTGCCAAGAGCTGGATTGACAGCGGCGTCCAGGTCGCTGCGCTGGTGGGCCACAGCTTCGGGGAACTCACCGCTATGTGCGTCTCTGGAACACTCTCCGTCAGGGACACGTTAAGGATGATTGCTGGGCGTGCTCGTCTTCTTGAAGAGAAGTGGGGTCCTGACCGTGGCATAATGATGGCCGTCGATGGTGAGTTGGAGAGCGTTGAAAGGCTGCTACGCCAGACCAACGCCGCGCACACGACAGAGCCACCCGCCAATATCGCTTGCTTTAACGGTCCCCGCCAATTTACCCTAGCGGGTACATCAAAGGTGATCGTGGATATAAAGCAGACTTTGTCGAGCGATCCATCTTTCTCGTCCATCAAATCGAAGCAGCTGGATACCACCCACGCCTTCCACTCCGCACTCGTGGACCCTCTAGTCCCCGACCTTGAGAAACTCGGGGAGGACCTGATCTTCCGTAGCCCAACCATTCACCACGAAAGAGCCACCCGGGAGGCGATCGGTGGTCCGCCCGCTTTCAATGTCTTTGCCTCTCACATGAGGGACCCTGTCTATTTCGATAAGGCAGTGCAGCGGTTGGCCGAGAAATACCCATCTAGCATCTGGCTCGAAGCGGGCTCTGGCTCGGGTGTCACAGCACTGGCAAGTAAGGTGGCAGGATCAGGTGGTAAGGCCTTCCAATCAATCAATATCACCAGCTCTGGAGCCGTCCAGAACCTGGCAGATGCTACGGTCAATCTCTGGAAAGAGGGTCTGAATGTCTCATTTTGGGAGCATGTTGGACAGAGGTCGAACAACTGCGTTCTCCTCCTGCCACCGTATCAATTTGCCAAATCGAGACATTGGCTCGAGCGCCGGAAGCCAGTGGTCAAGGAGGCAGCCCCCGTGGCTCCTTTACCCGCGTCACCCAAGGGACTTTGGACGTTCATGGGGTTCCAGGATACTGGCAACACTCACGCCCGCTTCCATATTCATTCCACCTCAGATGAGTTCAAAAAGTATGTCGGTGCTCACCTCGTCGCACAAACAGCACCCATTTGCCCCAGCATGTTCCAGCACGTTATGGCAAGAGAGGCACTCGCAAGTCTCTTGGAAGGCTCTGACACAATTCCCGAACTTGAGAATATGGAGAATGATGCACCATTGTGCCTTGATGAGTCCAAGCTTGTTTGGCTTGATGCAAACAGAACCGACAGTGAATCAACTAGCTGGGACTTTCGCATCACCAGCGTAGACAAAGACAACGCTGGAGGCAATGCGACCCAGCACGTTTCAGGCCGGCTGTTGTTCCGCTCCCTCGATGATTCCTCCAAGATCTTTACAACGTGTGAACGCCTGGTAGATCGACGACGTGCTCTTGCGCTGCTGGACGGACCAGAGGCCGAGCAGGTGATCCAAGGCAGTCGTAACATCTACAGGGCTTTTGCACCCGTTGTGCAGTACAATGATGATAGCTACAAGGGCTTGCAAAAGCTCGCCGCTAGTGGTAACGAGTCGGCGGGACGGATCGTCAAGCAAGATGTGGAACAAACTATCCTCAGCGTGGGACTCGCTGACAACTTCTGTCAAGTGGCTGGCATCTTTTTGAACTGTATGGCTGAATGTGACGACAGCAACATGTACCTATCCAATCGTGTCGAGAGGTGGATCCGCTCCCCCAACGTTCCACTGGACTCGCGACCAGAGCAATGGGAGGTGCACGCGATCCATAATCACCCCTCTCCCAAGGAGTATGTGAGTGACCTGTTCGCTTTTGACTCTGCTACCGGCAAGTTGGTATGGGTTATCATTGGTCTTCACTTCGTCGAGGTGTCTATCGCTGGCATGTCTCGCCTCTTGGGCCGCTTCGCTGGCGTAAAGTCTACAAAGCAGCCGGCAGCCGCAGCCGCAGCTCCAGAGTCCCTTCCAGCACTGCCCGCTATTGCCTCTAACACTGCCCCAGCTGCAAAAGCATCTGCAAGCAAACCCAAGGCCAAGACCTCTACCAGCTCACCCGCGCTTCAGAAGCAACAGACAAAGCGGAAGAAGGCCCCGGGACGTGATGTTTTGAACGGTGTCCGGGAGCTGTTCTGTAACTTGCTTGGTCTCGAACCAGAAGACATCCAACCTGGTTCAGATCTCGTTGAGTTAGGCATTGACTCACTGCTAGCCATGGAGGTTGCCCGAGAGGTAGAGAAAGCATTCAGCATCAAGTTCGAACTCGAGGAGCTCATGCAAATGACCGATGTCCGGAGCTTAGTGAACTGCATTCAGGCCAACATGGGTGCATCGGACTCCTCTACCACAGATGGAGATCTGAGCGATGACTTCGACGAGGCCTCAGCAGCTAGCGGCATCCAAACTCCGCCAAGTGAGCCTGCTGAAGATGTCAAAAGTCCCAGTATCGGGAGTGCACCAACTACTGAACGACTCCCTGCTGAATCCATTATCGAGGCTTTTACTGCAACCAAGCTTCTGACGGATCGGTTTATCGAGCAAAACGACCTCTCTGGGTACTCAAACTACGTTCAGCCAAAGCTGACTGAGCTGGTCGTGGCCCACACACTTGACGCCTTTGACCAATTGGGTAGCTCCCTTCGTTCTGCGCAGGCGGGCCAGACTATCAAGCACATCCCCTATCTTCCTAAACATGAAAAGGTCATGGCTGTTTTGACTGGTCTATTGGAGAAGGCTCGTCTTGTCGACTTAAGTGGCTCAACAATGATTCGGACAGCTGTACCTTTGCCAACCAAATCCGCTTCGCAGCTGCTCGAGGAACTCCTGCGCGAATATCCCGAGCATGCCTACGACCACAAGCTTACTAGTTTGACTGGATCAAGACTAGCAGACTGTCTAAGTGGCAAAACGGAAGCTATTCAGCTGCTCTTTGGCAGCGCCGAAGGACGGGAGCTTGCCGCCGGCATGTATGGAAAGTCCCCAATCAATGTGGCCTGGCTCCGTCAGCTCCAGCATTTCTGGCAGCGCTTCTTAGCCCACCTTCCACAACAGCAACAGGAGCCCATTAATATCTTGGAAATGGGCGCCGGGACAGGAGGCACCACGGCAGCCTTACTGCCGCTCCTCGCCAGCTCGGGCGTCCCCGTCCGCTATACTGCTACCGACATCTCTCCTTCTCTGGTGGCAGGTCTCCGGAAGCGTTTCAAGGACTACCCCTGGATGCGCTTCGAGGTTATTGATATCGAAAAAGAACCACCCGCCAAGCTTCTGGAAACCCAGCACGTGGTGCTAGCGACCAACTGTGTACACGCAACCCACAGTCTGGCGGTGACCACCAAGAACATCCACAGAATCCTTCGGCCTGATGGCTTCCTCGTCATGTTGGAAATGACGGAAGCCGTGCCATGGGTCGACTCGGTGTTTGGACTGGTGGAAGGCTGGTGGCTGTTCAATGACGGTCGCACCCATGCCCTCGCTCAACCCGACTTCTGGCAGCAGACATTACATGCCAACGGATATGGCCATGTCGACTGGTCCGATGGCCAGCTCCCCGAGAATTCTATCCAGCGTATTATTATCGCACTCGCGTCTTCAGAAAGCCAAAACTTGGTATCTATGTGTTCCCCAGCTCCTTCGATCTCCACAGCTGACTTTGCTGCGCGTCAAGTGGTAGTGGACTCTTTAGTCCAGAAACACACCCACGACTTTGCCGCTCCTACCTCACTCTCAAGTTCCCAAGCAAGTAATGATTCCTTTCGTTGTGTGTTGGTGACTGGCGCTACCGGCAGCCTCGGATCCCACCTGGTTGCCCACTTCGCTGCGCAACCGGACGTACGCACAGTCATCTGTCTGAACCGGGTGAGTGGCTCAGATGCGACAGCTCGCCAGCTCGAGGCACTGCAATCAAGAGGCCTAGAGCTCGATCAAAGCCTTGTATCGAAGATTGAAGCAATCGAAACAAACTCCTCAGCACCCATGCTCGGCCTTGTTCTTAACGAGTATCAACAATTAGTCCATTGTGTTACCGACGTCGTCCACAACGCATGGGCCATGAGCATGACCCGCCCAGCATCTGGCTTCGAGCCCCAATTCAAGGCCCTTCGCAATTTAATTGATCTCTGTCGCGATGCAGCCTGTCACCGACGACCGGGTATGCGAAAAATCGGGTTCCAATTCGTCTCCTCCGTGTCGGTTGTGGGCTGTCATCCTTTTCTAACCAACAAGGCTCGGGTCCCGGAGCAGCGGGTCAACGTAGCCTCCGCCCTGCCGATGGGTTACGCAGATGCCAAACTCATCTGTGAAAAGATGCTGGATGAGACATTGCATAAAAATCCGGAGCATTTCCGCACCATGTCTGTAAGGGTCGGCCAAATCTCCGGGTCCAAGATAAACGGGTACTGGAATCCGGTGGAACACTTGGTGCACTTGATCAAGTCGTCGCAGTCCCTTGACGTGCTTCCCGATCTCGACGGTGTATGTCTTTCCTTCCATTAACCCTAAACAAATCCACTTCGCTGACAACAATCAACAGGTCTTATCATGGTGCCCAGTCAACGATGTAGCCGGCACACTCAGTGATCTCCTTCTGGGAGACAACAATTCCGCCTACCCAATCTACCACATTGAGAATCCCGTAAGACAGCCCTGGCCCGAGATGATCTCGATACTTTCCGACGCCCTGGATATTCCACGAACCAACATCATTCCATATGATGAATGGCTCCAGCGTGTCCACAACTGTCCTCCTAGCATTCCGGCATCGGAGAATCCCGCGGTGCGGCTTGTCGACTTTTTCGAAGAGGACTTTTTGCGCATGTCCTGTGGTGGAATGATACTCGATACAACACATAGCAAGGAGCATTCGGCGACGTTGAGAAGTTTGGGTCCGATTGACCGAGAGCTAGTCATGAAGTATATTCGGGCGTGGAAAGAATCGGGGTTTTTGGTGTAATTGATTTTTGTATGTGTATATTTATGATTGCAAGTGGATGTGGGCTGGGGTACGACCCTCCGTATATACGGGAGGTCATCACGTGCATGCTATTGAGTAATTGGTTGTGTGTATTTAGTTATAGTTTGTTAATTATAATGCTTATTCATTTGTTTGAACCCGAAGATCAACTCACACAACACTCTCTTTGTTCTTTTTATTCCAGTACTCTCCAACCATATTGTGTGCATTCTGTCAAGACATCAATGCTGAACAAATCACCAAGCCCGGTGGCTATAGACATGCACCAGGCTTTAAAATAGTCGAGCGAAATGCGCACTTTTGCGCCTTGTGTCAATGGATTCGGCGAATACAAGTGGCAGGATGGCCAACTCTAGAGTATTTATGAAAGACTTCCTTTTTAACCACCCAAATTAAAATAATTATTCTGTGTCATTGTGTTCGATCCGTTTCTCACACCTTGCCTAAGATTTACGAGCGGAGATTTCATGTCTGATGTCGTGGGTATCTATAGTACCGCTGAAGGTTTCGCCATTGAAGACCGTCCCCTCGAGTGCCATGTGATTATCTGACTGTCCTTCTCAAGGAGATCAAACAGCTCAAAATTTCAGAATACCCTGCAATAATTGCAATTCTCGACCCAGACTGAACTCAGCCCGTTGGGAATACCACAGACAGAAGCAGTGGGAAATATATCGAACGGCATAAAAGCAGTTGTGCGGTCCGTGCTGTGCGGAAGGAGGTGTCAAGGATAGAACAACGCCTACAAGAAAAATCCCACATCCGGCAAATGGAAATGCTGGTTTCAATGAGAATAGATTGCTCCAGCCTTGCAGCTTTAGCTCACTTTATCTAAACACTAAGATGTCCATGTGACCGTGACTAACTCGCAGCCTTACCATCGTTTTTATTTATTCCCCTCACTTGACATTTATTCCCTAAAGACAAAACTCCGAACCTTGTTCTTATACTTTCAGCTATAATATCCTAAAAAATAATACCTATACTTGTTGTTAAACTGCGCGCATTTTGAGGAGAGGAATGGCAACACTCTCTCTGCACGATTACACGGTCGGGTGGATATGCGCCTTGCCTCTGGAGAGCGCAGCTGCGTACCTAATGTTGGACAAAGAACACCCGGACCTGGAAATCCCGCATGCAGACCAAAATGCATATACCTTTGGGAATATTGGGAAGCACAACGTTGTTATTGTGTGTTTACCAAGTGGCGTATATGGCATCGCCTCTGCTGCGACGGTAGCCGTACAACTGCGTACTACTTTCCCCTCCCTCCGATTTGGTTTAATGGTGGGTATTGGTGGAGGGGTGCCAAGCAGCGGTCTAGATATTCGATTAGGTGATATTGTGGTGAGCCTGCCAAAAAAGGGTTGTGGAGGCGTGATACAATATGATTTTGGTAAAGCATTAAGCGATGGACATTTCCACCCAACTGGTATGCTTAACCGGCCACCAGAGATCTTGTTGACTGCCATCTCAAAACTCCGATCCTATGACTACTTGAAACGCAGTCAAGTTCCTGAGTTTATTTCGCATGCCCAGGCCAATGAGGCGGGATTTGCACCACCGAAGCAGGAGGATTGCTTATTTCAAGCAGACTACACTCACAAAGATGGTGATACATGTAAAGAGTGTGACCCAGCTCAAATAATTGGACGTCCTTTACGAAGCAACAATGACCCTGTCGTTCATTATGGACTGATTGCATCGGCAAATCAAGTCATGAAAGATAGCAGACGACGAGATCAGCTAGCTAAAGAGCTTGGGGTATGCTGTGTGGAGATGGAAGCGGCAGGACTCATGAATATTATTCCATGTCTAGTCATTCGCGGTATCAGTGACTATGCCGACTCACACAAGAATGAGGCATGGCAACCATATGCAGCGATAGCGGCGGCCGCGTACGCCAAAGAGCTTATCCTGGTGGTTTCCACCAATCCGAGCAACCATGTCCCGACAACGCACGAGGAGAAAGCAATGAGTCCTGGCCCCACATTAAATACCACCGCAGCTAACACACTGGGTGTATTGAATCAAGATTCGGAATTGGCCAAGGAGGTAAATAACTTGTCTCAGCAGATAGCAGCAGAGCATGGAGATGTTCCCAGATCAGATCATACCAAAAACCAAGATAGCCTGGAAGCGAACTCAGCTCCTGAGATGAGGCCGCACATTTTATCCGCCATTAAAGGATTTGCATCTTTGGATTTCCGGAGATTATCAAGTGGAACTGCTACGCTACGTATTCCTGAAGAATGTGGAAAACCCCCGATCCAATTGTCCAAAGACAAGATAATACAACCAGAGCCAGTTCGAAAGAACAATATCAAACAGGCTAACCATACTACACTGAAAGGACATTCCCGTTTGGTAGAGTGTGTGTCCTTCTCCCCAAATGGGAAAACTATAGGCTCTGGATCTTTGGACTATCAAGTTAGACTCTGGGATGCTACCAGAGGTATAACAAATTTCGTACTTAATGGTCGTTCTGACCGTGTGAATACTATAGTATTCTCCCCAGATGGACGACTGCTGGCATCTGGGTCACGGGATAACACAGTCAGGCTCTGGGATACTACTAAAGGCACAATAAAAGTCGTACTGAAGGGCCATTCTGGCCGTGTGAGCACTATCAAATTCTCCCCGGATGGAACCCTAGTGGCGTCGGAATCTCTCGATGGGGATTACAAGCTCTGGGATAGTGCTACAGGCAACATGCACAGGATATCGAATGACCCATACCGTCGCCTGACCGCAGTTGAATTCTCGCCGGATAGCAGAATGGTGGCATTTGGAACCCATGATGACAGTCTTGGGCTTTGGAACAATGATACAGGTACATTCCAAACGTTAAGGGGAACCTCGGTTGAAAAGGTGGATTATATGACATTTTCACCAGATGGGTCAATACTTGCATGTGTAGTTGGAAAGAAAATTACTTTTTGGAACACTACCACATGCATGATGCATTCAACGCTGAGTAGTCATTCCCAGAGAATAAATACTATGGCATTCTCACCAGATGGGGCACTGGTGGCATCAGGATCTAGTGATAGGACAGTCAGACTTTGGCAAACTGGCACGGGTACAATGATTAAGATTCTGACTGGCCATGCTAAGCCTGTGAATGCTGTAGCATTCTCACCGAATGGCACAATAACGGCATCAGGATCAGATGATAAAACCGTTAGGCTTTGGGATGTTTCCACGGGCGTGGCGCAAACACTCAAGAGCTATTGGGGTAGAAATTGCAACAGCTTAGCATTCTCACCAGATGGGAGACTCGTAGCTTATCCATCCGGCGAGAATATCAAGATCTGTACCACTGGCATACAGAATTAGGTGAGGATCCTCATAACGATGCAAGGTCTTGCTAGCTACCTTTATCTTACTTTGTACCTTTTCGCAATATTTTGTCCTAGAGGCATTGACCACGCACGAGAAATGCCTGTTTATGTGATAGATATCTAGTGAGTTATCACAAGGAAGGGTTCTATAGCCTACACATAGAATACTATCATTAATATTTGCTCCTGATTGAGCTTCTATGAACCCCCCGGCACTGTTGCATTATGTTCATTGTCCCCGACAGTGGACCATGGCACATATATATCCTCATCACCCAAGGTGACTGGGAGCAGAATATGACGCGACGATATTAAATAAAGGGATTGTTAGTAGATAGAGAGAGTTGTGGTTCTTATAGATCCCAGGTGATAGTTAATATAATCAACCACCGAGCCGGCAGGTTTTCCTCTACGCGTATTCTCATCATTTAAATTATTCAACACAGTTTTTCTTTATTTTTTCTATCACACAAAATGCCGCTTTCCCAAGAAAACCATCACCAAAGCATTATTTTCTAATGAAATGACCACGTCTTAACTTTAGGCACCCAAGATCTGCAACACTACCCGAATCTGGTATCGGAGCCGACTGGCCGGGGCTCGGGGAAGTCTCGACTTCGGAGTTAACTGGTCCTTGGCAACAATTTTCCTTAGGGGGAGCCGAGTATAGGAAGTGTTTATATGATTATATCCCTCTGCTATTGGTCTAGACTACTTCATACTTCCAATAGGACAAAGAAGAAAGAAAATCTGAATAAACCCCCCTTATAGTATCCAGCCGTAAGATCTGAGTAATATTAGGTGTAGTCTGACTATATATCAGCCTGCCGTATTTACTCTGCAAGAATATTATTTTTCTCTTCAGTATTTCTCTTTTCTCCCATATTAAACTAAACTACTAATATATGAATATCCCATTCTAACGACAACAATGTTCCGCTCCCTCCTCACTCTCACGAAACTCGCTTCTCCACAGTACATCTTCCCAACCGTCGACCCTAAAATCGATGGTGAGGAATGTCGCCACGACTGTGCTGATTGCACGGTGAAATGGCCGTCCAAGGTGAAAATCGACACCACACTCCCAATGTATGGGTACATCAAACAGTTCCACGCGCATGTACTCGTGGCTACGGGGAAGACGGATTGGATCGGGAAGGTAGAGCAGGAGAAAGGGAGTTTGATGGAGGCGTTTAAGTCTGATGGGGGAAAGTCGAAGCACGGAGTACGTATTTTCTATTTGTTTTTCTTTTTCCCCTATGTTTTGGTACTGTTTTAGTTTATTTGGGTTGATCATTGATGATATTATAGAGGATAATGGTTTCTGCATCGAACCTCACTCCGCCAGAGAGTGAAAATGAAGAGGTTGATTCGGGGAAGACGACCGTGTTACTTTTACCGTCTTTTACTTTCGTGGATGGTGTTGCCTATGGGGATGTCAGACACGTTGTTGATACGTTTATTGATAACCCGAAACAAGAATCCCGGTTGTCGTCACGACCTTGTCCGCATGACTACGTTGTTCTTCTCTGCTCGCATCAACGGCGCGATGCTCGTTGTGGGATCACGGCGCCGTTGATAAAAAAGGAGCTGGAGCGTCATCTGCGCGGGCACGGACTGTACCGTGATTTGGAT